GTATCATGGTATAGATTCCTGTAGGATGAGAAAGATAGGTGATGGTAACAAGTACTGGGTAGTAACCTTGACAGAAAGTTATTCGCGTCTCGATAACAGAAAATTTGTAGATGGTCAACACGAAAACACGTGAATTTGGTAAATTGCTCTAGCCTTTTTCTAAAAATAAATATGGTGTGCCGTAAATCTTACGATGTAAAATCTTACTAGCCTTAGGTCACTACCAGTATCATCCTACCTACTTGACCTACCTGTTCGTTATTTGCATTGAAAACACACTTGCAATGATGATCTCCCGACGGACGTTAGTCAAAGCGCATAGGCATAGGCATAGGCTTAGATGTAGGTAGGAGAAAAGTAGGCACAGGCATCGGGCACCTTCCCCGGATTCAAGCTTCGCCTTGACTTATTTTAGATTCAAAACCTTATTGAGAGGATGGAAGATTGGGTGAAAAATGGATTATGAACTATGATTATTTTAATTATTTTGATTACTGAGATATCTAGATATCCTGCCTCACCTACCTTTATGTTGATTGCATATAAGGAGTAAAATGTGGCAATCATAGGCAGGGTTCACTGGGTTTAAGGCAACGTAACCTCAATCATCCTCATCCCCATCTCATTCCATCCTACGAGTATCGAGTATTCGTCGAGTATGCTGTGTTGTAATCAAAACTAACATTTTCAAAAGGGGATTGATGGTGGATGGGGTATGCCACTTAGCAAAACGACATTTAATCTCATCCATAAATAAATATAGACCACTCTAGATGGCAGCTAACCATGTACCATATACCATCTACCCATCGATCTACCCACCCATCCACCCAGGGTCTGTTGGATGAAACCACCCAGGCACATGGACACCTAAATACGAATACTAGGTAGGTGTGATTGTTATCATTTTGCAATCCTACCTACCTTCCTTCACAGCAAACGAAGGAATATTACATAGTAAGCAAATAAAATGTAATTGAAGGCTGTGCTGAGAACACTTAGGCCAAAAGTATTTGATGGCCCATTGTCCAACCTCTCTCCAATTTCATTCTCACCTCATTCATTCACTTTTTTTCCTTTCCTCCTTAGATTTTGTTTCTAGTGTTTCTTGTGATATTTTATTTCACTCTACTTCATTTCACCTCACTCACTTCACTCCCTTTTATTTCACTTCACTTCACTTCACTTCACTTCATTGATTTGCTTCCTCGCAATTTAAGTCGTCTAAACTCATTTGTCCTTTAATAAACCTCGGGCCAATATCATCGTCGGATCAAAACGTTCATCTCAATTTGAACAAATCCAATTGATCCCATTTGCATTTGCATTCGCTTCGTATCAGATTTTCTTGGCTTCGAAACGCTTGGGATTTTTCATTGGATGCAGTTATACGCTCAATCTACGCCAAACATCAAGCCTTGAAAAGCTGTAAGGTCCCCTGAAAACTTAAAAGGGTACCCACTCAGGTACATGAAACAGCCGCCCCGGGTCCCCAGATCTCCTCTTTCCTCTTTCCTCATCTTTCCTAATTTGGAAAGTTCGAATGAACCCCTTCAACAACGACAAACTGATTATTTCTTTCCATCTTTTTGTCCATTCTCTCTCACCTTCAAACAAAAAAACATTCACACCCACCCGCTCTTTTGCTTCTTCTTTTTGGCCTGCATGATTCATTATTTGGCATCGCAAGCACCAGCCGTATTTTGGAACTATTAGCAAATTCGTTCCAAACTCGTCAGCATCCGGTCCTCAAAATTAATACATTACGTATTCTTCTTCTCTAGCTTTTTGAACGGATTGATATCATTCTTTCTCCATACCCTACCCCTTCCATATCAACAAACATCATCCATCTCTCGTTTTTAATTCATAATCAACAACGACAACGGCATGATTTCCAACAGATTATTGGCAAGCGTTGTCCTCGCCCTTTCTGTCTCTCAATCCGTATCCGGCCTTACACTTGATACTTCGGATCCAAGTATGTGTTGTGGCGCGTCTCTGATTTTACAATTTGGCTGACACTCTCTTCCATAGCTTCAATCAAAAATGCAGCAGGCACAATTGCATATGGTCTTATGAAGTATTATACCGGCAATGTCACCAACACCCCGGAAACTATCGCCGTCCTACCAGCACCCTATTACTGGTGGGAGGCCGGAGCAATGTGGGGAACCATGCTCGACTATTACCACTATACCGGGGATTCTTCATATAATGAAGTTACCACACAAGCCTTGGCATCTCAAGTTGGTCCACTCTTTGATTACATGATGCCAAATCACCAAAAGGATGAAGGAAATGATGATCAAGCCTTTTGGGGAATGTCTACCATGTCTGCTGCAGAGAAGAATTTCCCGGAACCTTCCAACACTGGTGGATTTACTTGGGTACAACTGACCGAAAACCTTTGGAATACCCAAGCTGCCCGTTGGGATACTTCGGCATGTGGCGGTGGACTGAAGTGGCAAATATTCTCATTCAACAATGGTTATACTTACAAGAACTCCGTTTCTAATGGAGCCTTTTTTCAACTTTCTGCACGCCTTGCACGATATACCGGAAATCAAACATACGCCGACTGGGCAGAAAAAGTTTTTGATTGGACTACCAAGATCGGATTTATTGATTCAGACTTCAATACTTTCGACGGTGCTGATGAATCCACAGGTTGCACCAATCCGAACAAAATCACATGGAGCTACAACAATGCTCTTTACTTGTATGGAGCCGCCGTCATGTATAATTTCACCACTGACTCTGCATGGCAATCACGAACTCAAAGCTTATTACAGGCCTCTAGTCACTTCTTCACATCGGAAAGTATCATGTACGAACTGGCATGCGAGACAGTCAACACCTGCAACAATGATCAATATTCATTCAAAGCCTATCTCTCACGCTTCATGTGGGCAACGACTCAAATGGCACCCTTCACCAAGAACACAATCACGACATATCTTACAAAATCAGCATCAGCAGCAGCAGGTATTTGTACTGGGGATGCGAATGCTTGTGGTACAAAATGGTATACAGGGTCATTCGATGGAATAGTTGGTCCCGGACAACAAATGACTGCCCTTGAGGTTATTCAAGGATTATTGATCTCTTCCGCTCCGCCGCCAGTTGTCAAAGGCGAAGCACTTGTCCAATCAGCATCTTCTTCGACATCTTCTTCGACATCATCAGCCATTACAAGCACTACCAGCACATCCCCAGTTTCAAGTTCCAGCAGTGAGTCTACCACTGCCAGCGCTAGCAGCGCTGCAAGCACTTATTCTTCATCAGACGTCGCCGTAACGTATACCTCCATCGAAAGTGCCACAGTTCCATCCATGACTAGCTCTTCTTTTACGGTACTTCCTTCCCCTGAAGCTTCATTCTCTACCGCACAACCTTCCCCTACACCCTCGGAAGAGGAACAATCCTCTTCTTCTATGGTAATCCCTTCGCCCGAAGTTTCATCCTCTATCGCAAAGCCTTCTCCCACACCCTCAGAAGAGGTACGATCTTCCACTGCAATTATCTCATCTACTGCACAATCTTTGTCTGAATTAACATCTGCTTCCCCTGCTCTCACAACATCTGCACCTATTTTCGACACAACTACCACGATCAAAATCCTCCACAGCACAACTGTATCTTGCAACACCTCTGTATATACCAACTCCACTGGTTGGTTTACGCCATCATCATTTCTATCTAGCCGTCTTACGACTGCTTCACCGACCCCTGCTACTGTTACAAGTGCTTCGGCTGCATCTTCACCTGTGTCACCCGTATCTTCAACCGCATTACTGATCGATACTTCTATACAGCCGATGCCTATCGCTTCGGGAACTGTTTCGAAAGGAACTGCGAGTTCACCAACTACCGCTTCCTCTTCCGCTTCGGCTATTAAGGCTACGGTTACGGCTGCTGCGGAGAAGGGTATGAGGGTCTCAGGATCAGGGCTGCTGGCTGCTGTACTTGGTGCCGGACTGCCATGGGTTTTGTAGGGAGCATAGGTGATAATGCTGAATGGTGGCATATAATGTAATAATGGATAGGGAGGTAGACTGTATGAAGCGGTACGTGATTGGGTAGGAAGAGGAATTGTATAGATTCTCTTTTACCCATTCTATCAACAGAATTTCATACTGCCAAATTGTTCAGTTGAATTTGAGACACTAATTTCATGGGCATTGCAGTTAGGGGCGTACTGGCGCTATTTTATTTTTGTTGGATGTACATGATGGATGGACTGGAGAGGGCAATTGCGAATGAAATCTGGGATGGAATGGAATAACTAGAAGCCTACGAGAAGATCTGTATATTTTTGAAAGATACCCAGATCAATAGATACCACAGATAGAGAGGGGAGGGATTTTATTTTAAAAAGTTGATTGGTGTGTATATTGGGTTCAACTTGAACTCTGAGCTTGGTATTTAGGACAGGGATAAGAAAGGCAAAAAGGGGAGGGGAGTTAGGCAGGGAGAATTGGTGAGGGATCTCATAGCGATGTCATATCATGATGGAGTTGATGATAGATGGTAAATGGCAGATTGCGAAAGAAGGAAAACTAGGCATTTCATTTCTTGTTGATAGGTAGAGCTTATACAAGTATAATGCATATAATTAACATACGTTTGACACCCTTCTCATCTTACTGGCCTTTTCCCTACGTTAATTTCTCTGTGAGCTATGATAAAGATGGCAATGGTAACAATGATAATGGGGATGAGGATGGGGAGACTGGAAACAGGAGTTAGCACCGGAAATCTTTTGGTTGATAAATGTGAAGCATTGGCACATAAAATGTTTGAAATCGTACTTTTGATAGACGAACGACACTGTAGTGTTTTTTTTATTAAGAAAAGAAGAAGAAGATATCTCTATGCTCATCGCTTGAGTAAATGTAGGGGTAGATCTGAAGGTGTAGTTCGTATGGCCAAGTTGGATTGGACGGGCGGAATTTCTTTGGATGTGAAGGATGTTTGGGCCATTTGCATGAGTCGGGGATTAGATGTTAAGAATGATTTTGGGCAATCGAATGTTTGTATGTTTGATCTTACAAAGTAGATTGGCTAGCTGGAATACTTTGGATTGAGTTTGATATTGAAGGCAGTTTGAAATGGATTGGTAATTCAGAATGTCTAGAACGGCCTGGATATATCTGAACTAGCATCAAACGTGTTTGATTTTCTCATTACTGCTCAGATTGTTGAACAATTATAACCGAAGGTAGTTTTCTGCATTTGTTCACATATGAGGGGCGCATATTATGCGTTGAAAGAAGGACTGTGATCAACCTGATAAATAGAAGTGTGCCCCCAGAAACGCACGAAATTCTGGTAGCCCGAGAAAGCTTTCTTGTTTATCATTCTCATCTCGTTAATTCAGACAGTCTTCTGTTTGAATTTTCATGCTCCGGAATTATTCCAGACTAGTGCAATCCTAAAAGTGTCATGTCATCATGGTCATAAATCTTTGAGTATATTTATCCTCAAAGTACATTGATCACGAAAGACTGTGCTTAAGGAATAAGAACCCAAATTACCTATGGTCATGGTTAGAGGCCCTGTGTCTATGATCATGACACCTTGCGCATAGACTGTTTTAGCGCGGTCTTTGAGTCTAAATCGATCGCCTCAAGCTAAAGTTCAACGGCTGCCACTAAGATGCCCCTAAATGACTCAAGCGAGTCTAGTGCAACCTTTTTCCAAATCTGCTACCCAGTACCTTCCACACGCTGCAAGAATTGTTATTGTAGGTGTGGAGAGGATCATCATATTATTGAAGCTACGATTCGTGACTACATAGACCGACAATCGTACTAGCCATATTGACCCTAACAACGTATGCGAATTCTGAATCGTTCGTAGTCTCTGGACTATTCATGAGCAGAAAGACTAGAAAGGAAAGGCACAGAGAACAGCTTATTCTTCCTCACACATAAATATTTTACAAAATTCCTGGAATTCCTAAATTCCAATTTCCTTTTCATCATACAGATCGAAGTCAAATCCTCACGAAATCCACACAATCTACACAACACACAATTGCGCTTCCGCTTCTAACAAACATGAAGCCTTCGAAGAATTCTCTTCTCGTTCTGGCCGCCTTTTTCGGCCTAGCCACAGCAATGGTGATCCCAACGAATTCAAATGACGTTCCTCGGGTCTCCGCCACAACCACAATCAAGGAAGAATATTCGGTCCCCTTCAATATGACCAAGTTCAAAATCAACTCACCATTTGTCGTCCTCAACTCTTCTCCTCCCTCCCCATCCCCGTCCCACTCGAACATCAAACGCACATCCGGCAAGCCATGGAAGGAGGGACAAAAGGCCACACCACGGCCCTGTCCCTACCCGAAGACCCGCCCATGCATCACCCAGAAAGAGATCGACCAAGGATGGCATGATATAAGCGGGTGTTTCAACGAAACCTATTTTCTTTTAATCGGCCGTACATATTGCTGGGAAGCGGGGGATGATTGTGTAAAGGCGGATTGTAGATATTGAGTACATATGGGCGGTATCTCCTTTGCTTGGTTGGCGTCCTCTTGTAGGCAAGGCAGTGTTGGACACCAGGGTATTCAATAGCTCGGACTGGAGTTCAGCAATTATGAGCTTTTGAATTTCTGTATTGATTTGGGAGGGTTTGGATTAATTAAGAAAATAAATTATAATTGAATATTTTTCATTTTTTGAGTATTATGTATGCTTAGAAAATTCAAATATTTAAAGAATTTCGATCATTAAAATCCCAAATCTAGTCTGCCACCCTGGACTCTTGGACATCTTGTGGGGTGCATGGAAGGCACTTTCAATACATGGCATAGAATATATAATATAAATGACAAAATGTCTAAGCCATCATCGGTTATCCAGCTTTATTGGTTATTGATTAGTACCCGGAAACCTACATCTTTGCCTCGTGGCTCAATATCCCTTTTACAGTACAAATGAAAATCATGAAATCATCACCAAAACAATCCTGTGAGCCTCCACTTCGGGCCAGTTGCGCACGTCTTAGCTTTGGGCTCGGCAATGTAGGCAGGCAATTATTTCGATGGTGACACTCCCAACGTGTGAAATTGGCCATAGTCAACATATGCGTGAATGTGATTGGAGCAGCCATCTTCTGTCAACCTCTTCTCTCGGATACATGGTGAATTGTAACTGTGACGGACTGGGTAGATTGGGTGTAAGTCAGATCTGGAATGCATGATGTGAAAGCGCTTGGCTCTCAGCTCACCAGGCCGCTCTATTATTTCTTCGTTTCTCACGCTGAATAAGAGCACGTGTTGGTCTTTCTGATGGATATAGATTGTTCCGTGAGGTAGAATCACGAACGCCAAGATGGAATTCGTGAGACATTGAGTGTTTGTTATCGAGCCCATAGCCATTGAATGTAGATATTGGAAGTGCTATGTAATGCTCATGGCGTTTATGGACCACGATACATTTGCTTTGTTATGAATATACTGGTCCGAAAGGCTGTGTCGATTTCCATTCCTGCCATTTCGTTCTGGAGGTGTTTGGTCAGAGTCGGAGTAATGTTCTACACACAATTTACATCATCGAAATAAAAATCTCCCTCGGAATGCACCGGCCAATAATTTTCCATTCTTTTCCAAGGTGTAGCTTGCACCGTTAAGTCGCTGTATAATGCTGGTGATTTAGGCCCTGGAACCTTATCGGTGTTTTAGAGTAAATTTTCAAGCATTTGGTAGAGATCACGCAATCTCATCGTTGATTCGTACTAGAAAATGTATCTCGAAGAAGTGGCCCGGAACAGTTGTGTAGATGAACAAGTATTGGATTTCTTCAAGGAACAAAGAGAAATGGATGATGCGAAGCAAATGCTATCAGGATGCGAGGGATACGACAACGAAGGAAAATAAGAGCGGAGGGAAGAAAGAGAGAAGAAGGGCGAGAAGCATGTAGACGAATTCTGAAGTCCTTGAATGAAAGGTCAAAAGCTTCAGATATTCATTTAGGATCCAAGGAACTATATCTATTTGTGTCCAAGTTCAACTTTTGAGATTCTCCCTCCTTTTCTTCTTGCCAACACCCGACAAGACATCCATTCTAACCACGAGACTAGTTCGATGATGGCTGGAAAGCATAGTAATACTGCAATATCTAAGTTCCCTCGTGAAGTACCCCGAACTCAATTTATACATCGAGAAAATCATTGGGTAATTATTGGAGAGGAATTTTGCCTACAAGATTACATTCTTTTCTGCCCTTAGCCTCTGAAATGAGTGAAAACAGAAAATAACGAATAGTCCAATCTTCATCAGACGATAACCAGGATAACTACTCACCAAGCTGTGACTTGTTTATCATGAACCAGGAAGTCAAAGTCCTGAGGATCAGAATGTCTCAACGCTACTGCTGAGCAGCCGATCCCAAGAGCGGGACTATTTTCAAATATGTGATTTTGCCCACGTGCGTACTTCACGCTGCTGAAAGCTCCTTTACTTGAGTGAGACAGTACCTAAGTTTTCTCTCTTTAAACTCACTCAATCCGTGATGAATGATGTATGTTTCGCAGTGCTTCGTCGATTATTCTATCCTCTGGGTGTTTCGTTATCATACAATCATTACTCAAAAAGAAAACCACCATTGTTCTTCTTTATCAAAACCATCTTTCTCTCCAATATCCAATATCCATCTCTCCTGATTCCTCACTCATTATTCCAATTGAGACGTACATAAATAGAAAAGCATACAAAAGAATATCGTGTATCGGCGTATTTCCTAACATAAACCATCATCTCCCTCCTCCCATTCAGATAAACATTTTTCCCGAGCCAAGCAAGAAGAAAGATTTTCAAGCCCCTCTCCTCGCAAACTCGACACTCCCACTTTGCCTCGACTTCCTTCCAAAGAGACTCTTCTCATGAAATTCACGTCCGTTCTGTTTACGTCCAATGTGGAAAATTGCCACCCATACGATCGTCGCAACAGCGATAATCGCCGTAGCGACCCATGTCAGGGTAAGGTATTTATGTCCTTTGTACGCATACACCCCAATGTCATTCCCAAATTTATTGATAATATCCGCAGCTTTGTCTTGGAGAACAGTGACGATAATTGAGGCAATAGCAAGAGCTAGGAGAGATAGGGATGCTAAACCCCAGTTCAAGAAAGAGAAGAGACGACCGGTGATAAAGATTGCGGCCAGGGAAGTGAAGATTGCGAGGCCAGCGGCTGCAATGCCGATGCAATAGAATACAAAGGTGGCATTCATGGCTGCGGAGAGTGTATCAAGACCGTCTTGGATAGCTGAAGGCCAGCCTATGTCGCCAAGATTTAGATGGAGGGGGCCAATAGATAGTTGATCGGAAATTATGGAACTGATATTGAAGTGGTCTGCGTGGAGACATGATTAACTTAAGCAGGAAAACAGTATGACGAGAGATAGTACTTACACATGGCTGTGGCATTTGTGCAAGAGCTCACGTTATAGCCTGCTCCTTTGGCCGTGGCATTCGGTGTATATGATCCCTCGCACGTATCCATTAGATGCATCGAATACCATTCTTGGATACCTAATTTCTCTGCAAGTTTATCTGCAATCTCGTTCCCGATATCGCCCAGTGCATTTGCAATGTTGTCACCAATACCAGGCTCGCGCGGTATCAAATTGCTGATGCTACTGACAATTCCTCCTGGTGATATCGAGGTAGGTGTGGAACTAGAACCTGCGGACGGTGTGGGAATGAGATCTTGTCCGATTCCTGAAGTATTGAGCTGGAGCGTATATGGTCAGAGCTATCACCTTGGAAATGGGGATTGGTGCACGTACTGCTATGATATGATAATCCTCCATGAATCCAGGCTTACTGCCTGCGAAGATACACAACATGCCGAGCACGAATGTTATGATGGAACAAGCCATCGGGATGGTAGCTAGTAGCTGCATATTGAGTAGAAGTAGAAGTAGTAGTGTAGATTTGTATTGTGCAATAGTTGATGATAAAATAAAGATAAAGTATGGAAAGGGTTACAAAATGAATGAGTTCTTTAACTTATCTTTATGTAGAGTAGCAATAGCAATGACAACAATCATTGAAATAATTAGGAATATTATGAGCAATCAAGTATTAAAACAATTCTTTTTGAAAGTGGTAGATGAATCATATAACGAAATGATTGACCATGACGCAGAACACCTACCTACCTACCTAGGTACCTACACTGCCTTAGATTCACCCAAGATATCAAATCAATTCACAATGCGATCAAAGAAAACCAGGGACGGACCCTGACGCTTGACTTTTTCTTTATTGTCCTCTGCATTCAGCAAGCCCGACACGCCCAATTCTGAAAACAGTTGTAGAAGACTTCATCCAATCTGAGTCTGCAATGCGAGCCTGGAAGTGATACCAAGCGATACCAAGCTGTAACAAGCTATACAGATACTTTGCTATAATTGGATACGTCATTGTATGCGGAGTAGAGGACGTTTGATTTTAGAAATGTTGTGGTTGGTTTGATGGCATGGCATGATGGCAGAGGATAAGAATTCTCCCAAAGAGAAAAAACGCTGAAGACCACCAAGAATGATTTAGTGGCATTTGGCCATAGCTTTCGGAATACTCCGTAGCCTGTCTTATTTATTAATACTTGCTTATTAATAGTAATACTCTGTACACTACCAAAAATATCTTCATTCTCATCCATACAATCTCCATTCCTGTGTTCTTGACCAAACCTTACTAACGCCTGCCGAGAATCCTACAAGCCTCACTTGGCTCTAATTTTTGATCAATGAACCTATTGCTGCCATTTCTATTTTGAACCGCAAACATCACGGCGGCTTCATTTAACATGTTGACCAAGTGGTGATATATGCAACGTAAAGCAATAATAATCCATCATCCCGCTGTCCAATAGTCCAAATTGCACGACAAGGGAAAAGCCATTCCAATCCAATTAAAACACCGAAAACCATTTCAAATGTTCAAATATTCAACGCTTTACCAATTTTCATGTTTCGAAACTTCATATCTCATCTGCTAGTCTAGACTATAGGCCATCCTTGGGTCCGATCATCAATCCATCAAGGGCTTCAAAACCTTTGCATTAGACGCCGTTGCGGGAAGCGCCCGCATTTACCATGCTTCCCACATTTGCGGACCCATCGAAATCAAGCGGTTGAAGAGCTCTTCCCGTAATGCAATAGCTGTGAGTAGCTTTTGATCACCAGCTCTGTCGACTACAAGAAGTCCGTCGGCGATTTCTCGCGACGTAGCCCATCCCACGACAAGCCTTGTTTTCCAGCCTAGGCCGCCAACCTTCTTAATCTCCTGTTGTTACCGTATTAGATTATGGCTCTTGAGGCATGTTGAAAACTCACCATGATATCAGATATTGGTATGGAGAAGACAGGATCAATGTCGTCTCTCTCGGTCGTCCAACTCAATGCTGGAGTTGTTGTAGTGGCGGTGATATATGCATGACCCTTCTTACCCTTATATCTAGAAGGGAACCGAGTAGGGCCAGCTGGGTCATCCGGTCCATCTTTCAGAACGCCGAGACGATTTTTCGCATGTTCTGCTCCGGCTGCAGCTTTCAATCTATCTGTTCCCAAGGCAGTCTCAACACCACCTTTGGTAACACTTTTGAAAGCAGCCAGGATACGTTGGCCTTTCTTCTTGGGCTTCGGCTGATCGACACTGGTTGTGCTCACATCTACGTCAGGATGAATGGCATCGGCCATTTCTGCATCGGATACGCCTTCTGGGAATGTTAATCGATTTCTTTCACTTACAAGAAGAAATATTACTTACCAAGATGATCAAGATCCTCACCTGCTGTAGCGTGCGCAACATCAGGTGGCGGTAGGGAGGAAGATGGAGGTGGCGGGATTGGAGCTTTGTTTGCCTCCCCAATTCGCAATAATGTAATTGTGAGTTGAGCATTTGTTGGGACACCTTTAAGCAGGGTATTCCTGATCTCCAATAACCTCTGCCAATGTGGGAATTCGCGGTTCAAGTACGAAAGTCCTCGCCAAATCAACGGGTCTCCGAAGAACCCCAACCCAACGAACAAGCCATTCATCTTCATAAACATATACGAGCTAGTCAACATGGAGATAAGGAGTAGTGGGGCAAGACAGCCGGCAAGCTTGAGCCGGGGTTTCTGCTGGGGAAATGGTGGTGTTGGAGATAAAGCGTTGGCGAATCTTTCCCATCCATCAGAAATGTCAGCAATAGCATGCATTACGGGCCTAGTCTTCGACCACATCGCTGCCCTCATGGGTTCCTTTGTTTTATCGTGCAGGGTATTTATTTGATTTCCTTCACTGCTGCTCTTTGCATCTGCGGCCCCTACTGCCATATTTGTTGGATCTGGCGACGTATCCTCTAAAGTACTTGCTCCTGCTTCATCACCGTTTGGATCTCCCTGAGGATGCTTTCCAGCCGCACTGCTTATTGCGATAGAGGTAATGCTATTTACGAAGTTACTAGCTTCTTGTTCAACTGCTTCTCCTTGATGTTTCTCTGGGGCTCCCGTCAAACTGGTATCGTTTCCTAGGACGCCTGCCGTCGGTTTCTTGATTCCTCCTGTTGTACTATCGATGAGTGCGGGTGGTGCTGGAGGAAAGCAGTATTCTCTCGACGACGGCCATGCTATAAGTACAATCACAAAAGCAATAACCGTCGGAAATAGGAAGTCTATCAACCAAGCTAGAAAGTAAACTGAGGCGAAAATAATTGTGCGTTTTCTTTCCCTCCATGACCTTAACCTTGCAATATGTTTCCAAAAGGTAACAAGCCCGACTATTACTGTCATGTATAGCCGCTCAATGTTCGCTCTCAACTTGTCTGGTGAGAACTCTTCTTCGTCGGCAATATTTAGATCCAAGCCCCCAATCGGTGGCTCTGGTAATGATTTCACGTGGTACATCTGTTTATTGAATCGTCGTACTAAAGTCCATAATTGTTCGTTCGGCAGACCTCCGACCAGAGGCACAGGAACATCATCGGGCTGATCATTCCAACCCAAATCTCGCACCTCGGTATTGCCATGATCTAGCTGTGCTGCCCCTTTCTCCTCATGGTCTGCCACCGCAAGAGCATGACTTTCGGTGGGTATGTCTTCTTCATGAGTTTCGACTTTTATAGGTAGGTTGTGAATCGGGTGGGCGCGTCCACGATAGGGATCTGTAGGTACCGCACGAGGATCATTGAGATTTGGAATATCCTGTGTATCTTGAGTATTCATTATGTGAGATTGAACTGGAAAACGGAGAAGGTAGAGTCGTGTCAAGTAGACGATTGGTCGGCTAGACCAATGGTGATGTAGATAAAGATCTTGCTGATTGCCCACTTAAAGCAATGATCACTGAAATGGAAGATCTTGGTGGATTATTGCAAGAGCCAGACCAGGACACGGAGAAGTCATAGAATAGGATGTGACTTTAATATGGGAAACAAAAGGACGGAAAATTGATCCTGGCATGGTATGGATACATTGATTCAGTGATTCATTGATTATTATCAGAGGAGGAATGTTCAAGTTTGAGTTGAGCATCTCCCGTCCACTAGGTCTATGACGTATGACGTAATCGAAGCTTCCTTTGTTGGATTCTTCCTTTGTTGGATTTGGCGCAATTGACGCCTTGTCCCAAAATCGCATAGCAAGAAATAGATATCATGTTATTAATTTTAGATAATGAATGGTAAAATTATGATTTACCTTCCAAGGTCGCAAATCCCAATCGAGGATATCTTTTTATACATACCTAGTATGCGAAATATACGATTGCCATGCTGGTGATTGGGCTATGGATAGGTTGTTTCTATTCTGCCTACTCCTACCCACACAATGGATGAATAACCTTGTCTTACGAGCTATAGGTAATCTTACTAACCCTTTTCAATGCCTCATTTTCGGCTTTACAAATATTCCATTTCACATTTGATAGTTGAATGTTTTCTCAGTCTTGAGTTTAGTGCTAGTGCACGTGCACAGATGACGATGTCACTTTCAACCCCGCCATCACGAGCCACAGCATCCACAGCATCCACAGCAGCCACAGCAGCCACACAACACTCTCAATAGAGCTAAGGTTATGGAACAAATATAAGGGAAAAAAACAACAAAAAACGATCACCGACAATAACAATAAATCTAAAAGATACAACAGAATTTGTCGATAGATCAAATACATAACACATACATGTCACCGTCGACCTTTATTTTCCTGTGGAACTGGGTTCTGGACTTTGAAGTTTTAAATGTCAAATCTGAATTGAAACACTTGAGGAGCAGCATGAGGCATCTAAGCACTCTAGAGAGCCATTTGATCGACAAATCTACATTGGCTCATTGTCGTCGTTCGTAAAATAATCTTAATGGAGGGGACAAGATTGACAAAATTGGGGTACATTTATTACCTATTCCAACATCTTACCAACCACTTGGCAGTTGAAATCTATTTCTCTACACTATCACAGCTACCTAACTTGACTACAGTGTCAAATTTATCTAAACCCCAGCTGAAGTGAAATACAATTCTTCAAACATCCAAGTTGATGATGTCTGCAATCCATATCTTATGTGTAGCATCTCCTTCCGTCTCTTTTTGCACCTCAACTTTGCCGCCACGTACAAGCATCATGATGCAGTGTCTCAAAAGCGGTTTAGTCACCTGCAGCACCCATGCAGTGGGGCTGACGCAAACGCGCGCTCAAAAAGAGGAGTTCACTCAGTCCAGGAAGCCTTTAATGAGATGAAGTGTACCCAGCTAGGGATTCCGTGCCAGATTCTCTTCCTTGGATCTTCCCTCCGCCGGCTCAACGCAATTGACGTCGTGAATGAAAGACTGTGCCGGATAAGGTCATCGAACCATTGATGCGGACTTTGTAGTATTAAACAATTTTAGCGTTCTACATGAGGTGTTGAACACTCATCAAGCCACGACACCACGGAAAATGTCAGCCGGGCAAGACAGTGACGGAACTTCTTTCGAGAAAGGTGCGAATAATGGGAAAGATACAGAGCCTGCTACCACGAGGTCCTCCAAACAGAACGAAATCTTGTGGAAGACGTATAAACGTCCCTATCGTCACTTGGACGACCTTCTAGCTGCCAAACCTGATGTCCCCTCGGGTGCTTCCATTCTCGGTTTGCTTCATCTAGGGGAATTCTCCATCAAGCAAGCAGACACGTTTCTCGATAATCTCGAGCGCCCAGATTTAGCTCTAGAGAAATGGGTCACAGTGAACATTGTCATGGAGGGGATCATACCCCATCATGATGGATACAGCTCACTCATGAGCGATCTTGGGCTTTTAACTAGGTTTAACACGATTAAAAAGTGGCTATTGGACAAACATATGCAATTTGAAGAAGCAAAAGAATTCATCAGGAACGACAATTACAGGAATGGTGTTAAATCTTCTTTAACGCCAATAATGGATTGGCCAGACGAGGGAAATGCAGCGACTTTCGGCAATGGAAAAGGAAAAAGACGGCATATTGGACACAGCATTGACAATCATGCAGAAAATGAAGGTGCGGGATCGACGTCCAAAGGCTCTACTGCTTCTGGGAATTTGAGCGACAGTGTTATCCAGACAAAAGGTAGCCGGCCATCAGATGATGTCACAATTTCTTACCCATGTCATGTTCGAGCATGTGAATACTACAAAAGTGGGTTCCTCTCTCAAAGTACTCTGATGGATCATTATCTCCATTCTCACGGAGAAGATTATCATCTTTGCGACTATGCTTCTTGCCAGTCACAAATAGGCACTGCCACTTCATCTGGTCTCAAGTTTCGTTTCCTTCGCTCAGACTTCCGAGGTTCAGAGGCAGAATACAGATCCCACCTCCAGGATTCCCATAAAGAAGACATTGGATTATCATCTAAATTGTCTGGCCAAGAAATAGACTCGCTTGGGTTATGTAGATTAGAGGCAGAATGGTGGAGGTGTCAAAATTGTTTGAGAAGGGTTGTCGTGCAAAGCGAAGGATATACTTGCACTGCCTGCAAAACTATATGCGAGCCGGCAATAATTACGGCGAGGAAAACAAGATTTAGTTTCGGGGGGCTAATTGATAGTGGAAAAATGCTCCCCAGCGCGAATGGAGCTATTGTTCATCAAGCTTCCAATCTCCCGAATAATCCGGATGTTACAAACGCACACGATGTACTTATTGATGGTCAAAGTCGAGTCTCCGAAGAATCTACAGAGCATTCATCTACTCCAATAGCGGTAAGATTGCGCGAGGAGAGACACGCGCTCGAAGCGAGGCTTGAGCTTGAAAGCCTGACCTGGCTTCAAGGAGAACAATCAGCAAGAAAACAGAGATCTGCAATTGAATCGCTCAAACTACCATCTGCGAAGGTGTATGTGCCCGAGAGAGAAAAAATTCAGCTTAGAATATTGGAGACCGAGCGTAGAATAACGGACATTCAGGAAGCAGATGTGAAAAGACAACGAAAAGCTCATGCTAAAGAGGAATTAAGAATAGAACGAGAAGCTCCGTTTGAAGAAAGATTAGGAATAAAACGAGAAGCTCTGCTTAATGACAAATTAATAAGAGAACCAGATGCTCAGACTGAGGAAATATTAAGAATACAACGAGAAGCTCCGTTTGAAGAAAGATTAGGAATAAAGCGAGAAGCTCCTCTTGAAGAAAAATTAATAAGAGAACGAAAAGCTCAGGCTGAGAGGAACACGCTAATAATTGAGCATATCGAAGTACAATTGATGCGCAGTGTTGAGGAGGATTTGAATGAGGGGCTGAGGGGCAAGGGGGATGAGATAAATCATTCTGCTAGAACACCCATGTTGGGCATCGATTATGAATACACCCACAAGGAATATCTGAGCAGTAAACTTGTTCCATTCATGACAATTAAGCAATTGGGACATGGCTCCTTCGGAATTGTTGACGCAGTACGTTTCAATGACAACGAAAATGGCCTTCTACTTGCCCGAAAAATAATCCGCCTTCCTAACTTTTCACGGAAGAAATTATTACCTCTTATTCAACAAGAAGTAGCCGTCCTTCGGGGTCTCACCCATCAGCATATCGTTAAAGTCATCAGTACTTATGAAACAACTAAAGCTCCTCGGCAATTCGGAATTCTCATATCTCCAGTTGGTGATGAAGATCTAGGTCATTTTCTTGATCGAGTTAGCGAAAGTGATTTCCCAGAGGGAGATATGAAATTGCTTAATGGCTGGCAATGTTGCCTTGCTTCTGCGCTAGCATACGTCCATTCGCAGAATATAAGGCACAAGGATATCAAGCCAAACAACATAATTTGCAAGGGGGATCAAATTTACTTGACCGATTTTGGATCCGCACACCAGTTTAGTGCCGGTGTTACAAGTTCAACGGATGGTCCTCTGGTAGGTATTACCAAGATGTACAGTGCTCCTGAGGTAATCGCCGATGACCGAAGAGGTCGACCTGCGGATATCTACTCCCTGGGTTGCGTTTTTGCCGAGATGGCCACTGTAGCTAACGGTGAACGAATCGAAGAGTTTCATGAGTACAGGAGCCAGCCGATTCCAGATGAGCCCGATATAATGACCTATATTTATCATGCTACGGCACATTTGATAGGGCCATGGTTCACCGAGTTGGGGGATCCTTGGACGGCATCTCTTCTCCATGATATGCTGGCTGTGGATCAAAAGTGTCGTCCGACGGCTGCTGCTCTACATGAAACTCTATTGGCGCACTATGGTCTGTCTAATTGTCCGTGTCATCAACTGCCTTTTTCAAGAGCTTTGCCACAGGTAGATGATACTGCATCTTGGGAACATGCAATTGACTCAGGAATCACTTCGAATTCCCGGATTGTTCCAAAAGTCATCAACAAACAATATGCTTATGTGGACCAAAAGTAGGAGAACTCTCAAGATGGTGGAACTTTTGGTGTCCGATTGAGCAAACTTCAAACTTGTACGATGGTCGGCTGTACGCAAAATATTTAAATGCTTGGCTCATCTCAAGAAATCACATTTCGGTCTCGGACACCCTGAGGAGTTGTCGAGGAAGTGGGTTACCGAGCTTCCGAAAGATTTGACTCAGAATGGAGCAAATTCACTACCATTCTATTGCGAGCTCTACTTGCAATGTTGGTGCTGAGCGTCAAATATATTATAGCGGGCCTGCCCCATCCCGTCCGCCCTTCAAATGCTTCCCCCGTACTGAAGGTCAGACGTATGTTTCTCGTGGACTTGTGGTTCTGCACCTATGCCAAATATACTTTTTGGTGGAATACAGTTCCCGGTCAGAATTTTGGCCGAAGAAGTGAGAGAGAGTATGCAGAAGACGTCGGAGGATTCGCCTCCAGTGTCAACTGTAGACAAGAGCCAGTTGGAGGGGTCTTTGACAGTCTTACTCGTCTTAGTCGGGGTCCAAGAACATGGAATGGGCTGGATCTAGCATTATCTCTCTTTAACTGTTTAGGTTGTATTGCACCGCGCCAGTGGGGATCCTTAGATACTGCACTTCTACGGCCGCGCGTGGTTCGTTTTGCTGAAATCTGTCACTTGAATCGTGACTGTGGATTCGATATACTATCAAAAAGTGCCCCTTCTAACCGGGAAATCGAGTGAATTCGATTGAGCTTGTAGGCCAAGGATGTTAGGAAAAGAATCCCCCAAAAATGTATTTGGCTAAGGTCAAAAGCACTAGTCCACAAGGATCAAATATTAGTGAACAATTAACAATCTCGATTATGGGCCGGAAACATGAGATGAACTACCTAAGTGTTCTATTTGTGTTTCCCTCTTCACGATCATTTCTTCTATCACTACCTTTAACGTCTTAACATCTGTTCTGAGCTAAAGTGACATGCGAACTACCTGTTTGTATATACACGTGGCACTTCTTTTTTTGTGAGCACATAGTTGATATGGTGTCGATTTGAAGACCGAATCAGCTCTTCGAGCGGATGTCTTTCAGCCCATCAGCTGACAGTCAAAGTTTACTGATATCCTCGTGTACGCGCGATCATCAAGTAGACGAGCCGGAAGTCTACATCTTACTCTATTAGCTTTTTATTGGTTATAAAGTCGGATATGCGTTCCTTAAGATGTTGCACGAGGCTCGGTGGATGTTACAGGAAAAAAAAAGCATCTTCTTAGATGGGATTTGGCTATGATGCTGGCAGTCAGTGATTATTGTCACAAAACTCAAGGCTTTAAAAATCGCTAAGCAGCGAGACAAACTCAGGGTATTTAATGCTTCCATCGTTCATCTGGCGGTTGATGATCCTAATGATTGGATTAACGACATACGGCTAGAAATATAAGTGCTCAGGGTTACATCCCTCTTATTTAGATTTCTCAAGCTCCTGCTTCTGGCCATACTTGACGTAAGCCTCGCAATTGTGAAGTCACCAAAGACTCGATCATCAAAAAAATCTTTGATGAGGACGGCAATGTTACATCGTGATATGTAATATCTTGCAGCACATAACTATATATACCCTGTGAGATCATCCTTGTTCTTCATGTATCTGTTAACTCATCGGCGACTAGGAAGACTCTACCACTATGGTCGCAAGCCCATAATCCACCAGCAATTCTACGGTGCGTCTTTGAACCACCAGCCTTTCTGCCTTCCGAATCCGATTCTCCCTTCCCTTCCATTGCCATAGCCTGTCTAGGCTCTAGTGGTATTTCCTCGCAAATGAAGACTGTACTTCCATGCTTCATCCATTCGCCGATAATGATTTCACGAGCACGGTAAGTCTAGTGGCCCAATTTACTTTCATATCTCCCTTCGCACCTTCAAACATGGACTAATAATCACCCAAGTGTTCAGAACAGCGCAGTACTTCCGCGTTTGGTCTTTGCCTTGGCCTGTACCCAGCAGGTTATTCCTTCGTCGTCTCGGCTGGAGCGAAAAGCTTTCCATATACGAATAAGACGGGTAGTTACATGAAAAACTTGAAATTGACTGATCCAGACATTTTGAGGGATTATTAAGGAAGCAGTATTGTTTACGTCGCCAATGAATGTACTAATGGAAGATCTTAGATCTTAGATCTTAGAATGATTGAGAGAGTTTGGAAGAATGGTGGGATCTAGAAACTTCGGGTGTGTGATTAGAGATGAAGAAATGTATTCGGATACTTGCATATAACATATAACAAAGAAGTATGAGCGAAAAGAATAAAATCTCATCCTCTGAATAACAAGTAACAATTTCACACTGTCTCTTAAGCTTCTTGTACCCTCGTAAACTAGAGATTACGAATTACCTACTATCCCCAAGGCCCCGCAGCTTATCCGAACACAACACCAAGCCCCGCATCGACCCTGCATCACCCCACATGGTGCAGCAAATTCTCCCTACTTTTTTTCATAGATTTATACATATAAATAAGTAAATATCTTCATCTACAATCAGATAGGACAGATGGCCGAGTGGTTATGGCGTGTGACTCAAGCTTAATGGCTTAGTTGATTGAACCAACTAGCATTCTCATGGGCTTAGCCCGCGGGGGTTCGAATCCCCCTCTGTTCATGAATATTTTTATACTTTTTGAGTGTGAATGCTTACAAAGGGTGTTAGAGGGGTTTGTTTTGCTTGAGTATATGTTGTTAGTTAGTGTTCATGGAGGGGCGAAGCTATTATTTCGTGAATGAAGATGGTGTTAAATGTGTTTCTAGGGTGTGGCCTATGCTTTTAGATGGGCCATTAGCTATTTATGGCGTGGTGACTGGCGATTAGATCTGGTGATCTATTAATTCTTTCTTTGTGTGTAAATGAGCGTGATATAGATATTAAAGTTTTATTCACGGCTCTCTATTATTTCCTGATTCCACTGCTATGCTAATTTAAGGACCACCCGAATCTATATTAGCTTTTAAAATAATTACAGCCAAGGTACTGATGTAATTAGCCATAAGAATTGTCAAGCTTGTCCTTAACTGATTTCGCAGTCAAAGAAAAACGAACACCCACGACTGCTCAGTATCAAGTACGCTCATTTTGACACGATATTTAGCACAATATCCCTTCAGTAGGCTCCAAAGATTCGGCCACTATCAAGGAAACAGAACACTGGAAAATACTCGGTCTCCAATGTGAATGCTAACTTCCATCTACGGCTGTGTTCTTTCTAATCTCGGCATCAACATCTAGGCAGCATTAAATCACTAGGAGTCTTCAGCAAGTGCTTCTTTGCACTGTTATAAATTATTTAAGTGATTGATGAACTCATCATGAAAGAGACTAGGTTGGTATCTGGATATTAATTTTTCCATTCTGTATTATTGGGGGGTCAGCTGGTTAGCTTGATCCGCTATTTCATAAATGTAGTTCGACATCGTTAAAACAGAGTGAGAAGCGAAAACACTAGGTTGATACATCTGTTAGATATACAACAAAGATTGATTATCTGTTTTTACGTGTGCCTTTGATCACACTTGCTAGGATACCAAGAGCAATCTTCAGTTCATTCGGGCCAAAGTTAGGGAGTAAAGTGTTCAGTATATGCATGAGTGGTTTCGCATACAAGGGCAAGTCTCCTTTTTGTATGCCTGAAAATGTCTTCACATTTACAGAGCTGGAAATGAAAGATCAGAATTTCATGTCACCTAGACTCTCAGGCGGACAAGCATAGACACAAGGTTAGAAGTCTCTTCATGTCTTTGTATTTTTGTAGCAAGGTAGAGTGAGTTTTGGCATGGAAAATCTTATATTATAGCAATTGGAAGCAACTCATCTGGTCTGGATCTGAAGCTGAAACTGCAGGTACGGATGCAGTAATCCACGAATAGAACCCACTGCCCCTCGGGGAGAACTTAAGGCCATACGATATAATGCTGATTGAGAAATTGTGTGGTAGCTGGAATGGGAGTAAGAGATTGTAGGAATAATAGGATTGATACAAGTAGCTTGATCGAGACATGGATATTGATTTATGTACATGGCATCAAGCTGGTGGTGAAGAACAAGGAAATCGGGGAAGCCCATATCAAGATGAATGGACATCACCATGCAGAATCTGATCCAACTACCAACGACCCGACATTTCTCCCAAACTAGAGTATCGTGCATGTGAGTTCTCCCCGTTAAAGCGAAATGGCGAGATTTCTTTGCTTTGGTCTAAAGTAGAAAACCGATCACGCGATTGAATGGTTTTGAATCAAAAGGATGACCGTTTCAGACATTAAACTAGTTTGAAATTCCTGCTGAAACATTCAATTAGGGCCTAAACAAGCCTTAGGAGGAATCAACCACTAATATTGTTGGTACGAGAAGGATACGGAAGACGTAGCACCCACGGATTATGTAGGTCCTGTATGTCTAATTGTATTCTGTCTAAAAAGCTAGCTACATATTGAAAGTAGTAAGTCTTATATAGACTTACTAAAAGAGCTAGTCTCTTTCGCGTTCGCTTAGTTCTTTATTACAGTAGTAATTGAATTGAAGCCATTCACTTCGTTCACACAAATATAAATAAAAATCACCATAAATCTCAGCCTTTTCAGGATTCCAATTAAGACAAATTACTATGTCCGCAGCAATTGGATCATCCATGGGTCAGTTGCATCTAGTATTTATATCTGTCTTTACTATACCCTTCTTTCTTAAATATAACCTTCAGATCGATCATCCTGAATTAAGGCAAGGCTTTCAAACTTCGATCTCTAATGTGGTTATGGTGGGTGTCCTAATCATGCCGTGTCTATGAATTACTGTTTTTTTGCTTTAGGATGGACGAGAATGCAATGATGATGACAGTGATGATGACGATGATGACGATGATGATGATAGTGAAAACAAATGCATCGCTGGTGAACATTCAGCGCCGTAAACTTAGAAAGTTTACCCTAATCGGCGATTCCAATACTGGATAAAACATCTACCCTGCAGAAAATACCCTTTAAGAGGATATAACTGCACATCACGATCATAGAACAGTGCCGATAATAGCCAGGACGGGAATGATAGTTAACCGCAACACTAACAAATACCATGAAATCGACAGTATTATTACTACAAAAAAACATAAAGGAAAACAACAGCGATGATGCATAAAAGATCATCTAGACGTTAGTAAAAAAGTTCAACGCATATATCAACTACGATAAAAATCAGTTACTAGATGACTATCCTTATTATATACATGAAGTTGGCCTTATTTTTTAATTTTTAACATCTATCCATAACTAGAACTAAACCTTACCTAAAGACATCGTATTTCTATATTACTGGCCTAATCTTCGAAAGGGGTGGTAAAAGTTAAGTTTTGCTTGTAACAAGACCAAACGAAAAGAAGAAAGCGGACGAGGTAACAGGAGTTTAAATAGTACAATGGAATGGAAGGTGCTAATTCATTCAGGCTTCAGTTGTGTAAACAGGATAACTTCGTCTGAGTTGTGTCTAACGATACCTCGAGATTTGGGCCAATAATCTCCACTTGCGGAAAGTTGCTGAGATTGTACTATTACCTGTTCTGATGTTTGTTTTTGGTTGAGGAATTCAAGTGCTCCTCATTACTTAGTTCTGCTTCGAACAATGAAACACTTCAATCGTTGATTTCTTGCTAATGGAAAGTGCACATCTTTCATTCTGCCTGGCTTACCATTCATGTTCATAACCTCACTATATCAATTCATCAACGACGTTAAACTACTAACATCTCATTCACGTCGTATCATTAATAATCACGCAAGTATTTATTGCAACAAAAGCCTCCTGCATTGACTGACTAATCGACTAACTGACTGGCATGGCAAACTAGAATTTGAAAACGTCACCTACTTCAACTTAACTTCACATATTTTTCCACTTCTCCTTCCAAATCTCTCTGTAACATTCCTAATCCCACAACTGCGCACTGGCAGTTTTCATCCCCACAAGCCATTTGTCAATTTACCACCGTTTCAGGTCCGTCACTCTTCTCATCAATCCCCACACTCAAAAACAACAAAAACAACTCAAACTACAAAAAAGCCTATTCAACAGCAGCCCACAACTCAAATTTCATTCCTCAACACTAAAGTCCTCCACGCAACAACATCAACTAACACGCAGTCAAGATAGAAGAAATAATCAGATGCAAGCAAAGAGGAACTTATGAGTCTGAGCTGGCGTAAAAGAACTGGTCAAGCAGTAAGCCTTGCCGAATTCAATCCAATCAAGCTCAGTATGGGAAAAAGAAGAAATAAAATAAAAACATGATGAGAAATCCATCAGCGAAGCACGTAAGAAACACCAGGATCCGCAACTGGCAAGATCATATACCCATCCATCCCAATCCATTGCTAGTCCCGTTCCTTGTTACCCATTTACCCATCCATTCATCCATCATGCCATGACCAGAATTCCCACAAAAGAAAAAAAGTACCTGAGAACAGACCCAACTCCATCAACGAAATCCGATATGTTTTTTCCCGTTCCATCCTAGACCAGACATAGATGCAAGTTTTTCACCATCCATTCATCTCATCCATTTGATCCCTCATATATGCATGTGATATCGTGTCAAGATGACATGAACGTGGTGCTGTTCGATTTTGTAGTATTCCCCCATGTGTATCTCCCAATCAAATGTGTGAATATGTCCCTTGAGCCTTCACTCCTTTCCTATTCCTTGCGCCAATCAAAATGTTTGCTGTAAACATATCAAGCAACCGAGCTATGAGCCAGTCCATTATACTCCAGGTGATCATTGCAAAGCAGGTGACGATGAGACTATGATGCGCGAAGGGTGAATTAAAATGAACGGCGTCAGATAAGGGAAAAAAAAGACAAGATAAGTTTTACGAGTGCTGCATCCTAGTATTGCACGCGTATTGTATCGCAAGTTAAATGGCGATCATTTCTCCACCTCTAATGGCTAGCTGATATTAAGCTCCTGCGTCAGTGCCATTGTTGGAAAATATCCCTTCGATTCTGGAACCCCTTCCCACCTCCCACAATGCCTACCCAAAGCATCTTGCGCACCACTGATACTAGGTAGAGAATAACCACTCGTATTATATTCCTGCTTAACTTTACCTGGCGCATATTCCGGCAGACTAGGTAATTGATTTCGTGATTCCTGGTCGTCCCATAGTCCAGCTGGGTAGTACAAGTAGTTGGGAGCATCCTGTATATTCTTTGCTTCTTCAGCGGAAAGAGTGGGCTCCATGGGAATCTGAAGTGGCCCAGTGCGATAATGGTGTGATCGACCATCGTAAGAGCCGTAACTGCTAGAACCAGGAAGCATAGAAGAAGTGCCAGACATGGTAATATCGCCTGGAGTGCGAGAGGACCCGCCAGATGGTGTGTATGAGCCGCCTCCACCAGCACCTCCAGCACCTCCGGGCCCAGAGCTTGCGTTGCTACCTCTTCGTTCGCTTTGGTAGTGGCCGGGCGAGCGACCACGAACAACCATTGGTGCGGACATGCGGACCGCAACTTTCACCCAGCGATCTGGATGATTCTGGTTGTTTCCCAGGTCTGCAAAAAGTTCCACCAATAGATGATAATATTGCTGAGCCGCTCTCCGTTTTCCATTATTCGCTGTCGCATTTTTGAATTGGATACGCTCAAAAGTCGCTTCGGTGGCTGGGGTGTTTGGTGACTGGCCGAAGGATCCATCGTACATTCCACGTGGCCCGCTGCCAATTCCGTTGTCGCCACCATACATGTTATGTGTTGTATGTGGCCGTGGGGCAACCTGATGTCGAGGTGGCTTTTCTTGTGGTCCTTTGTCTCGTTTCGGAGTGTGCTGGACCAATTCTATGGATTTCCCATCGCGCGTATCCACCACTGCAGCTATGGACATCGCAAAATTTTGCACCTGCGGTCTCATCCCACCAGGCAGCAAAAGATGTATACTTCCTGCTGGTACAATGGGTTGAAGTGTGAATGAGCAACTCAATGAAAAGTAATTTCTTCTGTAGCAAGTCCAGTCGTTCTCGGCCATGAAAAATCCCTTGTCGATTTTTGCAAAGATTTCCGGGTTAATAATCTGTCCGTCAGCCGCCTGCAAGGTATGTATGACTTCTGTTGGATTAAGAGGAGGGGTGAGTTGCCCTCCAAGCTGAGAACCCTCCATATTCGTTGGACTTGCGAAGCCGCTGGTAGATGGTGATAACGGCACGCCTCTTACGGTGCCAGAAGTTGACGGAGATCTGGAAATTCCGTCCGTTCGACGTAAATGCGGTGTTGCACCTGAGTATAAATCTCGTGCGCTTATTGGTGATTGTGGGTGTGGTAAGGCTGGTGAGCGTGAGGGTGGTGCCATTCCAGGGGAGGAGTGACTGTGCGGATAGATCATTATTATCTGTGCACAGAAAATGATGGTGTATCGAAGTACTTAAAAGGGGGGTGGAAAGGTACGTACATAGAGTTCAAGCGGGGCTTAATATCGGGCATAGAGAATAAAGGATGAGCTCGGAGAAAAGTACGAGTTGCTCCCACCTGAGTACGTGGGACCGTTCAGCGGTGACTGATAGGCATGCGCGTATGGGGGGAATGGGATATTGGACGGGATTGAGCTTGGAATCGTGGGTTCTATCGAAAACACAGGGCTATGAGAGGTACCGGGATCGGAACTGTATCTGAGCTATCAATCAGCCACGGGTCTGCATGGTTGTGAGACCAAGTAAAAATAAGGTTCTGAGGGGACACGGTCTATGGGCTAAAATTCTTCACGGCGGTAATGATGCCCAGTTGGACTGCATATGTATGACAGCCAGCACAACCGTCAGTGGTACAAAATAGCGGGGACTACTCGCGTGATGCGAACCATTGCGGAAGCAAAGGTGGTTTTGGCTTGATTTGAGGCTTAAGCTGTGCAACCACTGGAGAAGAACCATGACGAGATATGAGTCGTGGCATGTTCACCACACCAGCTTTAGCGCTGATCGCACAAGCGGTAGATGCATGCATTATTTTGAAACGAACGATAATCAGAGACACCTCAAGGAGTAGCGTATGTGCCTAAATGCAAGGTTGACGGGGGGTACATCGGGAGAAAAGAAATGACAACAAAGTTTGGGGGGCGGGGTTAGACTTACCGTACTTCATCTGGCGCTGCAATCAAATATCGCATCCCCATATCAGAGGGTGGTTGCGGAGGGTGAACAAATTCCTGTCTTGAAGAGCTGTCAGGCTCTGGTTCGGATCCGACAATACACGAAGACGAATGCCCTGAATAAGCGGCTAGGTCTTGGATATTACCAGATTGAGAGCACATGAAGTGATCGAGTGTTATTTTTTGAGGTGTAAGGACTATTGGGTGAAATGGTTAGTATCGGATGATGGAAAAAATATCCGAAGAGATTTAAGATATTAAGATAGGTTATTGAAATCTTCATGGATAAGAAGCATAAACGTAAGAAGCGAAGCAGGAATCAGAAGTCAGAACAGAAATGAAGATTTCAAGGACGACGATTGGGTAGATAGTGAATTATGCCGTAAAGATGTGATTAATGAAGTACTTTTTCTGGGGGAGGGGAGGGGGAGGAATTTCTGGCAAAATGCAGATTGGATATTAAGGGGTGGGATGTATAACGTTTTTAGGATTAGGCTACTTTGTGCGCCTCTTCCAAAATCTCAACATTCAATTGAGAGAGTGAATTGGAGGGTGAATTGGGAGGGAAGGGAGGGGAAGGATGAATTGTGGGGTGTGTGTGTGTGTGTGTGTGTGTGTGTGTGTGTGTGTGTGTGTGTGTATGTATGTGCGTATGTGTATGATGATATTGAACGTCGCACCCGGAAATTTTCTTTCCATGGAACGTTCCGTTTGACCAATTCACTGTCAGGGCCCGGCATTACACTGTATTGCTCTGTGTCCTGTTCTTTTTCAGGTGTGAGATGTGATATATGAGGTGCAAGGCGTAAAAGTGTAAAGTGTAAGGTATGAGGCATGGTGTATGAGGGATGTATGAGGTATGGTGGTGAATTGGTATGATGATATGATGATATGGTGATATGATGATATGATAGAGAAGACCAATTGGAGGAATGGAGAATTACTACACCAACCATTTCGCGAAAATTATCAACGACACCCCCCAAAATCAATAAGAGACGAACTCATCGAAATTATTCTCTGACTTCGACCCCTTTTTTCAATAAATGTTTTTTTGAAGATATATTTAAAAAAAGAGACGAGAGAATGGTTTTTGTGGAGGACACAAGAAAATTCAATTTGCTTTCGTGCCCAAGAAATATTCCAGAAAATCATTGAGCTGAAAGCTGAAATGGAAGGGAAGCAGGGACGTTATAGTTTTGGTTGAAGAACAGAGAGATGCGTAGCAGAAAGAAAAAAGAAAAGGATTAATGGTTGGCTTACTTACTATCGTTCATTTGCAGCCTCACACTCTTCAATCTACGTTCCACGATAATCCTTTGCTTCTCTTAATAAAAAGCTTCGACGTCAAGCCGGATATAAATGAATGGGAAGGATCCTGTCAAACGATAATGCCGATTCGGGGTGGGGGAGGGGAAAAAGAGTACTCGAAAGGATGGAAGTCGTGAGCAGAGATAGAATCCTCTTATGATGGAGATTGTCTAATATAAAGACAAGACAAAACAAAACCAAACAACGGTTTATCACCGTCGTTTCGTCCCGGAAGATGGGGTTGAACGAAGGAGTTGTTGATGGGAGGCTTTTTCTTAGCGGAAAATGGATGGATGGATGGATGGGTGGAGGATGGATGATATTAGTTGATGTTGATGTTGATATAGTAGTTGGTGCGAGTGTAAAGAGTGGCAGACGGAATATCCAGTACGGTAGACGATAAAATGTATAGGCGATAAAATGATTTGGTTTGGGATTTGGATCTCAAGCCAAAAAATCAAATGGAAAGGAAGAAATTGGAGCCGAAGCCAAAAGCCAAAAGCCAAAAGTCAGAAGCCAAGAGACAAAAGATAAAAAGCCAAAAACCAAGAGCTAAATAGCTAAACAGCTAAACAGCTAAAAGCCTAAAAAGCTAAACAGCTAAACAGCTAAAAGGCTAACCCCCAAAGCCAAAGCTAAAAGCTAAAGTTAGAGCCAAAGAAATTATTATCTTTGCAAAATAATTCAACCCCGGAAATCTTTTTCTTTTATTTTCTTTGCTTTGCTATTGCTTCCCCTTCCCTACTCTTCCCTTGTCTTGTCTTGGTCCTGCTATTTTCCTGCTTTCTGAAAGTCGCCTTTCTTCGCTGCAAGCTACTGCTTGTTGCTTGCTACTCGCTGCTACTGTACGTGCTTTTGCGAAATTACACACCAAGAAAGCAAAAGAAGAAATGGCGTTTCCTATTCGTCGTCTGATTACCATGTAATGACTGATGCGAATGCACTGATGCAATAGGTTTGCCGAGTCCCTGTAAAATTGAAATTTGAAACCTGGGATGGGCGATTTTGATATGGGTCGATTTTGATGGGGTCTTGACGAGCCTTGTCGAAACCAAGCTAAACAGGCCTGTGATGGAGGTTGGAAAAATGGTGAGAGTGGCTGTCTTGCGCCGGTGATCTTCTTCTTTTAGCTTTTAAGAATACCATTAAATACCCCTTGAAGAAAGCCCAAAATAACCACCAAGAGTACAGTGCTCAGCGAAAGTTACGCTGAAGCGTCGCTACCAGTGAGTGGCTGTGTGAGATATTTGAGGACGAGGGGGGGATCTTGAAAGGAACAGGGGGCGAAAACTTCCAGATAGAGTCTTGACGGCTGCAATGAAGGTGGTAATATGCACGAAATCGCCAGGAATACCCTCGCAGTGCCGTCCGTACTTCTCAACGTCCGGTAAGGAGATGTTGAATTTTTCTTGCTTAATTCTTACCCGTACCCGGCTTATTGTTTCGAATGCTTACGAGCAGGGGATATTAGAAAGCGGCGTGTGATGATCGAGAAAAAAAAAGATGGTGTGAAGCCTTCTCAAATAAAATCTACAGCCTCGCAACCAAGGAAAGCTGCTCTTGATTGATTTTCTATTTTTCCTTATTTGATTGGTTTCTATTTCCCAATGACTTTCGAGGAAAACTTGCTAGTCCAGGCGTTATTGTCCTGAGCTGCACTGCGCTGCGCCGTATCGCCCGTTTTGTTTGCTTAATTGCTTGCTCTTTTCGGCCAACCTTTTTCGCCCTTCTGGGTTTTTGCCTTGTCGGGGAAGCGCAACGGTATGGGTAGCTCCGAACTTTGATTGTTTAATGTTGCTACCTGACTTTTCGGGGGTGGTAGTTGGCGTCTCGTGGAAACTGGAACTGGCTTCCGATGCTGACAGTGACGGTTTAGTGCGTCCTTGGTAGGCTGGATGTATATGGATGTGAAAATGGATAATCGAGATCCTAGAACGAATGCTTGTTGATCCTCTTTATTTGGAGGCCAAGTCCAGATAAAATAGAGTAAAAGCGGTCCTGGAGTAGGGCAACCCGCGTGTAGGCAAGACTACGCCGATTATGAAAAGGTTCCAGATTGATGATAGCTTGATTGAGGTAGGTACAGTACGGTAGGTTGTATGGAAGTACCGTAAAGTATGCAGGTGAAGATCTGTTGGGGATAGTGGGTATGCGTGCGCGTGTATGGGTTTCGAATGTCTTAACGAGGTAGATCGTATGTACTTCAAAGAACTTCAACGGAGCAATTTGAAAAAAAATATAATTGGAATTGAAAATTTTTCCACCTTCTCTCCCGGAAATCCGCTTCTTTTGTTTCGACCTTTGCTTCGGGGATTAATCCGATCGAGTTCAATTGAAACAATAAGACTGCGGAAAATTGCAGAAATTTCTTGAGAACTAATGTACGAAAACTGTTGGTTATGATGCAGTTAGCCTACAAAGCATTTCTTAGATGGACTTCCGATCAAATGAACAAGGATAACGCGCTCGACTCAATGCAGGAAGGACGATTTCGGGATGGTGAAAATGATTTGTGGATGAGAACTAGATATTATGCTCCTCCACCAAAAGGGTATAACGTGGCTGGGGTCTGAAATGCACGGCTGATCCAATGCACCGGTTAATGCTCAAGGAGGATGATTGTGATAAATCAATGACAACAACAATGACAAGAGATTCATGTACTGACGGGACGAGTAGACCTTCGATTCGTTGAGCTTGAACGTATGAATGAAGAGCGGCGGTGTTCTTGACCCAGAATTCCAAGCTTAATTAGCAATATATGGCCCCTTGGGCTTGCCGCCAGAGCAAATTTGATATGTAGAGTAATGATGTGTGTATGGATGGAAGTCGATATCCTTGATGATGACTTGAAACGTTTTCTGGTAACGTAATTTTATATTGACGCGAGATGATGTTGAAGGGGCAGGATCTTGCAGATTAATGATATTGATATGTATGGGTATATTGCAGGTTGCAGGTTGCAGACTTTCAACGAGGAGAGATGCTGAGATATATGATACTCAAATTTTTGATACTAACGCCGTCAAGTTTGGTTGAAAAGTCTCAGAGATATTCGTTGATCATCAGCACGTGGGTTAGTCAATACGTCTATCTCTTTAGTACGTATCAGCTCTTTCTCTTTCGAGCAGGTCGGCTTGATCTATTGCTATAGAGAGTTCCAACCTCCTAGAACTGGATTTAATGTTACCAAAGTCGGAGGTACCGACAAGATACTCGTACAGAGCTTGAATCAATAAAGCTTCCGAGGCAACAGGAACGTTGCACAGGATCAAGAGCACAATGATGATGGTTTTGGGAAATCGACTAAGACTTTGATAAGAAGGACTCGAGCATATTAGCTCCTCTCAAGCTTTACTGACAAGTAACTCAAGACTTAACTCAAGATCGTTGCCGATAGGGTTTGGGGCCTAGATGAGAGCCACTAAAAATATATAGAGCTCAAAGTTAAAGCAACAAGCTGTGACGAGTTTTCTCCGCATTAAACAAACTTGCCCTTGAACTGAGGGTTCTTCGATGCAGGAACACAGTATCTAATTGTTGAAACTCTATCTAGATTTGGTGGAGCATGTCTGTGGATGATCTACCAAATCTGAGCTATCATATCAGGTACTGCCAAATTAGGGTCGCCCGAAGCATCTTCGAGAGCCTCACAAGATTTCTTTTTTCTGCAAATCATCAGCGGCGCACGGGGAAAGATTTACTTAGTAACCTCAAGCCAACTTAAAATGAGTATCAACAAGCAAGGCCTGTAGCAAGGTAGCTGAGGTAGCTAGTTCTGATGTGCATATGGAAGCGAGAGCAATCATTGGCCAATAGGGGATGCGGCATGCCAGAGAATTTACCAGCTTTGATCCTCGAAATGCATCATCCATAACAACTCCAACATATCTCACTGGTTGGTAAATGGGAAGGAAGATGCAGCCCTCAACCAATAAAAACTCTTTGGTTCTCTTTGCAGGGTTTTACGGAAGAGACCTTTTTTTTTTTTCAATGTGGCACTGCAATATTAACAAGTTCAGAGTTAGGCTTGTTTCGAAGGCTGCAGGATATTCGAAATTTCTTCTCGTTTTTCCTGTAGATGCACAGATTTGACGGTTTAAAGATTTTTGAACTCAATATCATGAATGAAGTTGCCTGCTACCAAATTTAGAAAATTTCTTGCGCGATTTTTTTACTAGTTTAGAATCGATTAGCGTATGAGGGGAAGTCCACTATTAGGATAAGTTTGCGGATCTACCCCAAAGTCCAAAGTCCAAGGCCAAAGGTCAAAGCCAAGGTTCAAGGTTCAGGGTTCATTCAGTCCGATTCACATTACAGCACACTTTTCGCAAATTTTCAGGACCCTAAAAAATGAGATGGTGCATTCAACTACCGACACTTACTTAAGGAGGTAACTTACCGGACCCAACTCACTTCCCTATTAACCTAAATCCAAAGGAAACGAAAAGGGCCTTCTCTCCGTGGTGACATGGCACTATTTGAAGCCTTTCCGAGTCTATTGTCTCAGCCCCTCAGAGTTATCGTTGATATCAGAAAGGAGTCAATAGGAGTCAGTGGGAATCCTTCATCAGATGGCAGGGGCTTGTCGTTAGTGTACTTCAGGGACATTAAGATACAATTCGATAGATTGCCTAGTTTCCAGGTATCAACAATAAACCCACGCCTTCTATTATCGTCCTCTTTAAACCTTACTGACCGAGTCAAATGGTTCAGGCGTGGGGCATACCACGGCTTTCATTCATAGGTAGACATATCAGCTGCTTCACTAGGCCGCGCCATGTTTGACATTTTTGACATCTCTTAGCTGGAAATCAAGTTGACGCTAATGTGTATATGGACCCTTTCGTTCATTTGCCCTCCTAACTCGATCCTCCTTAGTGAGGATAATGTAGGATGTCGAAATTACGTTGTTTTGTTGAAGTAGATCATGGTCTCGTAAAACTTCCTGCCCCGGAAGGAGCTCCACTAAGTCCTGATGAAATGCAATATGCCGGCAACTATCTTTCCGCATGCATACGACTCCATAACTCCTTTAACAAGAGTGCTAAACTCTTAGCCCGAGCCATGACGGGGAATCCCCATGGCGTCTGTTTGTCATCTTCGATCTCAAAATCAATGAGTACTCATCTTAAATCTTACATGCTTGTTACTATCAAAACCTGGGTACCTTAAAAATTCACCTCTAGGATTAAAGACATACTTGCTAGGGTGCTTTATATGCCAAAAAATACTTTAGTTAGGGCTTAGGAGGTCATATCAGATGCATCTTCTTTCCGACGTTGGTTTCTGGGTCTATTGCTGTACCAAGGAGTAAGGCGCCAGAAAACAGCAAACAGAAGGCCGAGAACAACCAAAGGAACCACCATTACATTGCCCTTCAAGGGTTAAAACATCCGCCATAACTTTTCATTTCTTCACGAATGGGATTCCTCGTATTCCAGAGATTATTACGGATAAGCCCTACCAACAGTTCACACATCGATTCGCCCTCTCACATGCGGCTAAGCCTACATACAGAAAGGTAAGTCACGCACATATAAAATCTGCATGAAGGAGGATGGTCGATGCACGAACCCGGAACACAAGACGCCTCCACTCCAAGCACGTGAATTTCGTACTCATTCCACCCCTCCCTTCTTCTCCCCTTTTGACTTGTTAAAGTGCACATGGACCCAAAGATTGCATTTCCATCTTTCCAGCCAAATGCACTTAAGATTACAAACAAACACTTCGCTCCTACCAATTCATTCATTCTATACTTGGATCAGTATTATACCAATTTCATTTTTATCTCTTGCATACAACCAAGTTCCAACCCAGGTTGTTTCGAGTCCAAATAGATTTTTGAGGAATTCTAGATTACCAGCAGAGTTATCGATCTCCACTACCTTCTCGACCTTTTTACTCTTGAGTGGAAAATCAAGGCAGGGTCAACAGCACTGCTTACTATTGGTTATTGGACTCGTTGAGGAAATGGGCAAAGCCAGAGCAAGTGATAAATGATAGAATGATTCGCGAACCCCAGTCTTGATTAAAGGTTTTGTATTGCTGCTGCATACCATCGAAAGTAAGTTGTTGGCTCGGGCCGGGTTTTATTGTTTCTCTCAACGGTTTATGGTATGCTTATTGCAATATAGGGTAAAGACCCCCGGGACCAAAAAATTGTAAAGTCGCTAGGCCTTATTTGATAAGTTTTCTTTCAATTGGTTCTATCTTGAGGTTTCCAGCTTCTCTTGAAGAATCCCAAAGGTAATTCTATCACTATCCTTCATCCCCCATCCCAAGAAATTCTTCATAATCGTATTGTACGTTTCACCACAGCGGCACTGTCGTGTCCAATTTGTGTGGTGGTATGCGATCTCTGTGCCATGTGATAAATCGCTCCCGCTCGAGACATAAACACCCCAGGTAGCACATCCATTTGTGGAAGATAGCCAATTAAGAAAGGCATTTACATCTGCAAGATGCAACTTATACGTTTCTCAACAAAAAGTTCTTATGCCTCTCCCTTTGGCTTCAATTTGATTGGAAATCGACCAACGGTTGTACATGATGATTTAGATGTGCCGTTGATTGGCATAGGTTTCGGCTTCTGCTCTTAGGGCCTAGAGACAAGTAGATAAGGGAGGAATAGTGGGAACCTTATGGCTTGCCTCTCAATATAACGTCGACGAGGAAGGGTACCGTAGTCAAGATTGGATTGGGAAGTGCGACAAGGTCATTGTAGCTTTATCCTTATGATGATTAGCTTAAGGGGGATGTTTTATTGCTCTCTACAAGGAATATCAACAAGCAATGCATCAATATCGGGAAATGTCTGCTTTAGCGAGGGAAGCAATAGGGTGCATCCGGAAGGTCACTGATCAGGGATAATAACTAGGCCAGCAGAAATACCAGTTTCCTATTGATATAAGATCTGCTGCAGGTCTGGGATTGCGAATCGTGCCTCTTATGTTATGGTATGCTTTGGGCCGATTTGAGTATGGATACGGCACTATGTACGAAGAGTATCATGAAGAAGCCAGCTAAATGAAATCAAACTAAATGATCGTCAGATAAAATCAAATTAGAATCTAATATCTAATATCTATTATCTGATATTTATAATATCTAATCTTTAATATTTAATATCTAGATATAGTATATAATACAGGGCATTATTTTTATTTTCCTTTTGTAAGACTACTTCAAAAATCCCGATCCTTGGGGACTTCTGTTCCCCCTCATCCTTGTCCACATGGTGCATTCCGTGCTAGAATTTCTAATGGTTGGGACTATGCGGGGCCAATCTGTGAAAGACGGGACAACAATATACTGAAGCCAATTAAAATGATGGTGAATGAAAAAAGCGATGCAAATATTCATATGATTATTATGATTATTTAGTCACTGATTAAAACATTTTGAAAAGTAATCCAAAATTACTAAATAACTAAGACTTACAATCCCCAGGATCTGGCAAGGTCAATCAATCAATATGTGGGCTTAGTTCGTACGAGCTCATTGATATCGTCTAATTGATGATTCGCCCCTTCATCACAAAACCTAACTCTATTTCCCATCTGGGCTGATTGTCCTTCAATAACCTCACATGTGCATGGAAAAATCCCAGCAAACATTCTTGTATCTTGTACGCTTAGGCCTTTCCTATTCAACGTTTATTAAGGTGGACTTGTACCGAAAAGAGTATTGATATTCATCCAATCATCTCCACTTTTTCTCTCAGAGCAACTTTCTTTTTCTCCTAGTTCAGTTTTTGTCATTCTTCTCTTGTTCTGTTTCATCTCTCGCTTCCAAGCAATAATTACCCATCATCATCTTTCCGTCCCGAAACCTTTTTCTTCATCATCCGGCTTCCTATCACGATATGTACATCATCTGTATCAAAAAGCCTCAATAACTATATCAAATCAGGATCAGGATCAATATGACCATGTTCATGATGATCTCTAATCTAATCTCACGAACACCAAGTGCTAGATTTGTTCATCCCCGCCGCTACCCGCAGCGACAACAGGATTCCCGAACAATACTTGCGCCTCTTTTCGGTTTCTAACCTTAAACCCCGGAATGTGAGACCGTTTCTTTGACATCTACATTAATCCGAGTCTCCGGTTTCGGGTCCAGAGTCTCGGTTTGTCCTCGCTATCTCTCCCGCTTCTCCTTACATTGATGATGCCAGTCAGTAGTCTGTCTACCTTATAAGGTTTGAGGCTTTTAAGTCGACAGTAATGACTATCTACATAGCAGGTACATGCATGTCCATTCACAAGATACGAGGCGCAGTACGGTGAAGTATCCATAGAGCAAGTTATCAAGCAACTTCCCCTCGTATCCCTCCAATCATCACTTATCACAATAACCAAACAATGGCCATTCTTCAGCAAGATGGCGACGCACAGATCTCCACCAATATTTCACCCTGTCCCTTCATCTTTCCTGAATCAATCACCAACATTACACAGCATCCAGCCGCATGACCAATGGCTACACAAAAGTTTCGAACTAGGCGCCATCAAGCCATGAATCGGCTGAGAGTCCGGCTCCATGAGGTTTTCGGTTGAATTCCCGTTTTGTTGGTGTGTAGATTCGGCTTCGTTGCTTGCGTCTGTCACAAGTACTAGGGATCTTTCAATGGAAAAAAAGAAAGGGGGAGGAAATCTTGATTTTCTTGGAAAATGGGGACATTTCTTTTACCTTCCGATTTGCTAGATGATAATGTGGAAGAGAATTCTGTAATATGGGTGTGCTGATGCGACTTTTGAGCGCAATGGGGGAGAGATAGGTAATGGAAATGGTAAGAGGAGTCAAAGATTTTCGTGATGAAATGGTATGATTGGTGGCGTTGAGATGAGTCGAGGATCTTTCAGATTGACAATCGTACTTCAATGGTTAGGGTTAGTGTTGGGCTGAGTCTGAAAAGAATTGAACACAATGGAGATGATTCAATTTCCGTGTTACTCGACCTCTTCTTCAGATGAATGGATACGAGAATGATCATGATACATGATAAAGAGGATTGAGGAGATCGAAGCTGGGGGTTAGGCCAAGGAAGGCTAAGGATGATTTCGTTTTCGTGAGATGGGTCTCACTCACCATCTCGCGGTATCTACCATACTGCTTGTCTAGCGTGGCCGCTGTGTAAGGTATTGGCTTGGATGGTATGGCTGCGGTTGGAGTTGGCGTGGGGGTCTGAATCATCACTCGCGTCAGGAGTGTCAGGTGGGTGTTCTCTGGGACCTTTACTGCAATCTTCAATTCCATTTTCCCATCTTCCACTTTTAACAATTACCATTACTAAGGGAGACATCTCCTGCTTGCGCAAACGTATTAGGTGACTCAACATGATGCATATCTCAAGCAATGGCAAGGGGCAAGGCACGGCACCATGAAGTGTTCAAGGTCTAAGTCGTTGGGCGAACATCCATACTATAGCCTATTCCATACAGCACATCAAGATAAACAATCACACGCCACTTCCCTATGCTTCCCTGATCATACTTGACAACAGTGCATAGCAGATCCAAGAACCATTCCCCAATAACAGACAGAGAAAAATTTCCATGCGCCTACATGTTTGCTTCATGCGCGAAGCCCGAGCCCAACATCTCGGATCCTCTCGTTAGTGCTCCACTGAGCCCACAGCCTGCGTCGGCATAACAATAGCATCACCGTGGCAAAGCAAGCAAACAAAAATGAACAAGCGAACGAGGCAAAACAAGACAAGACAAACTAGCTTGCAGCTCTTTTCTGCACCTGGCCCAAGTATGGCAACCTGGAAAAGAAATCACCCTAATGCAGATATACGTGCCCGTATGCGCGTGCGTGTCAGAACTATATTCAAATGAGTGAGGCAAAGCAAAGTAAAGCAAAGCAATTTCCTATCTCATCATTCCACTGCTGAAGTGGGACTCTCCAGGGATAGTTTTAGCATGGAGTGTTTTAAATCGCTATTTGCAATCCCCTCAATCCCGGGGTTGCACAAGGCTGGTATAGTTCCATTTTGGTTGGGTTGGACTGAGATGAGGATGCGGACATGCTCATGGATAGTTGGTAATGAGGAGGTGGATCTGAGTGGGTGGGTGGATAAATGATGTGATTAGGTTAGAGGGTTAGCTACAAGGATAGGAACTAACGCGAATGAATGTTGGGGGCGTAATGCATGTATCTTATGTTATACAAGCACGGAAAAAGAGATTAGATGGCGGTGGGAGAGGTTGGCGATACTGATGACGAAGAACTAGAGGGGAAGCAAATTATGTTACATCAGGAACGTGTTCGAATTTCTTCACCGTCTGTCTCCAACTACATGCTTCACCTCATAATATTTTCGAGACTAGTTTCTGCAGTCTCCCATGTCGGTTCTGCCTTGAAGAGATGGTGCTAATCTAAATACTATCTACCTCAGTCATCAATCATAAGCTTTCGGGACTCGAGCAGACCCACCCATCTCAAGTGATAGCGACACCGGGAAATCTCGAAGCCGAATTAAATTTGATGTCATGCTTCACTCAATCAACTGTGAAATGTATGTCTAAATAAGGTTCTCGCACCACACTACCACCATACGCAGATCCCCCATTCTTAAGTACCCCAGTCCACACATTGAGCAAATCCCATCCGTACGCTAATAGAATTCGGCAATAAATCCGAAAGCGTGATCCGAAGTCCAAAGCTTGATTTGATATCACGTATACCTACCTACTAGGTACCTATCTTCGGTAGCAAATTTGCGTGCGGGCAACATTTGAAATGGTCTAAAAACAAGGGACGTTTTTTGACGTAAAGCTGTCGAAATCTCAACAATGTCATTCTGCAAGGTATATCCATATATATTTCTCTAGGCAGGCAGCTTTTTCTTGAATATGCTCCGCCTTTTTAGCATCCTTCGGCCCCACACCGATGTTGGTCTAAGCAACAGATCTCGAGATTAGCTCCCTTTCGAAGCTTAATTCACTTGTGCACAGCCGACCCGCCCCCTTAATGCTTAATTCATGCTGCCAAAGAAGCGAAGTCGCGACTGGTTGCGCAAGACTTTTAGTCGCTAGTTCACTGATTGACTGCTAGTTTGAAATTTCGCTATCAGTTTTTATCTTTGGCTAATTCGTTTCCGCTATGATGCTTCTGCTCTATATATGGATTTAGGAATGAGATGAGGGAAAATGAGGCAAGGAGAAATGGAGGGACAGGCTTCTAGATAGGGATTTGATATCAATTAAAATGAATGGAGCAATGAGGATCGAAGCACATGAAAGACTATGACGCATTGAAAGAGAGTAAGAATAGAAACATGACCATCCCTCAGGGAAAAGAGACTCAAGAACAAATGTATCGCAAAAGAGCATGAATTATTTTTGATCAGTGTTGGATCCCTGCGCTTCCTTAACTTGCAAAGTATAGAGCTAGATGGGCTACAACGTTGTATTATGACTGAATTACAAGATCAGCACTCGTTCATTTTCGATTCTCAATAAAGATTCCATGGCTACGTGAATTTACACCCAGGATACCCGAACTCATTGTCTCCATAGCTTAAGATTCTCCGTCGATTTTAATGTCTTTTCTACATTTTACTCTTCTCAACTCTTTTCACCTCACCTCATCCCATCTCACCACACATCTATCATTTTTACAATGAATACGTCAACCTCAAGAATCAGACATCTAGCAACAGAAGTCGAAACAAGAGAGCAAGAAGAGACCTAGCTTTAACTACTAGAATATGATAGATATAAAAGTACATAAAATTACCTGCATAAAAAAGCTGAGATTAGAAATGCTGATGCTAAGCTGGCCCCCTCCATATATTCCTCCTGAACCGAATCCGAGAAATCATCAAGATAACTTTCACATTGAGACTGTCTATACTCCGGTTGCAGCATATAGAAGAGATATTAATCCCTAAGGTATCTGAGTGCTGAGAATCAACTGTTGATGCCACTGGATTGAAGATACCGAATGAATTCAAAATATCAAAAAAGGCAAGGTGCCTGCCTATAAGCTCAATACCTATATATAAACCCAATTTATAAATTTGAGCATCTCTGATTCATCGTCTCTTACAACTCCCAATCTCTTAGCCTTGATATGTGAGGGCAGGGCGTGCTACGATACTGAACTTGGCACCCAGTGTTGCAATTTCCTATTTTTGGCATAAAAATATACGCTATGAGCATTTCATTGATTAACTTATACTCGCTGTACCTTATATACAAGTCCACGTTCAAGAGATCCCATCATCTAACTATCCATGTATCCCGCTTATACCAACGTAATGCTCATCAACCAAACGCCATGCGATGCGTAATCAACCTAGGACTCCCAAGCACTATTAGCGATTGCTGTAGCTAACTCGTTATTCCAATTTATAGTAGCAGCACCTGTAGCAATCGATTCTGAAGACTCCTTAGGAACCCTCGATCTAATCCCTTTAGGATCCGGATCGACAATGATATTCATCCATTGCAACCCTTTGCTTTTTCTCATCCTATTGATATAATGCTCGACATGCAACCCATCCGATATAGCCTTCCCATAAACGTGCTTCTCTTTTTCAGACCACCCTTCAAAACCAGACGCCTCGGAATCCAGATCATCTTCCCTCATCCCACTCCTCAATATCAAAGTGCTCAGTCTTCTCCACTGATTACCCCAATCAACCCCATTGACATCCTCTAATGCTGGTATCCAATCGATGCATCCTTCCAAATCTAAATACTCAAGTCCGTAGACTCCGCTCGCTACTTTCTTCAATACCAATGCGGACTCCGAAAAATCTCCATCTAAAGTCCGTGAATACATATTACTAGCACCATATTGAATATCTCTCCTTCCGAGTATCGGAGACTCAAAAACAGTAGTGTTTGAGTTTGGTGTAAGTGAGGGAGCGGGCCAGTAAGCCAGAGAGAGGTGAGTAATGGTTTTGAGATGGGGCGTGATAGCGAGAAGACGAGGCCAAGAAATAGATCGTGGAGGATGTGAGAGTGATAGATGGGTAAGGTGTGGAAGGATTGCTGGTAGAGATCGAGGTATTGTCTCTTTATTTATAGGAGTAGCTGCGAGAAGGGTTGACAGCTGTTTCAAGCTAATCGACCTTCCCACTGATCCACCAAGATCCAATCGAAAGAAATCATCATTGTTCCCTCCAGCAGACCTTCCATCAGCTTCTTCTTCCCAATTTTCCGTCTCTTCCTCGATTCGTCCTTCTTGTGCACCTGTACTTTCACTTGTGCTTTCTTCCTCTAACGGCGAAACAAGTAGGCTCTTCAACCCTTGAAATCCAACCCCTTCCTCCGGCCCATAAACTGCGATATAACTTAAAAGCGCCATCCTCAACCCTACCGGCAACATGGACAAGTTATTTGACTCATAAGCACTCATTTCCTCCCAGTCCCTTGCCAATCCTCTTAAACATATCTCTAGCAGGCTCCTTCCCCCGTTTCGCCCATTGCCATTCATGCCATCACTCAGACCAGGAAAACAATCCACCGCTCTCTGGAATAATCGGCCCTCTTCTCCATTCTGTTGTAAGCGGAATCGCCTTCGCACATCAGCAGGCGCATGCCTACTTCCTTCAAGCCAACTTCTGGGTGGAGCAGGGCCTGCTGGAATGCGACGCCCATTGGCATCGAAACGCCGACTGTGAATGGGCCTGCGGGGAGTGGGGGAAGGTGTTTCGGGATGGGAGAGGAGATGGCGGATTTGAGGAGGGAGGGTATGAGAAGAGGGACTGAGCGAAGAGGCGGCGCGGAGGTGTTCCGTAGGAGAGATACCAATCTTGCGGGCGGAGTTTATTAAATCGTTGACGGATGGAACATTTTTATCTGTTGCACAATTAGCACATTAGTGTGAATGATCAGTAGGAGGGTGGCGGGGTAAATTAGGCTTTGTTCAATATGAGGGACGTACTTTGTGATGCTGATGCCAAAGCGGAAGCATTAGAATTGAGTGATGGATGGACTGTACTGGCAGGTTTAGAATACTGTGATGTAAATCTTTTTTTAGGCATGAAGAATAAGTTCTGTGGTTTGATAAGTTTTGTAGTTTTGTTTTCAATTTTAAGGACAGTTCGGGTGAGAGACTTAATACTTATGGCGTTGTTGGGGTTCCATATATTATTTATTGTAGGTGCTTCAGCACGGTGCAGCTCGCAGTTATAGCGTCATTAGGCACTCTGCCCCTGGAGCCCCGGAATTTTAGAGTCACAATAATTGGCGAGAGCGATGAAGGAGTTACGCTAGATTAGCCTAGTCAACAGTGGGGGATTTGCGTTGGGTTTGATGACTCAAAATCATCATTATTAATTATCACATCCACTCCACTTAACTACTACTGCTATTAATTGACTCATATTTACGGAAAGGAATAATAGAAGAAATTCAGGAGATACATACGGAGTCATACTGTGCAGTTGGTCAACGATATGCTCTCAGAAATATCGGGCACAGCCAGCGAAAATCCTGCCGCGAAGCGTCTACTCTCAATATCTCCTCCCTCAATCATCAGGCGAAGCTAACATTTCATACTCACAGCAGGTCCTACTATTAACTGCCGTATCAAGGGGTTCGAGGATGATAGATACTCCGGCCACATGAGACGACTTCCTTTTCAACGTCATGCCTTGGAGGATTGGCTCTCTTGATTGAGTGCTGAGTGGTACTTGAAAGGGGAAGTTAATATCACATATTATATTTGCAATTGCTCATGAGTGTGAAGGCTTTGATGGGATCTGGTAGCCTTACATTGAGCCTTGGATTACTCAATGGGTCCTCGGCCTTGGATCACCATAGATATTCTTAAAAGGAGGGAAAATCATCTTTCTTTGGCTTTGCTAGTAAAAACAACCTCGTTTTTCTCTTTCGTGTTTTTGTTTGTCCACATCGTAGTCTGCAACGTTCGTCTTTGTATGGTAGCTAGGTCTCGCCGCGAGGCGGGTTTCATATATCAGACACGCAGCACGGCGTGCTTGTGAATACCGTGTGAATCGCGGACGACATCCAAGGACGGTCGCGGGAGATGCATCACGATGTTAGAATAAGTACAAATTTTATAACAGTAAAGTAACGCACATTCAAATGAGCAGCATCTTAGCGTTATGATGAATAATCTGTGAAGTGAAGGTTAGATCGTACTTTCCTGACATTACTTTGCCAACTAACTTCTTAAAATCATACCAAAATATACTCTAAGACTAGGAGTACTGCGGCTAAATTCCACAACGCCTCATCCATGCGAGCACCCAAACTCGGGCTAAGAAGCCCCCTTTTCCAGAATATAGACTTCACCCTCGCCACCACACTATTAACTCTTCCTTCCCCTCCGAATAAATGCATTTCATGCTTATATATAGGTTTAACTTCGGGAGTTTCAGTTAATATGAGTCTAGTTGAATGATCCGGTAGTTTCCTCTATTTTAACTTGTACTGCATCAACCAATTTCTCCTTTGATCACTATTCTCTGAGCCGGAACGATTCTATTCAGCAGATCTAGTCTCCCAATAAGTAAACACACGGTGGAACTATTCATGAATATATTGCCGAGTGTTCTCCTAGACAAAGCACATGGAAGAAAAGACGAGTACTCGAAGCCTCAAATACGCTACGCTGATGTTGAAGTTGCCTCTTCTTAGAAGAGAGAGTCAAACATCAGAACTCGGATCTTTTCTTTAGTCCACCATCTACCACCAAATTTCTTAATGTCCCAGACATAGGTCGTGGGTCTTCATCCGTCACAAAACAAAACTTTCTTAGTCGAGTCTCTCAGTTTAGCCAAGAGCAAACCTGAAACTATCGGATGATCTGTCAAAGCTACTCCCGTTCACGACTAGCAAAGCGATCGTTTCAACCACAGGAATCGAGAGGGATGACTCCATCTTAGAAGACCTTTTACATGTCTTGACGAACTCTACAGAAATAGTTGTCGATGCACTTGACCTAGATCTTAAACTCGATTTTCAAAATTTAACTGGTCATTTCGAGATGGACATTACTTTCGCTGCAGCCGGACCTTATATCTCCCCACTATTTACATCAACAAGTCCTGTTGATACAAAGGTAAATACAAGCTCATATTCAACTCCGAGAACGTTCTTGTTGATTTGCTAATATAACCAGCTTAACGAAAAGGATTTTGCTGGCCTGATATTTGCTATTGATCTGGTCTTCATAGTTATTGGGCCTGCTGATTTCATCACTGGTTTCGAGGTAGAATTTTCGCATGATTCTTATATCATACTAAACTCACTCGATGGAGAACTTGTGTAAGAGAACCTGTGAGTGATTTCTTGTTTTTACCATATCTCCACAAATGCTTCCTGCATGGAATTTAACAAAACACAACAAAGGGATGAAAGCCAGCTCGATACTAGGGAAATTCAAGTCAGGAGCTGCCTACGTTACGATGGCTCTCTAATATAGAAGGAAAGCTGGTGTCTTTGTGGAAGCCTTCAAACACACCTTCAAATTCGAACTAGGTGTATATATTGACGCTCTCAATATACTTGCATTATGTATTAACCAGACAAGCCGTATGATCTTAATTTCATTAAGGATTTCTACAGCAATGTTGGCGCCTACGCGGAAGTCGTCGAGGCAATCAATTTTGTTACAGGATAAGCTGGGCCTACTGCCATGGCCACTATTTACTCCGCGCCTCTAAATTCAATGTGCTTCGTCAGTCCTGCTTCATCGACTTAAAAGAGCCTTCCCGTCCTCGTCAACAAGTCAACAAATAATTCCGAGACCAGAGTCCCAAACACGCTCCAAAGAGATTACAGCTAAGATATCACCCACGAAGTCTACGTCAGACGAGAAAGCATTAGAGAATTCTACCACATCGTGTTTCCCAGCCAAAACAACGGCAAACGGAACTCCGCCACCTTATACAAATTCTAGCAATTTCACAATTACAAGAGCAAGGCTAACAGAAACAAGCTCGCAATCAAGCACTCGCTCGAGCAAAAGACTGACCGTAATTCTTAGTGACTCAGTCCCTGCCGATCTGCAAACCATAGCTGTTAACTCCACAAGCATTTACACCATTCACGATTGTGCAACCAAAGCCGTCCGGTGTCCATCAAACATGCTCCCTCCGATGGTACTCACAGAGACCATTCGGCGATACACCACCGTTTACCCATCCTCCAAACTTCCTACAAGAAAAGTTCCCACCAACCTTTCAATCAGCGATCTATATCCAGTTGCAACCAGCATACTTTCGGCCCTCAGCACCAACATACCACCTATCAGCATTACCAACAACGTACCACTCATCCCCTATTCTACAACAATCATTAAGAAAATCGAAAGAGCCATCATCTATTCTATTACTGGCATCTCCATCGCCTGCATATTGGCCTACCGTTCCCCAAGTTCTCAGCCGTCTAGACCGATCACATCAAGGACTACAACTAAAGGACACTAAGGAAGCGATTATCCTCTTAGTAGCAGCACTTCTTCTAGCGGGACAGCTCACTGGAGCTGGTACAGTTTCTAGCAGCACAGTGAATTATACCTCAACTCTAGAACCATCTTCGACTCAAAATATTTCTACCAACAAATACAACTTCGACATCGGATAAAAAACACCTTCTAGTGGTCTATGAAGCCCGTACCAAGTGCCAGTCTGGACGGTGAATATAGAAGAAAGTATGAAACATCAGCACCAGTGGTAAAGCCTAGAGATGATGTGAAGAAATCTGGTGTCTTCTTCCGCAAGATTTTCCATCAATTTCGCTGAGACTAGTTTTGTCTTCGTAGAATTAGCAGTGATGATTATTTCTCGACGAGATTTGATGCATTAAGATTCGTAGAGATTTACGTACGAGCTGCACACATGGCTAAGTTCTACACTTATTGCAGTTTTGATTTAGCAATTGATTTTTCAATGATATTTATTTATACTGTGCCGAACATATATGTATATCTTGACTCCTTAGCCAAATAACATGTTGACAACCTCTAAATTACCGTAAAATACATACGGACAAGTAGAAGAAGTGAGATAGTGATCTTGCTCGCCGGATTAGGCGAATAATGTGATGGTGCTTGAATATGTGCAAATAGAAGCTTCATGATACACAAAAATAGCTACCTCGTCACACCGGATGTCAATGGCTTAGAGATCCGATAAGATGCCTTGCTAACTATCGTTTTGATTTCACCTAGTATACTGTTAATCTTAATGTAAAATACATCTGAACTATCCATCGCCTTCAAGTTTTTAAAGCTTTCAACCTGAAGTTTCCGTGTACTTTCAGACATCAACATTGGCTAAATTAGCCGCGAAGAATACAACATCCATCTAAATTGCAACAGACAAAATATATACATAACACAATAAATGAATTACCCTCACTGATTTCTACGAGGATTAGGTTTTACCCGGTCAGCGATCTTAAGAGTCTGTCGTCTCGTTCTTAGATTTGCCATCAATAATGCCGCATGTCACATAAAGCTCATACCAACGCCCGACTCCCCCATCTACCATGCGCCACCATGATTTAGCCGTTCAAATAACTTCTGATGGCACCTTGAAGTTTGCTTGCACCCTCTCCGAGGACTTGTGTCAAATTTTCCAAATCATCACCGGCTGTGACACCAAATTTCCTCACGAAGTCCTTTGCGGCAGTTTCAAGATCTCCGTAATCTTCTCCCGTCTCTTCTTCTTCGGGTCTTCCGAAGTAAGCGTTGGATGATATAGCTGTAGCTCCTTCGAAGCCTTGTAGACGAGTCTTGGCTTCTGATTGTGCGCTCGGGTCGAATGATCCCTTGCCGAAAAATTCGTCAGAGGAAATGCCCTTTTGGCTACCGAACTTTTGACGGGCATATTTCTCCTCGTCATCTGCGTAAATGTTAGCCTGGAAGTAAAAATGTGGTAGCCCATAAATGTGATGCCATACCTTCTTTTGTAGCCTTGATAGGTCCCACGGAGCCGAAACCACCCATCTTCTTTTGTGCAGTAGCTGCAGGTTTTGCGCCTCCAATCTGACCAAAACCAAGTCGACCCATACCCATTCCGAGCCTTTCGACCTCACCATTTGATCGCTCTCTGCTGTGGCCATATCCTGCCCTTCCCGGGCTGACAGGTGTTGGCGCGGCAATGTCTGATGTCTTAACAGCAGATGACTTCTTTGTCGCAGCCTCTTCAGCTTCAGGGTCATAGCCTAATTTCTCAATTCTCTCGGCTTCCTCCTTTGCTTTTCGCTCGGCAGCATCAAAATCGATCGCATCGCCTGTGACCTTCTTCGCACCCAACTTGGTTTTCTTGGCACCGAGAACATTGGCTTTTCGTGGTCCTGCCCCCGTCGTGGTCCCTTTGCGCAATGCTGCGGACGATGTAATACGGCTAGCAGTAGGCGCTGCAGCTGAGCCTTCTGTTTTTCCGAGTGGCGATGTTGCTCTTGCGATTCCATTACCAGCAGCATTGGCGCCAGCGTTGAGAAAGGGTGAGGGTGTTCGCCCGACGACAGGTGGTGTGGCAGTTCGAGATACTGGAGGAGTTGGTCGTTTGATCGATGGCTTATCCCAAGAAGAAAAGAAGTCGTCTTCAGGTTCGCCGGCAGGTGTGGAGGTTCCGTCAGCAGCATCACTCGCAGCATCAGTAATGACAACTTCGTTCGGGTATCTATACGATTGTCAGCATTGATATGTAAAACCTCTGGAAGATAGCATACTCTGCAGCATCCTTGGCAGCACGTCTTTTCAATTCTTCCTTGTATTTGGTGGCCGCGTTTGACTGGTATTTAGTTTTAGGGTCCTTGCTGTTGAGGGCTGCGGTTCCTCCGTTCGATTGGAAGTATTTTGTAGCAGATTCGTTACCACCAACTTTCATAACCCGTAATTGATCCCATTGCCATTCTGGTCACCACATTAGCCTCTCCAATCTGTGTCAAGGTCGTCCGCTACACATACGGTCAAGGTTCGTCGATCGTACAAAGGAGATGTGAACCCCTAAGTTGCGATGATTCGAGGAACAATCAAGGCAGAGGTAAATTCCAAAAGGCACCGAAGTCCATGTTGGATTCTTTGCCCCACAATCAAAACAAATCTATTTCGCGATATAAATCAGCATGTGCATCATGGTTGAACTGTTGGAGAAGGATTGTCTTGCGTACCCTGTTTGCTGGCTTTGTCTTCAACTTCTCGAAGAGCTTTTGTGATTGTACCTTCGAAGCAAGAGCGGCCATATTTAGGAACCTTAGAAGATGTAGATATTGTTTGTGAAAGTTGATCCAAGTTGTAGAAACGAGACCCCTTTTACGTGGTCAAATCCAAATTCAAATTCTTGAGTGGTCTAAGGGACGGCCAGATTACCGTACGGAGTACATTGGCACGTTAATTAAGGTTCGTGCCCACTAAGCTTATTTTGGCAAAGTGGCATTAGATTAGATTACAGGCTTAGACAGGCACTAAAGATCCTGCACTCAACACTCACTAAACATTTACCCCACAATAGCTTGAAGCTTCAAAATAATTTATTTGTATTTACTCGTAGGATTTATAGGATTTGTATCCTTCACTTCTTGTATCTTCGTTCTCATTGTTAACTGCATCTCGACAACGACACAAAATTTCCACCAAGGCCTTGTTCTTTCGTGTATTGATATTCTACTCGATATCCGTCTTGCCTCTTGTTCAATACATCCAGCCTTTCCATCTCAAAATCATCTTCCCTCTTTCTCCCGTCTCAAAGCAACCCATCTCCCGTCAAATCAAAGATGCTTCCTTCAGTCAGACCCTTATGTCTATTTAGTTTACCTTCATCCCTGCGGCCACTTGTCGCCGCACGACTCTATGCAACACATACCGGCTTAGGCACCACCAATACTTCGTCGCAACCAAAAAGGAAAGCCGTTACAACCTTCAATGATGATGGCAGGGTTCCTTGGCGCGATTTGTCGGGACGGGAAAAGGTTGCTAGAACAACACAACAGACTTTCAATCTAGGTACCGTCCTCATAGGCACAGTATTAACCGTATGTTGATCACCATGTTTCCATACCCTTCACTTTTAACGTTTAATACAGGGTGGTATCATCTATCTTCTTTACACCGAAGTGTTTGCTCCTGAAAGTAAAATCAACCAATTCAATAGAGCAGCCGATCAAGTCAAGAAGGATCCACGGTGCATAGAAGTATTGGGTAACGGAAAAAAGATAAGGGCATATGGCGAGCCAACGTCCAGCAAGTGGGCTAGAGCTGGGCCTATTGCGTATGTATTCTTGACTAAGTTTGTGTTGCCATGATACTGAGCTACATACAGTTCCAACATAACGAAGGATCGTCGAGGGGTGGAACATCTAGTTATGCATTTTAATGTCGAGGGTCCACTGAATCAAGGTGTGGTGAACCTACACATGATCAAGCCACCATCGGAAAGCGAATTTGTATACAAATACTTATTCTTGGACGTGAAAGGACATCAGAGGATATACCTTGAGAATGCGGATGCAACGAATGGGCCTGGGAAGAATAAGAGTAGATTCCTAGGGATAACTTGGCGATGATATGGGGGGGAAGAACGGGTTTTTCGTTGCGGTGGCTGAAAGTGACATTGAAATGATGAATTGGATCAAGATGAATGGAAACCCTTCTCGCAGTAAAAAGGGTGGTTGGTTATGAATCATCTCATTGTTCTAAAAAGAGGTGAACATCTGAATTCCCGAAATATAGCCGGACATTCAAAATGAAGTCTTGTTTGGCTTCTGCTGATTTGGCATGCGTTGATTTGGGAATGATTAGAGACGTTTCAATACCTAAAATGACCGAAATGGGAATATCAAAACCGGAGTGCCTTTTTTTCAGACGGAAATACAGTATATTCGATGATGATTAGAACTGTTCAAAGTCAATCAAAGTCGAACACTCAAACATGGAACTAGGGCTGAAATGTTGCAGATGAGGAAAGCGACTTTTTGGACATGTTCAGAGAAAGACGTACTTCCTCCTGGACCGTACGACTTATTTTAATGGAACTGGTTCAAAAAAGGTTACTATCGCTATTAAATAACAGTCGGGCTCGGGCGTCTCTAGGTCTCTGCCTTAAAAGAGAAGACGCACCACATAATCCTTGACCAGTTCTGCAGCACATTCGCGAGATCCCGAATTCAGACAATTGCGAAATTTATAAAGATGTCATTATTGGTTAATGATTATGAAGCAGCGCAATCCATTCCAACTGCGCGAATGATTGAGCTCTTTCTCGCAAAGATATTGAGATACTAGGTATTCATGAGCTTTGTCCATATCATATGCAATAATTAGGTGCAGGTTGTTATTTTCGTCAGGGTGTTGATATATATATATATATATATATGTTGGCGACGATGACTTGACAGATGTAAGGTCTTATATGGATACATTGCTAGATAAGCCAAGATTTAGCTCTAGCCACCAAGCCTGATTCCACGGTCTAGTGCTGCTAGGTTCGGAGTCCTGGGTGAGGGTTATCTGTTGAAGATTTCTAGTGGTTTTTATTATAATTTTTATTGGGCTTGTCTAGTTATTAATCCATTGGTAGGACTTACCAAGAGTCCAGCATCCTCATAAGTTATTTTTTGAACCCATTAGCTGGCGTAAACGCTCTCATTCACTCCTCACTCAAAACTCTATGATTCCTTTTTGTCACCTTCCTCCTCTCTTCCGCTCATTTCTCCTCAATCTTTCGATATCTGTCCACCTCATTCTCCAACTTATTCAGTACATGCTTTCCCGTCCTTGGCACATCGTCAAACGAAGACGGAAAGAAATGTCCTCCTTCCACTAAAACCTCCTTCGCCATCCCTACTTTTATGCCTCCACTCCCAACAATTCCTATACCAGCAACCCTTATTCCTTCTTTCACTCCATCAATATCCAAATGCGTCTTCGTGCAAAAGACCCACGGAGCCGATGGTCGCAAAGTCTAAAGTTTGTACCATGTACTCCGAGGTTGTGGTCTGTAGAGAGAGGCAAATATAGCTAAAGGATCAATATCAGCATGTATTTGCCTGTTGATCTCTATATAAGCATCGGGTTTTCGGGAGTAAAAGTTTTGCCAAAGTTGGGTGGGGACGTCTTGATGCTCTGTGCTGACTTGCGTTAAGGGAGCGTCTGTCATGTTGGCATCTAAAGAAAGAGACTTTGCGGGTCGGAAGATGAGGAAGATATGAAGTTGGAGGCATCCAAATGTGCATTAATAAGGAGAGGTAGAGAACAAGAGAATCATGGTTATTTACGAATGAAGCTGGTGAGAAGATGAGAGTGGAGGTAAGCTAGATTTGTGCGAAACCAAGTTAGCAAAACTGCATCCGAGCTACCAAGCAAAGGAAAATAAGGAGATCTTCGACCTATGTATATGAATAAGTTGAAAGATTCCTTTGAGGACTCACCTCTGACCTAGACTGAGAAGAAGAAAGTATGCGGATAAGATGTGCGGCGGAAAGAAGATGATTCTTTGGTATTTTTCCAAAGCTACCATCATTTATCAACAAATTGCAAAACATGCATGACAACTACTTTCTGGGACCATACGGTTCGGTTCTTACCTTGATATTGAGGTAATAATGGCGATTGATAGGGCATGATTGACAATAAGTATTGGAATGATGATGGAGTATCTTATTTAATCCAATCAATGTACATCTAGTACCTAACTATCAATAGGTGTACTTGTGAAATGTTCAATTTGAGAACACGGGCGAATATCACTTTACTTTGCTTTGCACGAAACCGAGGCGTGACAGTGGCTGAACTTAATGTGGCTTTAGCATTGCCAAACTGTCACGATGTCACGTTTCTTTCTTTCTAGAACCGGTCAATCAATTTCCTGAAAATCTCTTCTCGAACATGGGAAGGATAAAGCTGGTAAGAAATAGATGGTATTTCATTGCACGGAGACTCAAACATCACTACTGTCAAGGACTTCACAAAGTGAGTAGAAGCTCTCGTGAATTTCATAATTCAAATTAACACTGCCAATGTCACATAACCCTGTACCATTCAGCATTTTGGAACAAGGAAGCTTAGATATATATCATTCTTTCGATTGTGCTGATGGTATCACTAAGCTCTTCATCTTCAGAGCATTTGGCTTTGGTAGGTTGATGCTCCCCGTTCTATACTCACGACTCTTACGTGCAGCTAAAGAGTCAATGGTCAATTTGCATATGCATTATCATGGACATAGTATTGGTAATTGCATCTGGTGTATTCGGTTTTATGTTGGACATTCCAAATCATGCATGAGAGAAACTGAGATACATTGTTGATACATTGTTGGCATATCTTGAGGCCCAGTAAGACTTAGCATAGGTAATTCTCTCAAACGTTTGATTCAACACAAGAGCTTTTCTTCTCTTAATCTTGTCATGCTCAAGTCAATTGTCACATCATTTGTGCATCGTTTTTAGCAATCGGTAACTGTTAGGACAGTGAGGATAAAGTGATGGAATGGTGAAATGGTGCAATGAAGTCTCCAGCATTAAACTACACCTTTGGACCTACAACTTCAATCATCTCCTCTCTGTCTCCTCTCTCTTCTCTGCATGTAATCATTAATCAACCCGTCATCAACCTTCCTTCGAACCTCCTCATTAAACAAAATACCTAAGCCGTGACTTCTACATTTCCTATCCTGCCATACCTTATATCACTACCCAATATTACTAGGTAGGTCGGCGATGATCTCACCTTTCACCATATATTCAATGTTTCGTTCCTTCCTTGACTTGAGTTTGGAAAAAAAACAGAACCCTAAACTAAGCGAGTTTGCTACTTTGTAATTTACTTAAATTCACTTTCTCCCACACCCTTTTTTTTATTAAAACTTTGACCACGACTTCGGCAGCAGGAACAGCAGCAGCAGCAACAACAACAACAACAACAACAACAACAACAACAACAACAACAACAACAACAACAACAACAACAACAACAACAACAACAACAACAACAACAACAAGTGTCCTCCCGCTCTCCTCTCTCTCCTCCCCGGCGCCATGCCAACGCGTCGTCGAAACCCGCCTTCGGGCAACTCTTCTCGTGTGTCTTCGCACACCTCCTTCCGTTCGCCTTCGGGCATTTCTTTAAGTGGTGGCTCTTCCACCATACAAAAGCAAGTCCCAGGGGGTGGTGTCCCTTGGGCATTCATCATATTCATCGTGTCGCTGGTCTTGTCGGTTGCCTTCGGGCTTTACGTTACGGTCCTTGCGGCCCAGAAGGAGGTTGCTTTTAGCAACTACCTCTCTGGCCATTCGGACGAACTCGACTGCGGGGCCGGACCGATGAATATTGGTGAGGTGAGAAAGGCTTCCTCTTTGCTTCGGAAGAAGATAATCTGGGTGTAAGTTCATTCTTTCAGTTCATTCTTTCAGTTCATTTTTTCAGTTTACTTTACTATTTTCTGTCGGTTGTGATTTATCCAGAAGATGTCATGCATTGAAACGTTTATATTTGTTCAAAATTTGTTATTCATTCAAATGTTGTTATTCACTCAAATACTGTTACTCATTCAAACCTTGTTATTCATTCAAAGATTGCTATCTCTTCAACAGTTATCATTTACTCAACTTTTATTATTTACTCAAAAATTGTCGCTTATTCAAAGATTGTCATGTATTCAAAGATTGTCACGTGTTCATTGGTTGTCATCTAATAGACCATCCTTTTTTCTTATTTCTCTACTATATAAACCCCTCTGCGTTCCTCCTACAATGCCTTCAATTTCCTTTTCTTTTCTTTATGGCTAAATAATTCACCTCGATTAGGGCGCCATCATTTGGCATCTCCTTCCTATTGTCGCACTTCGTCTTGGTCACAAGCTTACTTCTTCGAAAGTCCAACCTCACTCAATGGTTCTCGGCCGTTGCTGCAATTTTCGGACTAGTTAGCGCTATGCTTCTGGCTTTTTATGAGCAAATGGGAGCTTCCTTGATCAGCATTCTTTTCACGGCAATCTCGGTCATATGGCTCATTGTCTGGTTCGATTCTAGGCATTGGTCGCAGGTCTTAGCGCAGGAGCTCTTTAGCATCAAATCATGGTCCCTTTTCGCGCTTAGCATCTGTACTAGCGCAATGACAGCGCTGGTGTTTGGTGGCTATTTGTCAGTTCTTTATTCAATGCGCCAGGTTTGGGACGATTATTTTCCGGCATGTACCAAGGACCGAATCGTTTACCCTTCGAGGTTCATTATGGCAGTTTTCCTGCTGTCTCTGGTGACATACTGGGTCACTCAAGTTATAGCTTGCTTAGGCCAGACACTAGCGACAGTCGCCATCCAAAAGCACATTTTTAAAGTTCATACTAGCCTAGAAAAATCAAAAGTTCAAACGTCTATTCGCAGAATACTTAGACATAGTTGCGGAAGCGTATGTTTTGGAGCAGGGTTGCTCTCATTATCCCTCTTTCTCAAAGATCTTACCATGGTTTTTACGCAAAATTTGGCACTTGTTCCGAGAGATGCCTTTCGTTCTGCAACTACCGCAACATTAATGTCGCTCCTCATGTACCTGGCACCACTCTACGCGGCACTTCACGCCAAGATTAACGATTGGGTATTTGTAATCATTGCACTCAACGGATTTCCCTACTGGAAAGCTAATCAAGTTGGTGTCACTTTGTTGATGAGCACGGGTTTGGACGTTCTGCACAGAGAGACTGGATTGTCCGAGATGATTAATCACCTTCCCCTAGTCATTGCAGGGATTTCTGCCACGACAACATACCTCTTGGTAACCCTCATGCCTGGACCTATTGCAGAGACTGGCGATATCTTGACGGCAGATGTCTTGGTTGCCTTCGCGTTTTTCGGAGGAATGCAGATTGCAAGAGCTACTTTGGCGCCATTCAGAGGAGGGATGTGTACTATATACGTATTGATGGCAAGAGAACCAAAGCTTATTATGGAAAACCATGGGAAGATTTGGAGTCGTTTGGAGGAGCTCAAACCTGCTATCGCCGAAGCATTATTGAAGAGACAGAGCTGAGATTTCGGAAATCGTTTTTGAAAACAGATGGGAATGTTGGCATGATGGGAAAATGGTGGATCATTGTTGTTACGGATGAAAATGATTCCTGGATGAGAAAAGCAGTGGATCAACATCGGTTATGTTTTGGAAAGTCAATCGCTGAGGAAGTTTGAGGGTCATTATTGAATGGAAACAGGTGCTTGGTAATGGATGGAAATAGTTGCTTGGTGGAGACCGGGAAGATATGACGTAGCATTTTTGAAAATCCATGAGGACAATGTGTTGGATGAGAGAGATTAACCATCGTTCGTAATGGTTTAGAATACTGGAGCTTTTGTTCCCCCTTAAATGAAAACCTACCTTTCTGCTCTCAATCCTCTACTTCCTGATATGTGACTATGATTAACTTCACCAAATGCTGCATTTCATCTCTAACAAACTAATACCGTGTTACCCTGTCAGCGAGTTAAAGATATGACAAGTAACATCATATAAAAAAGATGACCAATCTCATTGCTTACTAATAAAGAAAACATAACAGCCTTTATCTTTACATCTTACAGTGTAGAAAGGAAAGTATAAGACATTTATTATAATTGATAGGCAAAATAGCTTATTCTTTACCCAATGCTTGTTCTTCCACATTTAAAATTTTCCTCACATATCAACAATGATGACGCAGCTATCATACTTTAGCACGAGCTGTCATATATGGAAAGCTTGATTCCATACTGAGAATAGAGATTTGTGTTAGACCTCGCTTTCCTCAAAGTAATTATTCATCTTTTTATAGATTAGCTGAAAGCAAACAAACAGTATACCAAAAAGGAAAGAATGAATTAAAAGTTGAGTTTTGTTTGCTCCTTATATGCATCATGCAATATATATGCATATGCTGCCAAGATCCCAGGAGGTCAACAGAAGAAGATTGGAAAGCTCTGGATTCATTGTTTTATGAAACGATATATAGAATTAAAAATATATTTTAATTGTGTTTATGATTTTCAAAAAGCTTTCTACAAAGATTTAGAGCTTATTAAAAGATGGTTTCGATTGGTATCGAATATATGGGCCAAATATAGTATTCTGGATTGTGATTTCTATAACTTCGATGAGACAGGCTTTATGATAGGACAAATATCATTATATATGGTAATTACTAAAGTTGATCGATATGAAAAAAGCAAAGCTATACAATTAGGTAATCGAGAATGGGCTACAGCGATTATTTGTATTGATGAAGAAGGTCACAATATACCTTCGTTTTTGATATTAAAAGACGAATACCATCTTTCAAATTGGTATATCGAAGGTGATTTACTATACGATTGGCTTATTAAACCTATTATCAATGGATGAACAGATAATGAGACAGATCTTGAATGGATTAAGCACTTCAACAAACATACTGAAAGTAGGAAAGTGAGTAGATATCTGTTGACCTCCTGGGATCTTGGCAGCATATGCATATATATTGCATGATGCATATAAGGAGCAAACAAAACTCAACTTTTAATTCATTCTTTCCTTTTTGGTATACTGTTTGTTTGCTTTCAATATTTTGATTTCAAAGCACTTTAATTCCGAAGGCCGAATACCCAACCTATTCCTTCATTTTTTTGAATATATGCTCGCAGCTTAACTGCTTAGCTAGAGAATAAATCAATTCAATCTGATACTCTTTCTGGTCTTAAGAAACCCAACAATATCGAATACTAGTGCTTGATGGGTATGAAAGTCATAAATCGCTAGCATTTCAGGAATACTGTAAGGAACACAACATTATATTACTTAGTTTACTATCTCATTCTTCACATTTAACTCAATCACTCGATATTAGTTGTTTTGGTCTTTTAAAGTATTCATATAGTCAACAAATCGAGAACTTTATCAAGGCGCATATCACTCATATTATCAAAACCGAGTTCTTTCAAGCCTTTAAAGCTGCATATATCGAAGCAATATCTATATCAAATAGTAAAGCTGGGTTCTGCGAAGCTGGGCTAATCCCATTTAATCCGGAAATTGTACTTTCAAAGCTAGATATTCGAATAAGAACTCCATCAAATAGATCAATATCAGCCGATCCTGATATATGACAATCTCAAACATCTCACAATCCAACTGAAGCTCTTTCTCAATCCACTTTAATGAAAAGTCATATTGCTCAATATCAAGAGAGCTCATTTACTCTAATATTTAAAATAGTTACAGCTTTAGCTAAGAGTATAAAGCTTTTAGCTTATGCGAATACGCTTTTAGCTGCTGAGGTTCATAATCTCTGCAAAGCAAATGAAGCACTTAGTAAACACTGGAGAGCTAGAAAAGCTTTAATACGAAAAGGAGGAGTACTTTCAATAGAAGATGGATATAATATATTAGAACAAAAGAATATAGAAGATCAGATACGATGCGATGAATTTACAAATGATGATTCTTCAGCAAGGAGGCAAGCTACTATACAACGATGTAGCAAATATGGTAGTGCTTCACATAATGCACGAACTTATCAATTAGATCCAGCATTAATTGGTCTTTGAATTGTATATAATTTAATTCTAATTTATAGTATTGTTGTAATTTTATTTCAATGGAATGTGGGCAATTGAGGTAAAAGTGTACAGGGTCCTGATATGTACAGGGTCCTGATAAACCACGTTATGCAATTCGTAACTAATAGTAGGATATACTAAATGATTGATCTTGAGCACGAAGCTCTACAAATGAAAACCTATCCCTTTATATAGAACTTCATATTCTACTGTATTCTTTTGGATCCCTTGGATCCCTTGGATCTAGAGTTTAATTATCTAGATCCCCTAGATCCTCTAGATCCTTAGATCCATCACGTGATTTCAATCAGAACATATGTCTGTGCTTGCTGAAGGTGGGGAGACTCTACGAACCAATTACCATACAATTTTGTATGCGAATCGGTTTGCTTTTCCACGGGGTCTGAGCTCATATGGACAGGTTGACTGTTACTACGTAACATGCTATTCGTAACTAATAGTAGAGTATACTAAATGATTGATCTTGATCTTGAGCACGAAGCTCTATACAAAGGGAATCCATCTTGATTATATAGACCTTCATGCCTATAGCTAGTCAGGACCGCGCAGCGGTCCATAACGTGACTTAATCACGTTACCTTGGCTTAGTCATGTGACGCGGCGTAGAAGATAGCCGTCGTAACACATACTTCTGATTTAGATACACCAATAAGCGAGTGCCTCCTTATAGCGAAATCATTTTCTTGCAAATACTTTAAAGTAGGATACTATTTTCTGGTATCCCGCGATTTTCAGCAGTCATTCATGGTCCACATCGCTTGATTATAAATGGATTTGATTCGCATCATGAAGTGATTTTTCCGGAGTGCGATTGAAGGTTTAGAAATGTTAGATATGATGATGAGTTTGATCATGAAGTATGAATAATGATAATTATTTAGATCTTGATAATAGAAAATAAAATTTATTATAAATACAGTAAAAACAATTCTTATTATTGTACTGAGACGATGTCAAGTTTCAGAAGTCACTACTCAATTAAAAATAAACTTATTTTCCTTTTTTTTATATAGAAATTAATTGATAAACAACTTCCTCTCCCTTAAATAAGTGCTCTACAAGAGAAATTGTCCTTATCATTTGATGTCTAACTCTTTATCACTTTCCAATTCTAACAATTTAAAATAAATAACTGTTAAAAGGAATAGAAGTTACCGGTACTAATCACGTGTCGTGATTAGTAATACGGTTACCTAAACAGGCTAGATTAGACGAACCATAAGCAGGCATATTGGTCCCCTCCGAGGATACCAAGAGGAGATTAATATTCCTACAGACGTAGTAATATAGTCAATATAGAGGCCTCTTCCACCCAATCTTTTAATAATAACTTTAAAAAGAGTCAATCATATAAATAGGAAAAGGTATTATAAATACACTTGTCGAGAAAATAGAATAATCATATTCTTCTCAAATATATTTCGAAAATTTCGAAAAATTCGAGTATATAATAAAACAAAATCAAAGAATCGATGGTGAGTATTCATGAATATAGTATAGGTAGGTATTCAAGCCAACAAAGATAATTTCCCCACAAGAATCCTCAAAAAGGAAATACATATTCCCCACCATTTATCGTGAAATCTTAGCTTCATCATCTCCTTCAACTGAAATATTCAGATATCGAATAGTATGAGTATAATCCCTATAAAAAATTAACTAGCATTTTTTTTATATAGAAAAAAAGCTGGTGATCAGGATTCGATGGTCGACAAGTATTCGTTTCGTAGTGTTGTGCAATATGTAACATTCTTTCCTTCCAATGAGCTTGTTTCTCCTTAGGATTTGCCGATTCTGTTTCTAGTGTCTAGTTAAAAAATATGCAGCTACCTTTTGGGGGTGAACCGTAACGTCTAAAGTGACTGAATGAATGCTTGTTTCAAACTCCATGTAGTTGAGGTCGAAGGTATCTTGATAATCTATGAACTGGAATTTATAGGGTACTCGGAGTTTCACTTTGTTGTGATCTGATGGTGGTCCTTCAAGCACTGAAGACACAAGGGGAGCACTGGTAGCCTGTTCTCTAACTAAGAATAAAATGCTTCCTTTCGCTTCCGATACAGTTGGATTTTTATATTCCGTTGTTATCGAAGCAGAGCTTGATATTGATAATGCCCAGAGCTTTTGATAGGACTGTAGGACTGTCAGAATAGCTTGTTGACGGGATCATTTCGTTTTGCCATGCATCAAGCGAGTAGAAGTTCTTCCCCGTATGATGTGTTTGAGAATCCATGCCATGAAAATTTCCTTAGCGTAAATCGCCTTGCTCGAGCAAAATACTACTTCTGTTCTCCCGTGGTGATTCAGCGAGCCATTAATCTAACATGAAGGATCTTTTTGTCGGTTTCAAAGGGTGGTATCGAGTAGTCTCCGGAATATCCGAAACCATGAGTATGAACGGATTCGCGTGAGGATCGGATCTCAAATTATCATCGAATTGATAAGGAGCTCCATTGATAGCAAAATGCGCTTTCAATGCATGACTTGTAGGCCTAGTTTTGGGACCTGCAATAGTCATCTGTTGTACGATAGGAACATCTCTTTTCGATACTGAAGTGCTTGACAACGCCTTTAGCCATAAACTAACAATCGACAAATAGTCATACTGGAAGATATCAAAGTCTTTCGAAAACGTTCACAGATAAGTTAAGGGTATTCCAGCGAGTAGAGTATATATCTCTGCAAATATCTTTCCTAGATATAGCATATCTTCCGCTTGATTACCTAGAAGGCGAGAGTACGCTATAGATGTATTCGGATCTGAGCCTGGCAAAGTGGTGGAATTAAAGATAGATTCATGATGGGATAATGAAATGTTTGATCCACGGATGTGCACATAGCTCGAGGACAAACTTCCATGAGCCATATTTTGGAGGTAGAGGAAATCTATTCCGGACGATAGGCAACAAATCCACTTGAACAGAGAACTTTGCTGAAGACTGGACCATCTTTGACTATCAGCACTAATATTGACCATGAATGATTGAAGGTCAAAATACAGAGCCGGTGATATGGATATGCGGTTATCTTCGGAATAGATATCGGTGTTGATCATGCAGACTATGTGAATAGTTGTTTCCCAGTCGATGAGTAGCTTTTCATACTCAAGATTACTCCTCAGGCCAACCTGCTCAGAAGAATTCATCACATACTTCCTGATCGATTTTTGAGTGACGAATTTACTGAAAATAGGTACATCATCTATTTCCCCTCTCAAGTCAAGAAGCAGCACTGATACAACCCCATATTGCTTGCCTGTATGAAATTCAATCCTCTTCAAGTCCTTCGTAATTTTTTTCCATTTTGCGATCTTCTAGATAGCCACTTGCACACAGCTTCTCCAGATTTGAACCAATCTTTCCACGTTCCGAATGAATGCTGAACGAGATATCGAAAGCTCCAAAATTATGTTGACCGCCATACTGCTCACAACCAGCGTGACCGAAGAATGGATCTGAAGAAATAAGTGCTGAGTGTGTAGAAGTAACAGGTGAGATTTGAGAAGATGGTCCTCGATGTTCGGCTCATTAGTTTCATCGTCAGAGTCGTTGTCGTCGGACGTATGAAGATAACTGGTCTTTTTGTGACTCTGATATGGAATAAACGAGAGTCTCTACATGTTCATCCTATAACCTTTATTAAATTCTTCCTGAATATGATTAGATCGTTCATCCCAGCAATTGAATTGGACCACACAGAAGCTGCGTTGCTTTGGCCAATCACTTTCAACTTCAAAAGTCCATTCTCTAACCTTGTACGTGAGGTTTAGAGTACTATATCTTTTCAAATATTTTTGAAATTTATTTTTGTAATAAAAAATTGTTGCTTGATCTTTTGTTGTACTAATTATATGAGAGATAATGATATTTTTGGACTGAACACATTGCACGGGAGAAAAGCAAAATGTGCGTAATTCAGATCCATCGAATGCCCTGAAAGTAGGCAAGAAATTGAGACAGATATACTGCTTTTGGGGCCAACGTTGTGTTTCTTCGTGCCTTTTCCAATCAGACTTGCGCCTAACGTTCAAACCACAAGCTGAAATGTGTATTAACTGAACTCTTTAGAAGGTTTTAACCTTTGACTAGAAGAGGTAGTGGCATCACAAAGTGTGGATGGAGAGATCTCGATGGAAACACTAAAATAAGATACAGAGGTAGGGAATTGAGTTGCAGAAACTGTGTCAGAAGTATAATATTCCAGAGAGAATGTTATGTTTGAAAGAGCAGGCTTTTTTATTAGGTGCGACGACGAAGGGAAAGTGACGAAGTCTCCGCTACTTTGGGCTTCTAATACTTGTTGCATGTTCATAGCTGCTCTATAAGTTTTCCTTTTGTTCTAGATGATGGTGGAACGGCATGTATTGTTTCCTCTAACTTTTGCACGGAATCCATGTGCATTGAAGATATGTGGCTCCTGGCTAGTTGTAATTATTGCCTCATAATTCCCGCAACTTAACTGATCATGAGAAGAAGTGTGATTATCCAGGCCTAGAGAAGCCACCATATCTAGTGTGACATTTCCCTGCCTTTTTCTGAATTGGTATCCCATATGGTCCTAGAGAACGGGTTCTTAAGGATAGCTTAATTGAGTTCCCTCGTCGTGTGCCACGAATCCCAAATGATTGGACTGAATTTGAAGTCCGCCATCATAATCATATTCATGCAGTGCATTTACCCATGCTAAAGAAATTTTCATTTTATATACTAGATGGAGGGGATATACACAATACGAAAAACATACGTGAATCGTCGAAGCCTGAAAATGTAAGATTATCAGTGTTTGATATAAATATCTCTTCTAACAAAGTGTAAATGTCTCCATCATCTATAATCGCTCTCCTATACTGATCGTACTATTACTATAAAAAAAAGAGAAATAAAAATAAATTTTTTATAAAGTATAATATTTAATTCATTGAAAGTATAATATTCCGAATTATTATACAAATCCAACATTCTAGAATCAAAATAATCTATTCTGAAATGTACTAGTTCGTTAAAGAAAAACTATTTGTTACTTTTGTTATTGAAGATGTCGTGAAGAGTTGATAACTTAGTATTTTTGTTCTTCTTTAGAATTTATAATCAACGATCTAATTTAAAGATCGATGAATCATGAAAGTGTTATCGTGATTCATCCTCGAATATAACCTGTTAGAGATCAGATCAAGTTGTTTCATTCTTAGATTTATAAAAATCATGTAAATCAAAACTGTAATTTTTATTTATAAATATAATTTCTTGAGAATTTATTTATAAATTAAATTTTCTATAATTTTTATTACAAATTTATCATTTTTAAAATATTAAATTATTTAATAAGAACAAAAAGAATATTTTTTAATTTATAAGATTTTAAATTAAATTAATTAATTTATAATCAAAAAATTATTAATAAAATAAAAGATTATAATTCTTATTAAAAATATATATTTCAAAAGTGAGATATTAAATTTACGATTTATAGTTAATTATTTAATTTATTTTACTTTGTGACGGAAATCCCTGCTTTCCTCCCACCCTTATTATATAAGAAACCTCAGGTACATTAACCATGTCCACACATGATACGATTACTCGAGATTAGTATACGATTTAGGTGACCTGAGGATCAGATCCGGACAAGTACTAGGTATCAATGGTTATCGGTAAAGTAAGATCATTGGAGGAATAAATATGACTTCTTTTTGCCTAGCCATTGCGGCTAGGCCATTCATTTGTGTATATATAGAGTAGCTATCCCCATCTACAGGTTCTCTTCACCTGTAGATTCTAAGTTAAATACAATTGCTGGTCTATAAACACCCTTTTGGTCACAATATTAAATTTACGATTTATAGTTAATTATTTAATTTATTTTACTTATCATTTCTATATAAATTATATATAAATCTTACTATAATCAATTATAAATAAAGTACTCTCTCTTACAAACTCCAAGCTCCAAGCGCCAAGCGAGCTAATCAACAAATCAAATCCAAACCTCTTTCCCAGCGATATAAGAATACATCATACATCTATACACCCCACCCATCTCTAACCCATTCTCCTAAACATCTACTTCCCAACCCTAAGACGTCTTTCTTTCTTTGTTACATAAACAAAAATCATCACCCTCCCCACATAATACAGCACCTAAAAAAAACCTAAAAATTCCTCGACGGAACAACCGGTTCCTCAGCCTTCCACCTCCCATTCCCACTACTCCCAACACTCCCCGTATTCGCATAGGCCCTCCGCTCATCCCGCACCCCACCAAACCCCCTCTGTCTACTCTCCCCCTCCATAGCCATGGCCATCTCGGCTTCCGTATCGCCACTAGAATAATGTTTCGTTCTTACCGCCGGGATAAAATCGATAGCGAAACTCCACACGTAAAAGGTATAGATGAGAGCGATGATCCATTCGAGGATGGCAGCCGTGTTCCACCATGATTTGCGATTGCAGACGCCGAAGCCGATGGCGAGGCCGAGTTCTACGAAGATGAAGGCGAGTTTTACCCAGAAGGAGATGCGGAGGATGCGGTGTTCTCGGTAGTGGATTCCTAGTCGTTGGTATTCCCAGCAAATGAAGATGGCGGAGAGGATGTATCCACCGCTTAGGAATTGTTAGCTTTGTTTGAGAATTCGTGTGGGGTGAAAACACTTACATGAAGATGGCGAGGCAAACATCGTGTGCAGTGTGATGATGAACATCGTTGAGACAGGTAAGACAGATCAAACCGACTCCACCTGCAATCGAACAGATGATCGCAAGACTCGACAAGACCTTTTGGAAAACCGAAGTATTCCCATGTAATCTTCCTCTATGTCGTAGCCATCTCTCGGTAATAAATACAATATTAAAGGTAACCACAGTTACCGTACCCATTGCAATGAAGAGTGGTTGAAGTTCATGTGCGCCGATATCTGAAATGTATCTTTGAAAAGATTAGGAAAGATTTGAGCGGGTAAGAATGGGCATACGAACGCAATGGTTTGACCATTATCCATAGGTGTAATTATTGGCGAACCATCTGCAACGGTCCAGGTCAATAACATGGCAAGAAGCATGGCAAGCCATACTATTCCTGAAAAAACAGGTATCATCCAATATGATATTCCCAACATCTTGAAAGATTATATGTAACCACCCACTGTGGAAAGATATGATTTTCTTCTCAAGATGCAAATAAACGGGATTTGTGATATTTCCGATTCGATTTCCAACCAACAAGACACGATTTGATATTGTCAGACTAGACGAGTGAGTACACAGGCAATACAATAGAAGAGTCCAACCAAACAATCGATTGAGACTTTCGCGAAAAAATGAGGTTATACAATGAATTAAAAAAGGCACGAGAAGAAAAGAATAAAATAAAATAAAATAAAATAAAATAAAATAAACAAATAGTCTTACCGCATAACCTACATAGCATACATTTTTAGTATGCACGCCAACCAACTTACTTCAAGGTACCAAACCAGATAACATTTTTCATCTCATTTGCGATACACGCTAGACGTCATAGTTATTATTTATCCGCCGATACGGATCCGCAGCGATCTGCCTTGGTCCAGCCCAAGATCCTGAGTGGAGTGATGGGTCTCTGGCTTTATTGGTAGAAGACGCGCAATTTGGGTATGTGGATGTGTAGTCATCATCATCATCATCAAGAAGATATTTGATATTTGAAATCATTTTGTTCACCTGATATAATATATTTATATGATATACATATAAATATTATTCTTACACAGCCTTGATGATAATTCATTCTTACATGAAGTCGTAAACATACCTATTGATTGATTGAGAAATGAATGAATTGAGTGAACTTTGAAGAATGACGAAAATTACCTACCCTGTGAAGAAAAAGGTTGTGGCAAATCCCTGTATGTAGTTTTACCTAAGTACTTCAGAGTGTATGGCTTTTTCCAAAATGAAACAAGGGCTCTGTATCGGAGTCTGTGAATCCGACCAATCAAAATCGAAGCAAGTTTTTACCTCGTGACTTTTGCAAATTTCTGACATTTTTGTTGCATCTCTAAGTTTGGATCTGAGAAAAATCACGGACGGTCCCTTTTACGGTGGTGTGTTGTTAAAATGTTCTAGTGTTTCCACCTCAAGCTTCTTTTGTGAGTGATACATGTTAATAAGTTTTGATGTGCTGTAATGAATGAATTAGTCAGTACCGAGTAGGTATTTAATCTTTTGCGGTGGCTAGACTGACTTATAATTATGACAAATCTGATTTGAAAGAAGGAAAGGAGAGTCTGTCCGGCGAATCAATGTGTTGTTCAATACTTCGGTCCAGCCACAAGATGAAGGAAGCATCTCCAGGACAAGAAAGAATCAGAAGTATACGAATAATATGATTTCATGTTATTGTAATTGCAAATAGATATATCAAAACCTAATCCCCGAATGATCCAATTTCTCAGAGGTTTCAATTCCTCTGTGTGTCCAATAGCTCCATGCTCATCCTCAGTTGCTATGTAATAATGAACGCACAACTGACCGAGTAGTATTCATCAGCTCACCCATAAGCCCATCAGCCACTCTAACCATGTCTCTATGCAAATCACCTCATAATCTTAACCTCATCAACTCCGCCCAATGAATGACCCATTGAATCATTTGAAATAATACTTTACAACTTCGCCGTCAACTTCTCTCCATTATGGATGCATGCTACTGCATCGCTAACTAATTCATCAACAACAGCCCTTGCACTCTTCTTCTCATTAACAACGGCTGCGGCTTTACCCATCAAGAAAGGTCGCGCGTTATCCATAGTATCATCGTCAATATCATCACCAAGAGTCTCGAAATCGTGTTCAACTGGAATGACACCCTTAGATGTAAGTTCCTTAATCTCTGCAGCACGGTTGTCTTCCCAGTTTTGAATATAACTATTGTTTCGTACTCGTAGTGGTCTACCGGTGAAGATAATTGTTCGAATGTTATCATCATGTCCAGCAGTTCTAACAGCCTCTTGATGAGCCTTTGGTGCACCGGCCTCATCAGTTAAGATGAATCTAGTGCCAACCCACACGGCACTGGCGCCCAACATCAAAGCTGCGGCAACAGTTGCTCCGTTGAAAATACCTCCTGCAGCAACAACTTGAACAGGCTTTCCAGTCATTGGACTAGTCTTTCCCTTGCAGAGATCGACAACCGCTGGGATTAAGACTGTAGTGGGAACATCTCCAGTGTGTCCACCACCCTCTCCACCTTGTGCGCAAATGATGTCAACACCGAGGTCGAGGCATTTCTTAACATGTTTTGGGTGTCCGATCATGTTGGCATAAAGAATACCAGCTTTGTGTAGTCGATCAACGACATGTTGGGGTGGTACGCCGACGGCGGAAACAAAGAGTTTAGCACCGCTGTCGATGATGATGGTGATGAGTTCGTCTAATTTTCCCTTGGTATAATCGTAGCTAAGCAGACACAAGTCAACAAGTGTTTAATAATCGAAGGAAGAGGCTCTGGCAGGGGAGTGCAGTGTCAAGGGAGAGGTCGAACGGGATCATGCTTACTTTGTCTTTCTCGCTGAACCTCCGACTTGTGGAAGTAAAAGATCAACACCGAATGGGGCGTTCTTATCATCCAAAAATGATTTGAGTTCGGCGATTTGTTCTCTTAACATATCAGGAGTGTACCCAATACCCCCTAAAACGCCAAGACCACCGGCATTTGTGACTGCTGCTGCGAGTTTTGGTCCTGCGGCAACGTTCATTCCAGCGAGGATGATAGGATGGTTGATCTTAAGAAGATCGGTAACGGTCGTGCGGAGTTGTTCTACAGAGAAATGCAATCAGTTGGTTGGTTTCTTCAATGTTGGGTATCATGTCCTTTGTAGGCATGTGATGGTGGTTACTTACGTTTAGAAGCCATGGCTGCGGGACTTGGTTTGTGATGATATAGATATATTTGATGTAGTGTAGAATCGAGTATATAATATATGAGAAGCGATTGATCAATACAAGTAGTAAGAAGAGTCTTTTATTGTAGATGGAGAACAGATGGATGTATTTGAAAAGGTTCTTGATACCTCGGAACAGATCCTCTAAATAAAGGATCATCAATCATCCTGGGGTAAAAATGACCCGGTGTGAGAAAAGATGCCTCGGTATGGCTGTTAGCGTCGGGGTAGCCTTAGTTGGACCTGCATGCATGCACGTGCCTTGAATATGACCAATTTTATGATCTGAGACTTACGGAGTACTAGTTATTCGCACCAAACAATGTATATGAATTACAAACTACCGGATTACCTAACGTGTTTCATCACCCCGTGCACCATATCACCTCGTGCACCACTTTCACCTCAATTCACATCAATCACTTCAATACGCGATTTATCAATAAATAATTATGGTATCGACATTAAATGAACGCGATATCGTTATGGCGATGGAGGCAATGGCTAAAGATAAAAATTTAAGCCTCCGGAAAGCTGCCAAGATTTACAATATTACTCATACGACACTCATGCGTAGAATGAAAGGGATCACTCCTGCCTCCGAATACCGTCAAAAACAGCATAAAATTACTAAAATTGAAGAGGAGGTTATTATTCAGCATATAATCGATATGGATGAGCGAGGATTTAGTCCTAAATTCATAAGTGTTGAAAGTATGGCGAATCACATTCTTGAATCGAGGGGTGGAAAGCGTGTTGGTAAACAATGGGCATATCGATTCGTGAATCGACACAATATTCTAAAAACGCGTTTTAATCGTGCCTACGACTTCCAAAGGGCTCTCTGCGAGGATCCTAAGCTTATTAATAAGTGGTTTCAACTATTCAAAAATATAAAGACAAAATATGGAATACAGGAGTGCGATATATGGAATTTTGATGAAACAGGCTTTATGATGGGAGTGATATCCTCTAGTATGGTTATTACTAGTGCAGATAGACGTAGCAAAAGTAAAGGAATACAGCCAGGCAATAGAGAATGGTCGACAGCGATTGTATGTGGTAATGCGACGGGGGAGAACATACCTCTATATCTCCTTGTTCAAGGACAAATGCACCTAGCCAATTGGTACAGCGAGACGGATATGCCTCCCGAATAAATGGTTAAAACTACTATAAATGGATGGACGAATAATGAGATAGGTTTAGAATGACTAAAGCATTTTGATAAGCATACGAAACTCCGAACAAAGGGTGCATATCGAATGCTAGTCTTAGATGGATATGAAAGCCATGAATCAGGCCCTTTTCAGAACTATTGTATAGAACATAAAATTAAAGCCGTCGGATTACTACCTCATTCGAGTCATCTCACCCAACCTCTTGATGTTAGTTGTTTTAGTGTGCTAAAACGCGCATATAGCAAGCAAATTGAGGGGTATATACGGATGCATATCAATCATATCTCCAAAATCGAATTCTTTATAGCATTCAATGCTACATACGAACAAGCAATTACAATGGAGAATATGAAAGCAGGCTTTAGAGGAGCAGGATTAGTCCCTTTTAATCCCGATGCTGTACTCTCTAGAATGGATATTCGAATCCGTACACCTACTCCTCCTTCGCTTCCTCCGAGTCATATGCCCGATTGGGTCTCACAAACACCTCACAATGCCACCGAAGCTCTTTCACAAGCATTTTTAGTACGATCTATTATTGCTCGGCATCATTCTAGCTCTCCTACACCTATATTTAAGGCTACAGATCCTTTAATTAAGGGTGTAGAATACCTAGCTAGTACTGTCACGATTTTAGCTTTTGAGAATCACGATCTTCGATTGGCAAATACGGGATTAAGTAAACGTCGACGCGCTAAAAAGACTCAATTACGTTTAGGAGGAGCTCTCACTATTCAAGAGGCTAATGATATTATATCACAAAAAGAGGTGGATGTTCAGATTAAACGCGATAGGCAACAAAATGGGCGGAATTCTAATAGAGAGGCATCGACTAATCGATGCTGTAGTAAATGTGGAATAACAGGTCATAATGCAAGAACATGTTCTAATGATAATATAGATCCTAAATTATTAGATAGTGCTTAGTTTAAATCAATTGATCAAGTAATTGTTGAATTATATATGATTATAAATAGGAATTGAGGTGAAAGTGGTGCACGAGGTGATATGGTGCACGGGGTGATGAAACACGTTAGTAGATACGTAGTTACTTTCACTTCAAACACCATTCATTATATAGCTACTTGAGTATTGAGATTTATACCCACCTAGCCTTACAAATAAGGCATCAACTGATATGATCGAGTAGATTGACATGACCAATCATGTTACCACAATCACCATTCACCGTACCCCGTGAATACGGGAACCTATTCAACCACTATCAACAAAGTTTGCCCTCAAACCTCAAATTTCCTCAATTAAATCGACCTTCTATATCATCAAGAAAGAGAAGACTTTACACTCATGAGGAGCTGTCTATTACCATTCGTGGTAAGACGCGTTGTAACGTCACCACGATCATTGATTAAAACCCCTTTTTATGGGATTCGTAAATTTAAAAACTCTCCAAATTCAACCTCGACCTCGATCTTTCAAAGTTATAGTTCCGACAGTGCAAGCTCATTGCCACCATGGACTCAACATCCACTCAATACGAATCAACCGAGTGAAAATGATTTAACGAAGCTCTCTAAACCTCAAGGCCAACCTCAACTTGCATATATTGCTTTGGGGAGTAATCTGGGTGATCGAGTGGCATGGATAGAAATGGCCTGCAACAAAATGTCGGAGAGGGGGATTAAAATAAAAAGGACTAGTGGGTTATGGGAGACTGAACCTATGTATGTTCTTGATCAAAATAACTTTCTCAATGGAGCTTGTGAGGTAAGTTCGATTTTCGCATTAACTGGTGCCGATTCATCCACGTGATTATTTGTATTGTACTGTGCAATTGGGACGAGGTGCCTACCCACTTAGGAAGGTTGGTTTAAAATGCTTACTTTTGAGCAACGGCACCACTCACGCCAGCTTTCAGATATAGTAGTGAGATTCGTTCATTTGAACTTGAAATACGTCACAAGCTTTAGCTGATATTCATCAACAGGTAGAAACAACCTTACAACCACTAGCTCTACTAGATGAGCTTCAAGCTATTGAGAATGAGATGGGTAGGAAAAAGATCGTTGATAAGGGTCCAAGAAATATTGACCTTGATATCCTACTTTATGGCAATGAGGTTGTAGATCACCCCAGATTACAGGTGCCTCATCCTGGTATGCTTGAACGGGAGTTCGTTTTGAGACCACTGGCAGAGTACTATCACACCAATCCATTCCATAATCATACTCTTACTGATGTGATTTAAGGCTTATTCCTGGACAACCTCTGAATCCGAAATCTCCATGGAAGTTTACCCAGGATTATTTAAATGCATTGCCGCCATCTCCAACCCCCCTATCAACCATAACTCCATTGAACCCATCAATCCCTCCATTACATGCTCTAAAAACGAATCGACAAACCCATGTAATGGTAATCCTGAATATGACACCCGACTCTTTCTCAGACGGAGGGGAGAATTGCAATGACGGAGAATTTATACGAGACAAGTCCTCACAAATCATTGCGGACGGAGCAACTATCATTGATGTAGGTGGTCAATCAACTGCACCTGGTGCACCGGAAGTATCCCCTGAGGTCGAAGTAAGTCGAGTTCTCCCGACCATTCAGGGAATCAAAGATGGAAACTCCCCTAAGAATGTAGCGATTAGTATCGATACTTATAGAGCATCTGTTGCAAGGGCTGCTGTCGAAGCAGGTGCGGATATCATTAACGATGTCTCTTCGGGTCAACAAGATCCCGATATGCTATCCACTATGGCCCAACTTGGGAAAACAGTCTGTCTGATGCATATGAGAGGAACTCCAGCAACTATGAATACTCTCACAAACTACGAGCCCGAAGGTCTCATTCCAACCATTGCAAAAGAGCTACTAGAGCGAGTAGCGGAGGCAGAGGCAGCAGGTATCCGTCGATGGCGTATCATTCTAGATCCTGGAATTGGCTTTGCCAAAACACAAGATCAAAACCTTGAAATTCTCCGCCGAATGGATGAATTACGTGATTGGCCTGGTCTACGAGGCTTACCATGGTTAATAGGAACTAGCCGAAAAAAGTTCATTGGTAACGTAACTGGCGTTAAAATACCCCGTGAAAGGGATTGGGGTACTGCAGCGACAGTGACGGCGGCCATTCAGGGTGGAGCTGATATTGTGAGGGTACATTCTCCATCAATGGCTTTGGTGGCTAAGATGGCCGATGCAATTTTTAGAGTTTGATTGTGTAATTAGTCGTTGAATGTTTAATCGATCAGCAAGTGAAGTTGGATCCTTCCACCATAGCGAAGCTATTCAGCCTAACTTTAATGCTAATGGTAATGCTAAGCTGGTTGATTAGTGGAAGAAGAAATTCTGCTCTCCCTCACCATAACCTCCGTAACCCTCGTGATTTAAAAACCCCCCAAAATAAAATCTGTAAAACATTTTCTTGATATCCTCGGAAAAAGGATCTCCCTCCGTTGTTACTTGTAATGGTTAACAGGATACTATAAGTCATATACTCTACTTTTAGACCACCCTCACTTTTGACCTACTCTTTTATATCAAAAATTATTATTTTCATCTATTAATCATTTTATTGAAAAGTTATTTAAGTTTCTAAGATTTTCAAATCTGTATATAAATCCCATATAAATTGAAAATTCTAATTTCAATATTCAATATCTTGATCAATTAAATTATGAAAAATCCGAAATTTTCAAAATTCATTATTATATAAGTAATGAATATGTGAATCAAAATTTATTAAATTATATTTATAAATAAAAAAGTTATAAAGACTGCTTTTTGATATTTTTTGATAAGAAAAAGTGTCTAGAATTAGAGATGATTAGAAAGTAGAACACTAGACTTATATCAAAATTCTATCGATTATTTATATATGTAAATTTTAACAAATTATCTCGATTTTCAAAAAGATAACAAGGATATGAAAAGTCGAAAAAATCGTTGATTTTGGTAAGATCTCACTTAGTGTGCAATGAGTGGATTCTATAACTCTTATTAAAGTTTGAGGAAATCTGTTTAATCTAAAAAATCTGCCTGGCACCGAGCATAGTAATGTAACTCAATAGCCATAGACTTGGGTCTCTTCACTTGACTCTGCTGATTTAGGAAACATATTATTATCCTTATTGTCTTCCAATGTTCTCTAGTCTCGGTCAAACATATTTGGTTTGAGGAAGTAGACTGGTCTTAATAGAGCGTCGGAATAATGGCTTGAATCTCAAATGCTAGAAAATCTTGAGATCCTGCAGCTAAAATTTGAACTACTAGTCTACTAATTAAGCCAAACTTTAAAGTACTTCGAGGTGCCTCTTTCTTTGGATTGATTTCTTTTATCTTAAGCTTACAATATTTCTCAGACATAAAAGCGACTCGCAGCATTTTGACAATCTATTACATCTTTGTATCATCTTTCTTCCTACACGATATTTCTATTACCAATAGTACACTATTGTTATACATCACTTCAAGTAAACCAAACTGCTCAGATTACCAAAAGGACAAAATTTCCCACATCTTTTAAATAAAGAAATTTAACTCATCTCGAACACCACCAAGATGACATTAAGCGCGTTCTGCGAAAGCACAAGTGCTGAAACTGTGCACGCTCTTAGGATTTTAAAAGCCGAATTCCAAGCCCTCGAGTGCACTCCTGTTTTTGCTAATGGTATTAGCAATAACAATGTGGACGACGGCGATAGTGATACCTACTCAGTCACTTCAAACTCAAGCGCAACCACAGATTTCTCTACTTTCACCACTTTGACAGAAGAAGGTGACTTAGAACCCCTGTCTCTGTGGGACCAAACCGAATCTCTTATGGAGCGCATCATGGAGCGCGTCCCATGGGAATAATTCATTGCAGTATTGAATGAGACAAGTTTGGTATATGATGAAGGGGAACTTTGGACGGAGTTTGGATTACGGTCGTTAAAGCCTTGTGCTGAGACGGAAGAACAGCATAAGTATAACAAGTCCATAGGGTTTATTACTTGTAATACCTACCTTTGTGAGGTACGTATGAATTTACGAATTTTCCTTGACGGTTTCTCCTCCCTGCTGTAATTCCGTTTGTTATCTTTATTATGTTGTTGATCTTTATCATATATTATTATCCTTGGCAACTTTTCCAGCAGTTTCCCTCCTCTTCACTTATTTCCCTCACCAATCCAATGCATCATTTCATTTAGTGAGGCTAACACCATTCCATAGTCCTGTGCGCAAAGTATCACAAACCATATTCATGAAACCACTCGAGCAGATCAAGAGTATGCAATTGCTGCCACTCGAGTATCCCACTCCTGTGATCTAAATGGCCGCAGTGATATGGTACCTCTCGGACTATGGCTTGGCAACTGCATCTGCCTCTCGTATTTGAATCGTAGAGCTCAGACAAATGGAGCTGCGAACTTTTACTTGTGCGGTATTGTATAGAACTACCCTTATGGCACTTCAGAGAAAAATTCGCAGCTTTAATCAACGGATATAGTGTAAGTCTGTCCTGTCACTTGAGGTCATTAAGCTCTGTCTAAGTGGAGTTGCTGATAAAAGCCGTAATAGGACCATTGTGACTGTGTTTTAACCCTCAGAGATAACATGGAGCCTTCTGAAGATAGAATACATATTTTTAGACTTTGTCATAAGTTTTTTGAGGAGTTTCATCCCACTGTTTGCCGAGATTTTGCGCATGTGACGGGACTTGCCACTATGAAGACACCAGGACTAGATTAATTGGTGGAATTTCCTTTAGATATTGAGAGGTTTTTGTTTTATTTAGTTTATGATTTGAGAAAATTCTCATTGCATGGTTTATCTTGACATTCTGGCATCACATAGGGGGTTTATATAGCGAAACATTTGGGCTTAGAAGATATTCTGCATGGAAGGATTAGGTGGAATACTGGCCTGCTTCTTTCAATGAAATCTCAAGTTCAATCTTAATACAGCAAACTTGCTTTTTGTGGCATATTATCATTGTAAAGATTTCAAGTCGGATTGCCATGATACTTTTCCTGTACGTTAAAATCTATCAATGTCAAAATCTATCATCCGGCCATAGCAAATTGAATACCTACGACTTGCCAGAAGACTAGCAATTCCACATGATCCTGGCTATAAGCCTATTATGTTAGAGTTTCGGACTCTGCGCTGGGAAAGGGCGAGGGGGGGAAGAGGGAGTTTGATGCTACGTGGAGTAATTTAAACTCTAATCTGCTCATTAGAAGGAAACTAACGCCGTTGAAAAAGCTCATAACTTGTAGTGTGTCCAGTAGTCTTCCCGTATTTTGTCCGGACGGCTAGTCTGTGGTTTTATTGGACTAGATGGACTATCGGGGAAGTTCTAATGTGTTCCGCGCCATTGCGCAATTTTGACATTCCGAAATCAACCTAGCCCATTTCTAAATGGGCGGCTAAATTGCAAAATGAGCTAGTTGATACCGAAATAGGAAGGGATGAGGGCATTCACAAATGGACTAAGTTCATAGAAAATAGTATATCCAATATACTAGTTTCTTGATAAATAATAGTCCACCACTTACATATTCAAGTTCATCATCGTCCATCCTCATTCTCAACCTCATTCCAACCTCAGCGTCTCTACTTCGTCTTGCAGTCCGGACTATTGGACACACTGATAATTTATGTCCATGATACTCAAATAGCGATTTCTCCCTGTTTTCTTTGAACTCCAAGTAGTGGACCTTCTAGCTCTGCTATCAGGACTCGAAAGCATACTATAACGCGCCTAGTGTGAACAAAAGATTCGCACTAAACACTAGTATTGAAAAATGTTCGCCTTATTCTTGATAAACCGCCCACAAAGCAAATGTCGTGACGTTTGGTTTATAGAGAAACCATATATAGGATTATCTCTTTCCGCTCAACATTCTTCTCTTCACTTTCCATCTCATTCACAAACAATTCAAGTATCATCACAATTCAGAAGTCTTACGAAATCCTTAAAACTCCATAAATTCTTTCTTTCGCTTTCGAAATCCAGTAAAGAAAAACTGTTAACCTCCTGGGATCTTGGCAGCATATGCATATATATTGCATGATGCATATAAGGAGCAAACAAAACTCAACTTTTAATTCATTCTTTCCTTTTTGGTATACTGTTTGTTTGCTTTCAATATTTTGATTTCAAAGCACTTTAATTCCGAAGGCTGAATACCTAACCCTATTCCTTCATTTTTTGAATATATACTCGCAGCTTAACTGCTTAGCTAGAGAATCAATCAATTCAATCTGATGCTCTTTCTGGTCTCAATAAACTCAATAAAAACCCACAAATCTATCAAAATGCCTGACTTCGCCGACTCCCGATTTCTTTGCTTAATCGTACTACCAAACCATCTCAGGGGTGCGGTTCGTATGTTAAAGCATAGATTGGCACTTCTAGCCCACAACCCCTCTGCCTTTGTCTCCGGCGGAGTCTTCCCAGAAAGAAATTCTTGGGAACAGGCTCCTGATACTTTCATCGAATTGGGGAGCTATTACGAGAGAGCACCATGGTGGGCTCTCGATGGTCAAAAACTGACGGATATTCCCTCGTACCATCAATGGGTGGAGATGTGGACAGAACTTTGCCGCTTGTTCAAGAAATTCACAGTGTATGTCGATTTCCAAGTTCTTTGGGATATCTTGGAGGATACAGATTTTCCAGAAGAACTTTTCTCGAAAAAATTGTTCTCGCAAGATGTCTTGAATGAGCTTGCGCCATTTTGTATGGGCCTTTGCCCTAAAAGTAGAAAAGTTCACATTTTCCGCAAGGAAACTCGGTGTGTTGGTTGTTCGAAGCAGGTATGCAAGATATGTATACTACTTTCTAGTTCTAACATTTCATACGACCCTTAAGATCTCAGCCTGCTTCGTGCTATTCAGGGCTTTTCTTTAAATTCTATAAAATCATTCATCTCATTGGTGTTTCTCGAGCACAAACTAACTCGATCCTTCTCACGCCTGCGGATTCTGCATCATTGACAACCTCGAACCAAACGTCAATGAAAGAATCACCGAGATCGCCATTAATCGAGTCTATCGTTCTTGCCCCTCCATTTCTTGCCTCACCCGCATCGCTCCCAACGAAGCAAACTGCGACATTCCCTGTGAACGCATCAAAATATTCAACGCACGTGATGTCGGCGAACCGGATGCATCCGACTACTTACACTGCAGCGAGTGTTTGGAAATAGCAGCAGAGCAAATGGAAGGTAGAGGTGAAAAGAGCGAACACAATTTCTCGTGCGATTGTGGAGAAATGCTTTTGATGGAAGCGGGTGAAAATCCGAGGCTCCACAATGGAGTGAAAGTTTGTAGGCTTTGCAGTCGTTATTGTACACTGTATGAGATGGGTGACTTTGTGGGTGACTTTGTGGGTGATGAAAGGGTGCCGCCTGAGTATGCTAGAATGGATACTTGGATATCTTCCCCGCCTCCTGGCGATTGATAACCAAAAGATATTCTTTGCGACGACGACAACATCATACCATTTTTTAAGCAAAGGAAAACAAATCTTGTCGCAATTACCTTCGAGGCGTTGGAAAATTTGTGCATACTATTTTGAGAGGCCTTACTTGAGCGGCCATAGCTATTTTTTGAGTTTCGTTGTTTTATTACCGGGTGAGGATAACCAAGTTGGCATTAATTAATGGATTACGTCGATATCATTGCCTTTGCCTTCTGCAAATGTGTGATATTTATCACGATAACAAAAGTCAGTCGCCTAGCACCCCTCTAATTATGGCCTGCAAGTATTAATGAAAAACCAGTCACTTATCAATAAGCAAACTGATTTACAAAGATGTTGAAAATATCAACACAACGAATGTCATCACACTCATAACCAGGCCAACCAAAACCCCACTGATGCTCGATAAAGATAACGTACCATCAGCTGTCTTTCAGCTAATCATAAAAAAAAAGCAAAATTGACACTATCCACCAGCAAGACACAAAAATCATGTTCCGAACCAAACCAGAGGCTTAAAATCAGAGCTGATCATCCGAGCTTTTCCTTCTTTTAGAAAACTCAATTTAAAATTCCCCCTCACCCACCAGTGAAACTATTTTATTTTTGGTAAGAAGTGACGTTATCTAGACCCGGGATTTGATCTAGTGCCATCGGTAGGTATTTGACATTTGGTTGTGACCCACTTAGCCCCTTTAGTCTCGCTTCATCCACATTCGCGCTAAATTGACCTTAGCGAGAATCTTTTAGTTTATTTTGGGGTGTTAGACTGTATTTTATATTCTAGTATGTAAATGGTTAAGATGGGGATGAAATACTGTAGATCTAATCGAGAAAGATTTTTTGTGGAAGATCGCGATTCATGGTTAAGAGAACTTGTTCGGATATGGTCGGTATTTGAAGACTAAGATATTGTTTCAAAAATGTCGGTTAGGTTTTAATGCTACTTGTTAGGTCCAGAAATGTAGGGTTTGTAGTATATTTCACTCAAATGTTACATGAGTGATACCTCTAAAAATTCCACAAGATTCTCTCCTCCCCCATGACTCAGAACTATAACCACCATGTCAGGCAAAAAAAGTAGTTAGAGCAAGGAGATTTGCCTATATATATTCATTTAGTGGCCGGTTTATCGAAGTAGATATTTTCTTGGATATGAATATATACTAATCGTATTATTTCATTCATATATTACATAATGATATTAAGGAAATGAGATAAGGGAAGCAAAATTTATATTTTCGCCGGATATGGATTCTTACATATCTGGTGAGTTTTTATTGTAGGATAGAATTGTAAGGTGACTAGAAAGCTTTTCCACGCATAGAGTTTTACTAATTCCGATTAGAAGGAGAGAAGAGATACTATAATTGCGTGTTATCACAGGAAAGCTAAGTGATGACGAGGATTATGACGCACAAAATAATGTCAAATCGCGAAAGCCGATTCCCATATTCCCGATGAAGAAGACTTAATATTTTTTTTAAAAAAAGATTCCATAATATCCCCAAACTTTCCATTCCAGAATACCCCTAAACCAACAAAACAAAATCAATTCCCCATCCATCAAGTACAAACCACTATCGCCTACCTAAACCCACCCCTCAAACCCTATCCCCCTCACTCAACCCCGCCGGCCGTCCCCCCGTAACCTCACTATGAACCTCATAAACCCCACTAAACTCCGGGAAAGCCCCCTGTGGACACCCAACCACAGTACTAACCACACTAACCTTCAGCCCCTCCACCTCTCCCCTATCAATCTCCGTACCATCCGCCAACGTAACTCTCCAATGCAAATTCCGTCTCAAATACGGAATGACATTTTCGACTTCTAGCGATCCTAGATCGCCGGACTTGAAGAGTTTAAGGAGGATGGGGGTGAGAGGGACGGTTCCCGAGATCATGAGGGAGCGTGCGGCGTCTTTGATGCATTTTCCGCAGGAGGTGGTGGCGGGGTTTTTGCCAAAGGAGGAAAAGGTGCCGATTGTAGATTCGGCGGTTGGCTGTTGGTTTTTTTGTCTTGTTAGTTTGTGGGTGAAGAAGAGAGGAGAAAGAGGGAGAATGGGGAGGAGGAAAAAGATATAGAAGTCTAACATACCCATGTAGTAGGATCTGAATCGAAATCTCCGAGGAAAATTCGCACGCGATAGGTTTGATGGAGAATATGCTTCGGAGCACGGATATTGACAATATATTCTCTATATTTAATTGGTTCTACGCTTTTTGAAGAAGTTTCGGATGCTTGAACATTGTTAGGTATTGATTATGACCTGAATAATGAAAAGCGTCTTACGTTTCCCAATCTCGGATTCAAAGTCCTCTTCACCTCTCACTACGTCAACGGGCTTAGGTTTAGCTTTGGCAGAATTGTGAAGAAGATTTGATAAAAATTTGTGTTCACCAGATGATGAAGCAGCACCATCGCCAATAGGTTTCTGAGCTGTATTACTGCCATCTGCAACGATTTGGCTTGCTTGAACAGCAATGGGCCCAGAGGCAGCAGCAGTCTGTACACCCATCAATTGCATGAATTGGTTACTAGTAGCACCGTACAATTTTTGAACTGCTGCTAAGACACTGGTTTGATACTGTTGAACAGTAGGAAATTTCCATTGTTGGGTCTCTGGATACGCATAGTTAAATGTAGCTGTGCTGCGCACGCCGTCAGAGGTCCAATATGTTTTGCCAGTGGCATTGTTGAAAGGTGTCAAGGCAGTGGTACTTGTTTCTTGGGCACCGCTTTCGATGGAAAAGGTTCCATCGCTAGAAGGTTTGTTGATGGCGTAGCTATTGGGATTCAAGGCTTGCCAAATAGCAAATTGACGATCAACATTGCTGGGAAATTTTATAAGCATAGCATCCAAAGAATTATTGGATATATGACCAACGAAAAGAAAATTAACTTACGTATGATGTAACCAAAACAAAGGATCAAAAGCCGCATAATCAGGATCACCCATATGACCATTCCCACCAGTTTCACTGTGAACACTATTATGCACATCCTCAATACTACCATACGTACCAGGAGCATTATTTGCTGCCCATTGATGATTACTAAAAGCATCAAATTGCTTATAGTTTGGATCTCTCATGATGAGATAGATATTGCTTTGATATGAATCAAATTGTGACTCCATGGCGTCAAAGACTTGCTGTTCTTGGGAGTTGGCAGTTGCACTTCCGGTGGTTGGATATCGAAGAGTGCTGGGCCATCGTGATTCCTAAACATGTCAATACATGTTATGGTTTTCTAAAAGATGGTCATTTATACCGGGGTACTAGGAAAATCACCCTTCAACGGATTCAAGGGGTTGAATTTGTAAGAGTAAAGGGGGTTGGTGATTTGTACCGGTTTGTTATTTGAGGTGGGAGTAATGAGCTGAATCAAGGGCTGTCCAACAACAGTAGGAAAGTACTTGTCACCCGCAGGTGGTGCGGCAGCCCAATCCCAGTATGGCATGCGAAATGTTAGAGCCGCTTGTTGATAACGAGTCTTAGTGGCTGTGGGGAATGTAGAAGCAATTTTTTGTATAATTTGATAGAGGTATTGCTATCAACATATGAGTGCTAGACAGAGTGATGAAAGGACATGGATGAACCTTGCACTTACCTCGAATAATGCAAGATAAGGACGATGCCATGGCGCAAAGAGGATAGAGCTATGGGTGCAATAGCCTTGCCATCCAGGAGAGTTATCTCCTTGAGATCCACCCCAAGGACGATATGGACGTCCATGAATACCTTTCCATATCAGAAAGATATCTTAAGTTTAGTAGGGTATTCCTGAGACACATACCAGCGATTCCATACCATGACAAATCTGACTTCTCGTCAAGTTGTTGAAAAGCCTGAAGACCAAGAATGTAAAGTGTCCATTGATCGGGAAAGTTGCGTTGGAGGTCACGAATTTCACGTCTCAGAGGGACAGATCCTAAAAGTCTTAGCAAAATGAAAAGTAGTGGGAACTGTCAAAGTTACCATCAGCAGGACCTGGAGAAGCTTTTGGAGGCCCAGTGATGGGGTAGTTGAGTGCCGGGACTGCAGCCATAATTCCAAGTGCTCGTTGTGCTACTACGGAAATTATCCTGGTAAATGCCTAGCTACAAGTGTGATATAGAATGAGAAATCTTGAGTGATTTATGAAAGCAAGGGGAACTATGAGCATATAATTAGCATTTATTGTTGTATTCGCAAGGTTGAGTAAAGGTGCAGGCGGCGTATTTTACAACGTCCCGGTAAATGGCTATCTACATCCAAAAACCTGCCAGCCCCGCGCCAAGATAATCACGAGAATCCAGCTGAATAAAGGGCAATTTAGACCACGGATCACTAACCTATGAGCAAGACCATATGGACATGACAGTGTAATGAACTAAAGCTTCACATGGTGATCGTCGTATGAATATCCAGCACTTGATGTGCAATCAACCATGGCTTGAAGATGGCGAAAAAGATCATTACTCTACATTATTTTCACTGGACCGTGTATTGCCGAATTTAATGCCATAAGAATTTCATGCAGCCTCGTAAGATGTTTGGGCAGAAAAGATGATAGAAGTTACACAATCGTGTAATATGCGGCCCCTGCATGAACCCCTCATTTGGGTAACCTCAGCCGCATTCCGCTCACCGATTGAGGGGATAGATGTAGTAATATCTCAACGAATGCTAGCAAGAAACTATAGCGACTGGCAAGTTGTAAGGGACTTAGAAACTTTATTAAAAACACATCTTGAATTCGCTAAAGCAAGAACGAGATTTCACCAAGAACTGGACTGAGTGGCATGCAGCGAGGAGCAAAACTGGGATGAGGCTAAAATTTGGTGGTCAAAGCCACTACGAAGTTATTGGCGGGGTAGGCGCACAAGAGCTGTAACATCGTCACACAGCCAAGAAACGACAACAACCCCCAACCACACGTAGGACAGCTTGGGCGAAAGACAATTTGTACACAAATTTATGCATTCCATTTTATGTATACCAAGATAACAAAGAAAAATTAGAAGCAATAAGAAAATCTATTTGCACCCCAACTGAACCCCACATTTAAAGCAACAACATACCACAGACCATACTGGCAAGCGTTACTGCAACAACTCCAAAGGCTCTCATATCAACTTCGACACTTCTACCACCGGCAGATTTAGAAGCAGATTTAGAAGATGTGGAACTCGAAGATCCGGCAGAAGCAGTGTAAGTAACTGCGCCAGAGCCTGCCGTGGCAGTGCCTTGAGATTCGTTCTCTGTATCACCCGCCTCTTGAGATCCAGCTCCATCTAAACCAGGTCCAGTACCCGCACCATTAGTCATGAATTTCTGGGCTGGGGTAGGCATAGCTGGAAGACTATCGCCCGAAACATTCCATTCGGAGCTTTCCGTTGGACACGTGGTTGCTGATCCAGTAGTGGTAACGGCTCCACCGTCTCCCGTTGGAGCAGTAGTGTTTGCGTATGCCTCCTTGAGGTATGTGAATTGGTCGGTGGTAGTAACAGTTCCATCACTGATATCTACAAGACCGTATCCGTTACCCTCGTTGGAATATTCATACACAAGTCCTCCAGAGAAAACGGCGGTCATTTCAGTACTGTAAAGAGCGGCAATTTCGGTAAATTTTCTGGTGTTGGTAATGCAACCAAATTCAGACATGCTTCAGAGTTCATTAGATACTTTAACATGCAAATTGTTGAAAACAAGTAGACAACACTTACAATAGAGGAATGCTGTAGCCAGTGTAGTTTTTGACAAGAGTGTCCCAGCCAGATGTGGTCATGGAAGATGGATCACACCATGAATAGTCATTGATGGCGTAGAAATCGGATCGTTCATCATCAGTTCCACAATTCAAGTACTCAGCAAGGGTATATTGGTTGGCAGCTACGTCAGCAGCGGAATAGCCGACAGGAATGGATCGATAACCACGGCTACCAATGTATTCCTTCATGTCTCGAACGATAGCTTTGACATATGGAGCACAGTTGGTGTTATTCACATCGTTGATGACTTCGTTACCGGAGATGAAAGCAAGGGTATTGGTGTAATTGGCGAACTTGTCAATAGTGGCAAAGATGGATTGAAGGTAGACGCTGTTGTACGACTTTTGGGGCTCGTTTCTGTTAAGGGAATAGAGGGGCGTATCAGTGTCGAGGACAAGGTAGATACCGGCATCAGCAAGATAACCCATGCACTCGTCGTGGTCGGCAGTGTTGTCGACAGCATAAACTCTGATTGTGTTGATTCCTAATTGTTGGAAATATTCGACATCTCTCTTACATGAAGTTGCGTCGGCAATAGGATCGGAAGTAGTACCAGTTCCTCCACCTGTTTTAGAGGGTTAGCTATGCATGCATAGCGACAGCGAAGATAAGTTTACCTGGTTGATAGTCGACACCACGAATATAGAAACGATCGCTACCCTTGTAGAAAGCTGGAGGAAGTCAATAATAAGGTCATGAAGTAGTGTTGGCAAGCATACCATTTCCCGAAATCGTAACAGCCTCAACGCTTGAAGTAGATGAAGCTCTTGCCGCTAATACCGGAGTGCCGGCAGCTGTAGCCTTGGCAAAGGAGGCAATGGAGGCAATCAGACCGACTACTGTACTTTGCTTCATTTTCTAAAATCTAATGTTTAGGCAGCCCAAGACTGTAAATTCAGAAATGTAAGACGTAATAAACAAATCTTCAATTGCGGATAAGACAAAAAGAGGTTGAGTAGAAGTAACGACCGTGGTTGATGTAAGAATATTCAAGTTCAGCCTTATGGATGCCAAGAAATTGGCTATAAGTAGCGAATGTGGTGCTGGTAGGAAGCCAAGAGTATTTGAAGACTCGGCAACGGAAAGAAAGAGGAAAAAAAGGATAGGGAATAAAGAGGATAGAATTAAAAAAGGTTTGCTCTGAATGGGGTGGCAGGCCAAACTTATCTTGTCTGGACTGTTAGGTCCCCACACAATGAATGATTTCTTATGCTCCAACCAACACATCTTCATATTATTACGCGTCTCATCCCCTCATGGTCCCTGCTCGGTACATCATACCCAAGCGATGCCATAAATAGAGCTTGACTAGTTGATCCACCATAATTCTCCAGGATGTGCCAATCACGTGATCAACTGTCAATCCACTCGGGAAATACAGGACGAACTAATTTCCAAAAGATGAAGATTGCCAGGACATCAAACGGTGTTGGGCTAATTTGAAAAACATCCGCATTCAGTCGGCAGCGTTTTGAAACGTCCTTCTAGCTTCCACAGTGACCCAGACAAATTGGTTTGAAAGTGGGTTTGAAAGCAAGAAACCCTCATTTATTCCATGACATAAAGCAGTCTTGAGAGAATCGATACCATATACTAGAATATGACCACTGGATGATTTATTCGACTCTGTGACGTGACTTGGGCTTACGGAGTTACTCTAAAAATGAGACATGATTATGTAGTTCGGATTGCAATTAAGTGGTCTCTCATCCCGCGATAGAATCCAATGCTAGTTAAGTGAAATGAAGAAAATATGAGATTGAGGTACTTAATCATTGACTCGTAAGGGTTTAGGGTTACATGATTGGATTTTAATTCGAGGGCCAGAAATATTGTAATCGACGATCAAAAATATTTAAAAGGGTTTGGTAATATGGGTCCAACACTGCAAGGACTAATTTGGTATAGTGAGATTTTGCAGGGAATTTCTTGATTCCTGACATTGCCCCACAGGTTGTTGTAGGGAAAACACCGCAAGGTATTCAAAAGTAGGTCTCAATTGAGATCTGAAGCACTAGCTCAGACCATAATCTCTTTCCTGATGTGACAAAGCTAGATATATGTATGTAAGAAGTAGGGAGAAGTAAACACACCACACGGTTTCTAGCTTTTTAGGAACATACTTCTAGTTCCAAGGTTGTAAAATTTAACGCGTATTATTGTTTAGTCAACTTACCAGACAAGTCAAGTAAACTAGGACTGATTTGGCGGATTCTGTTGAGCTGCGGAAGTACATACATCGGGAAAAAAGGGGAAGTTGTAGGTGGTGATTGAGCTGACGCGTGCCGCGGAAACTTGCAATTGCAGTTCCCTGCGCATACGATGATCTGTCTCAGAATACCTTCACAATCCACTGAGATTGATGTGCTGCGCGATAATGAGGTCGGCATTGCTGAAATGCGACTCTAATGAAAATAGAAAATGTTCGTGAGTTACAATAATGCTCCCAAAAATCCTATTGGCGTTTACTTGGAGCACCGCCATCTATTTCCTGTTTAAGATTGATTCCAAAAATTGAAAACTCGTATTTCACCGAAACGAAATTTATCAGAGATTAAGTCAGCGTTAATGGCCGGGGCTTGAGGATTGGTCCAGGTTGGATTGTGGTAGACGATCAAACCTTGAGGATTGGTTGGAATAAATGCATGCACATTTGGGCGATATCGATAGGAGATTCTGGATAGACAGAGCATCTTCAGAATTGATGCCTCGAACCCAAAATGTTGTCGAAAAGAACGTAGTTTAAGGGATAGTCTCGTCACATTGCTCTTGATCCGTTCCTGAACCCGTCATCCTTGAACTCCTAGAATCCAGCATTTGCTATATTCACATTAATTTAAAAGATGTTGCAATTAAGGCTATAGAGAAATGCGCACTGTCGCAAAACGAGTGTTGATGGCGACGAGACTCTGGATCATCCACTGTATCATCACGGACATACTGCAAGCAGAATTAAAAGTAACAAACGGGAGCAGAGGGGAGCAGAGGGGAAGGAAGATTTAGTTTGACGTTGGAAATTGTTTTACTCTCACTGCAAATGCCAAGCTGCCAAGAGTTTCAATTGCGTTATCCCATCCATCAAAATGGGATCACCGGTGGATTCGTTATCGATTGCCAGGTTTGATATCACGTGATTATAACAGTATTTTGACAACCTTACAGTTTGTTTACACCAAGCAAAGAGCTCCACGAATTCCATGCAATGCAGACCGCCTTTATATCTTCGATACTGAAATGATATCTATTTTATGATAACATGTTGTTATCATATCAACTTTGCGGGGATCAAGAAAATGTCCGTCTCAATCTTTAATCCTCTTGGAGGATCCCGGAGCCTTCGAAGTTCGACAGCCTCAAGCAACCTGAAGCTTACTGCAAGCTCCAACGCACAACCTCCATCTGGCCCTTCCTACGTCGCTCTCTTCATAACCAATTTGCGACTCTTGGATTTAGATTTGCGAGATGACTGGCCAGATATTAGCGCGGTGACATTCTCCACCAAGGATGCGCAACAGAATCAGAAGAAGCGTATACAATGTGTAGAATGGGCTTTATTTCATTTGTTTGCAATCTGGGATCCAGAAGAGACTCGCAATGTACGCCTCTCTCTTATGCCACTAGTTCGAAATGAATTAATAAAAGCTAATGCATGCTTACAGAAATTACAACCATTTTTCCCACCCCTCGAACCTCTCCAGTCCCTCAATCTGCGTACCGCATTGTTTCGATGTCTCGATCAGGCGAAGAAGAATGGAGTCCTTGGACGAGATACGGTTTTGAGAAAGACGATGCTAGACGAATGCAAGGGCGAAAGACTGGAGGAGATTTTGGCGGTTTTTTCGAATGTCGTTTTAAAGAAAGCTGTTCAAAATGACACCTCGGGACGATACGAGGCTCTTGCCCAAGGACTGGCATTGGAGAACTTTTCGTACACTGGAGAGAGGACAATACTTTCAGCCTTGATTTTAGCACACAAAAAATCTTTGCGAAGGCATATTGACGAGAAGAATAATTTGAGGGCTAAATATACCGAGTTTTCCAAAATACTTGACCTCAGCGAGGAACGAACCTCGAAAAGGAGAGCGGAGCTGGACCATGATAAAATTGAAGGAGAGGGCCACCCTGAGTTGTCTGACCGAGATTTGAGATCGTTACAGAACAGGGTTCGCAAGAATTGGTCAGGTAGCAATGAGTGGCTGGAAACGATCCTTTATGGAGATAATAGGCCTGGTCGGGAGGGATTATTGGCCAAGCGTTTTGATATTCTCTGGGACCAAATTGAGGCTGGAACGGTTGCAGAAATAGAAGGAAAGAATGACGCTGGACTTGTTGAGCGGTTGGAGGCACGGGTGCAAAATCAGGAGAGTCGTTTGGCAAGATGGCAAGAATTCGGTCGGACTTTGACTAAAAATGGCACAAAATCACCCACCAAAAAAGTTCAAGCAGCTTCCGTTGAGGCAAAGGGTATAAAACTCGGTTTCAATGATCACCAGAAATTACAAATCGGGAAGTACACAACAGGAAATCCCACAGTCGCGGACATCCCTATTCGAGATGAATACGTCCGCTTAATGGAAAGAACTCGCAATGCGCTGCATGATGTATCCAAGCCAAAAGTGCTTTCCAGGGAAAGCCTGATTCCACGTGGCTCAAGACACAAGTTCATCCAACCTTCATTGGATTCACCCCAAGGGTCATGTTCATCAACTAATCAGGATGGAGACGCCGACTCCTCTACAGATCATTCATCTACCTTGATGGCAAATATCGATGGAGTTGTAGAGTTTTCAACCCCTCGCGGCCATGGTGACGCATCAATCAGCACACCACGTTCAAGAATATCTCGCAAACCAATCTCTACTGTGACTTCATCAATCCTTTCAGCTAAGCATGCCTCGAACGAATTAGACACCGCCAGCGAAAGGTTATCCCAGGTCACAACTTTTGCATCAGATACAGAAAATGATTACATGTCAACCACTCCCAGCGCCGTGAGATCTTCCGGCCGCCCAGCTTCCATCGTCAAAACTTCAATCGTCAAAGCTTCAGACCAGGAATATGGCGCGGGCTCGGTCGAAACGCCCAAACCGATCCAAAGGAGACATACGACAACATCACAATCGAGTCCATCCCTCTCTCAATCTATTCAAACGTCGGAACCATCCCTCGATTCTGTTCCGGAGCTCAGTCAGGCAGAGCAGATTCTTAACTCCATGTCAGCTGCATCCCCATCCCCACAAAAAATGCAACGCTCTTTATCCTTAGCAGAACGTACTCGTCTCACCATGGCTCGCTCAAACCCAAGGTACTCAAAAGCCGATTTCAACGATGACTTTGATGATTTGCCAGATGTGAGCCGCCTCACTCTGAACCCCAAGCTCAAGGCCACATCTGCGAAAACTTCCGCGGCGGAAGAAGACAAGCACGCAGACTTGATAGAACGCACGCGTCAGTCTATGGCAGGCTTTGAGGCAGCCCAGAAGAGGGCACAGTTAGAGCGAAGGAAAAGTATCCAAGACGAAAAGAGAAAGCAGAGACAATCACATTTCCCCAAGATTGTACAAGAAGAAGAGGAACCACTACCTCAAGCGACGCCGACCATCGATAGAGAGGTCTTGATGGACGGGGATGTAGATTATGCTAGTGTCTTTATGAGTAGACCAAGAATTGCTGTAAGTCCGACCCCAGCAAAGGATAAAATGATTTCATCTATGATTGAGAGTGGAGATGAGGATAGTGAGGATGATGAGGATGAGGATGAGGATATCAGCGTAACTATGGGTATGGATGCGGATTACGCGAATGCGTTTATGAGTAGACCTAGAATTGCTCTAAGCCCAACACCAGCAAGACATAACAGAATCATGATGGAAGGTGAAGCGGAGGACGAAGGAGAAGCTGTAAATATGTGGCACGACCTATGATTTGGATCAAGCAGCCACGATATTCCTGAGGTTTCAATAAATGGTTTTTGCGTGTTTTAATGACTTATGATTAATGATGAATGGAATTAATTATCACAGCACTACTTCTTCATATTTCGTTTCGCCTGACCTAAATGCAGACTCCCTACAAAATAATCGTTCTGTTTGTTTCCCTGTATCATGAAATCTCTAAACTTCACACCCGATTGTGTTTAAATCGTAACAGGATTATTCACTCATTGCCAGACAAGCAATCCCATATCTCAGAAAGCGATTCCTTCTGCGCTGCCTAGTTGGCATCTTCTACTACTCGCAGCTTAACTGCTTAGCTAGAGAATCAATCAATTCAATCTGATGCTCTTTCTGGTCTCAAGAAACCCAACATCTACAGATATTATTACATTTTAGACTTTCCTGGGGAGATACTATATGTTCTTGAAGTTCAAGTTTGAGTTTGAGTTTGAGTTTAAGGAGGGAATCTAAACTTCAAAATATTTTAGTGTATTTTCATACCTATGGACACATTACTTTCCGTTTCTTTTCCTTCTTTTTGTCAAATGTTAGTGAGCTTGGCAGGGTAAATTGGGGATTTGATAGACTTTATTGGAGTCTTGTGGTAATTATAGTGGTGAGGAGAAGAGAAGATTCCAAGACGATAGATTTCAGAATTCAGAATTCTCAGCTGTGGTATGTATTTGGAATGAGACGAGATGGTGGCGAAAGGCCAGAGCCAGATATGCATCTATCTATCTCAAGCGTATATTTGGCGTTTGATGAATCAATGAATCTCTTATTACCTACCTCAGTGTCAAGTACGTACTGGTGCAACGCGATTTTGTACTAACGAATTTTCGAAAATGGTAAGAGTGCGAAGTTTGCATATGAGTCGGGCTTAATTAGCTTTTGAAATTCTCGGTTATGGTATTATTAGAGGTATTTAGTTAGGAAATTAGGTAGTTATTTCTCGACACACAGTCTTGCCTTTTCTGATATAGGTAGCTTTGGTGTGGGAGTTTGAATGGTTAGATAGAATAGCTAGTGGCTTCGTTTGAATCTAGTGGCACTTTGTAATGTGATTCTATCAAAATCTTCACCAAGTGGAAGGCAGTTTGGTGTATTTTATTCATATTCATACTAATACTAAAAATTTCTCATGAGTGAATATAAGAAATAGAATGCTTCGTTATAAAGTTCATTTCTTATAGAAATGGAACTAATTATCTGCGAAAAGGATAAATGTGTTAAGCATCCTGGTTGTTTCTTTAAAGATGAATCTTTTTGGGTTGGGTTGAGATTTATTATGAGATTGTTAGTTTGTTTTTCGATGAAATACCTCTGTTATGATATTTTCTATATATACATACTATAATATAAACTTGACAGATACCATTGACTCTTTCCCTTTTTTGAAAATAGATTTGTAACTAGTCATTGAATGAATTATCAACGTGGATTGATAAGTTAAGCTTTTCGATACGATTTGCTGATACGAATAGAAAATAATAAATGACTTTATTTCCAAATGGTTCAGTCTAAATTTTAAATTCGAGTTCTTGGTGTCAGTATACTAATACGGCGCGGAATTGATTGTTCTTGAAGGTGTGAAGAGGGTTGTCTTATTATTGGAGCTACGAATCTGGACTATAAGTCTAATACCCTACTTTTAGACCACCTTTTTTGTTACGAGGTTTGCCGTCTAGATCATGTGGAAGTGCTCTAGGCTCTCGAGGTAGTTTATAACTAGATGTCAAACAGGGACTTAAAATAATGACAATAATAATATACAATTCGTAACTAATAGTAGAGTATACTAAATGATTGATCTTGAGCACGAAACTTTATACAAAGGAAATCCATCTTGATTATATAGACCTTTATGCTAATCGTCCCTTTGATCCCTTCGGTCCCTTCGGTCAAGAGACCGAAGGGATCTAAGGGACCACGTGATTATATAATTGGTCACATGATACGAGGCCCGAAGCCGTCGTAACATAAATCTGTAATTCAAATTTTATCAAATTATATTAATTGATTATAAAGTTATTAATAGATGAAAATCACGATTTTTGGTGTAAAAAGGTGGTCCAAAAGAGGGTTGGTCCAAAAATGGGGTACTAGACTTATAGTTGACTCACACTACACTCTGTTACGATGGCTTCTGGCCTTGTATCATATGACCACGTACGAAGTTATGTGATCCCTTCGATCCCTTTACCGAAGGGATCGAAGGGATCGAAGGGATCGAAGGGACCGAAGGAACGATAGGCATGAAAGTCTATATAATCAAGATGGATTTCCTTTGTATAAAGTTTCGTGCTCAAGATCAATCATTTAGTATACTCTACTATTAGTTACGAATAGCATATTATTATTGTCATTACTTTAAGTCCCTGCTTGACGCCTAGTTATAAACCACCTCGAGAGCCTAGAGCACTTCCACGTGATCTAGACGGCAAACCTCGTAACAGTGGAACGAAACGAACTTGGGAGATCGAAGCGGCCGTCTCGGACCGATCGCTAGCGTGGAACTTACAAGGGGGTGTGGTGTAGCCGTGTTATTTTTGAGACTTGGGGTTCCAAGCAACTCTGAGATTGTGATTGTGATTGTATGATTCTTTATTTTTGTGGTTTTAATTCATTTGATTTGATTTGATTGGGATTGTTTAATTGATGAGTTGGTGAAGAGTGAAGAAAAGGAAGAAAGGGATTTGGACTTTTAACTTTGATTTGTGAGGACTTTTATGAGGATTGATATTGTGAATTGAGGAGATTGGGGAATTCAAAATTAGGGATTGAGGTGAAGGGAGGACCTTGAGCGCATTCAATTTGTGGATATCGAGTTCGAGGCGCGCATATTAAGTTGGGAGAACGAGGAAAAGAAGGACGAGAACGAGTAGAGAGAATAAGCAATACACGATTCGTAATCGAAGATTCCCCTCCACCCACGCGGCGCAAGAAATAGTCTACTTATTTATCTACCTACCTACCTCCCTCTTCTCGAAACAAACATATAAGAACAAGGCACAAGAGGGAAAATCAATTATTGAAATAATGCGCACATATACTCCTGCCCTCCTTACCCTACGATTGGGATTGGGATTAGGGCTTTTGTGTTTGATACAACCTACATTTGGACATGGGAATGGGAATGGAGAGTTGGTGGGGAGTGGAAGTGGGGAATTCGATGAGGAGAGGTTACCGTTGCCGAGTTATCATTTTGGGGCGGGGATTATGGTTGAGTGTATGGAGAGAGATGTGTAAGTTGCTTTTTTTGTTTTGTTTTTTGGGGTGGGGAAGGGGATGGAGATTTGTGGGCGGGGGAAAAGAAGGGAGGAAAGGAGGGAGAATCGGGGGACGGTGACAAGAGGGAGGGAGGGGTGGCAGTTCGAGGGTCTTCAGCACACAGGCACATATATACATAAGCATCCGCCCGCGCGAATGTGCAGAATACCATAATATTGGTTTTGAGGGTTGGGCTCACGGAAGGAGAAGAGGGACAACAATACCTGGACGTCAGAAGGATAGAAAGTAGATAAGGGAAGACAATTGAAAGGACATTCGAGCGCAGCGAGCTTGGGGGTTTGGGGGCTTGCCCCCATGAAAAAGATTAAAGAAGTTGGAAATTGGAAACAGAAATTATGAGGGTAATATGGAAGATTATACTGGACGAACGATCGCGAATGAGCCTGCGACTACGATTACGAATACGAATTATATGTGCTGTAAACTTTGGATGAGATTGGGAGGCACTTGGGAAAAGAGTTACTATGATCTTCAAGTTTTCAGTAAATGGGCAAATATAGAGAGCTGGAAAAGGATCCTTACTGAAATACGGAAAAGAGAGATACAAGTTTGACGGATAAGATGGATAAAGCGAAAATGAAAATTTATGAATGAAAGCTAACTTTTCATCAGTAATACAGGAGAACATGTTCAACTCGATGATAATTCTTTAAAATACATACCATTTCCGATATGTAATGAAACAGGAAAACCATTAGAATTGAAATATGGAGTTGAAGAAGGTTGGTTCATCTAATGTCGATACATCAAAAAAGGACAATCTACTAATTCTTTTCACCAAACACAGAACTCAATTGTACAATTCCATTAATAACAGATCCATTCTTTCATCTTCTAGAATTCTATATTCACTCCGATGCTCCTCTATCCTGTCGTCTTCCATCCCGTCCAGCTCCGACAGTTCACCACATAAACAGCTACCCGAATTACAAACAAGAATATATTCCATTAACTTTCGCCCTTTCGGGAACCCTCCAACTATCTCATCTACATATCTCCACCCATTTAAACGTCCTCCTTCACAGCGTCCCGAAACACCATTTACAAAAACATGATTCAGGGGTTATTGATAGTGGAGTCGCTTATAGTACTAGTCCTTTGAGTCATATTACTGGACCAGCAGCTTTGACAAAGAAATTGATTATTGGTGATGAGTTACCATTAAGATTGAGTGTGAGATGGTTCCCTACTCCATTGTTACCTAGGGAAAATGGAAAGGTAGAATGGAATGGATTAGGGGGTCATGTAGGCTGGGTGACGATCGGGTATATAATTTTAGCTTTTGGTGCTGGAGCAACGGTAATGGGAGCTTGGATGGTAGGGTGGGAGGTTCCTAGGAGGATGAAGGGATGGAGTGGGAGATTAGCGAGAGCGGGGGGTTTGAGTGGTGGGGTCGGGAAGAGTCTTGGTGGGGCTACCCCGTTGGGTTATGGCATTAAGGGGAATGGGAATGGGAATGCTTATGTTAATGGAGGGACTGTGGGGAATGGGTGGGGATTTGTTGGGGGTGGTGTGGTGGGCAGGGATGGGAAGAGGGATTAGATGGGAATTGGGTTACGGGTTGGTGGTTTATGGTTATGGGATTGATTTCATGATGGATGGATGGTTAGCTGTGTTTTTTGGAGGATTTGTGGATTATGTTTTATGATTTTTGGGATGGATGAATGGATGAATAGATAGAAAACTATTTTGTTGAAAAATAAAAAGAGAAGAGAAGGATGTCACGAACCACGTCTAGTATTATCCTAGGATGAGAATCGTCCCAGGATTAGTGTCCTGAGGCCAATAGGAGATCACGTGATGTGATAGCTCTGCTAGCTGGCTAGCAGAGCTAGCATTCAGAGAAACGTTTAGTATATAGTTAGAATAAGTTTCATAGTTTAGGAGCTTCGTGCTCAACTTAGTTATCAATTAGTTTACCTACGTCCTACTTGATCTAGTAACGACTTCACTTCCAAGTGAAGACCAGTGATAAAGCCTTAACCCACAACTACCAAGCAGACGAAACCTTAGGCAGCCGCTGCCTCCAGTACAGTATCGTTGTGACGCCTCACACCTCCGGGTCACGTGGCATGCCCCGTTTGTATTTAATCATAGGAAAACTCTCTACTCTTGTTTTCCTTCTTCTTTTCTCCTTAGCTTAGTATTTTCTAATACAAGATACTTTACCCAGTATTCTTGAGTGTGACAATCGTTACATTTATATATTACTTTATATATTATAAGAAAGTCGGAATTTTGAACTCTATATATAAGGTTTTTATAAATGTTTAATTATATGATCTCTAATAATTAGATATAAAAAAAGATCTTTGTTTTTTGTAACGATACTGTACTAAAGGCAGCGGCTGCCTAAGGTTCGTCGGTTGGTAGTTATAGGTTAAGGCTTTATCACTGGTATTCACTTGAAAGTGAATTCGTTACTAGATCAAATAGAATGTAGGTAAACTAATTGATAACTAAGTTGAGCACGAAGCTCCTAAACTATGAAACTACTCTGACTATATAATGAACGAAGAAGGGAGCCCCTAGGAGCTTTCTGGCTCCTTAGGGCTCCTTATCACGTGATTTCTGATGGTGCGTGCATATACGATCTTCAGGTGACCAAGATCACATACTAATTCGATGAAATCTGATCGTGTTTGCACAAGGCCTAAGCTCTCCTAATTAATCAGTTTGCTACCATCGTAACACCATCAATCCTAATGGTGAATCGTGACATTTTTCTCTTTTCAAAAAATAAACAACTTTTTATATTATTTTTTTATTTTATATAATTTCAATCCCAAACCTATTATAAAATTAATTATTTGTGACGGAAATCCCTGCTTTCCTCCCACCCTTATTATATAAGAAACCTCAGGTACATTAACCATGTCCACACATGATACGATTACTCGAGATTAGTATACGATTTAGGTGACCTGAGGATCAGATCCGGACAAGTACTAGGTATCAATGGTTATCGGTAAAGTAAGATCATTGGAGGAATAAATATGACTTCTTTTTGCCTAGCCATTGCGGCTAGGCTATTCATTTGTGTATATATAGAGTAGCTATCCCCATCTACAGGTGCTCTTCACCTGTAGATTCTAAGTTAAATACAATTGCTGGTCTATAAACACCCTTTTGGTCACATTATTCTTTTAAATAATATATTATAATATAATCTAATCAAGTTTCTTTTTCATTTCCCCCTTATAATATATTATTAAGACATATATGTTACGAGGTTTGCCGTCTAGATCACGTGGAAGTGCTCTAGGCTCTCGAGGTGGTTTATAACTAGGCGTCAAGCAGGGACTTAAAGTAATGACAATAATGCAATTCGTAACTAATAGTAGAGTATACTAAATGATTGATCTTGAGCACGAAACTTTATACAAAGGAAATCCATCTTGATTATATAGACCTTCATGCCTATGGCTAGTCAGGACCGCGCAGCGGTCCTGGACAGCCAGCGTTCCTCAGCGGTCCATAACGTGACTTTAATCACGTTACCTTGGTTTAGTCATGTGACGCGGCATAGAAGATAGCCGTCGTAACAATATATATCTCGACCTACTCCTTTTACAATATTACTTATATTTATACTCATTTATAACTCTATCCCCTTCTTTATTCATGATTTTATTTTCATCCCCATCCTCATCCCCTTCCTCTATCCCCCTTCCTATTCATAATTTTATTTTCATTTCTTCCTCGTTTTTATCCTCATCCTTATCCTTACCTCCTCCTCCCCACCTCCTACCCTACCCTCCTCATCCCCCTCTCTTTTCTATTCTCTCCATTTTCTCTTCAAAAAAAATAAAAAAAATAAATCATTCATTCATTAGGTAATTATATATTAATTACTCATCCCAATACTCTGATTTAAATCTACACCTACACCTACACCTACACCATCAATTCATATCCCTATCTAATCCCATCCTATCCCATCTCTAACCTCATCCCTCATTCCTCATCCTCAACCCACTCATCTCAATCTATATAAAATAACTCATCCACTCACTCACTCACTCACTCACTCACTCACTCACTCACTCAACCAGCACCATCCATCTATACATTCACCAATACAAAACAAATATCTACTCATATTGATATTCATCTTCATCTTCATCTTCATCATATTCATAACCACATCACATCACATCACATTATATGATATCAAATCCCTAACTACAGAATAACTACATAATCAACGATTGAATCATCAACTTATAGCCAGCCAGCCAGCCGATCATCCACTCACTACCTTCCTATCCAGATGCAAAATCATCTCAATTCATATTTTTTTATCCTCCCTTTCCACATCACTCATACCATATCAAAAAATTTAAGATTTTCTTTTCCATTTTCTCCATTTCTCCATCACACAATTACCACTTTACATATCTCCATCCCTCACCCTCCCTATCTCATTCATACCCCTCATTTAAATATTAGCCTTCTGTTTAAAAGCCTTAATCAATCCTCCAGTACTAGCATCATGTTCCCCAACATCTCCACTAACATCCAACTCTGCTTGAATTTTCTTAGCTAAACTCTTACCCAACTCAACACCCCATTGATCAAAACTGTTAATATTCCAAACAGCTCCTTCAGTAAATGTAAGATGTTCGTAGTAAACGATTAAAGCACCAAGAGTACCTGGAGTAATCTTTTGGGCAAGAATTGATGTAGTTGGTCTGTTGCCCAAGAATGTCTTGTGCTTGTATAACTCAGGTGGTGTGTTTTCAGCCTTTAATTCATCCTCTCCCTTTCCGATCATGAGAGCCTCAGCTTGAGCGAAGAAGTTTGAAGCCAACATCTTTTGATGTTTATTGTTATCAATTGGGTTGTGAGATTCGGCAGCCATGATGAAATCGGTTGGGATCAACTTGGTACCCTGGTGGACAAGTTGGAAGAAAGAGTGTTGAGCATTGGTAGCTGGTTCACCAAAAAGAATTGGACCGGTTGTATAACGAACAATCTTACCATCACGGGAGACAGCTTTACCGTTAGATTCCATAGAAAGTTGTTGAAGGTAAGCTGGGAAACGGTGAAGGTATTGATCGAATCTATTTATCAATTAGTTATGTTCGTTCATAAAGAGCATAAACAAACTTACGGAGCAACCAAATGAGTTTGGGCACCATAGAAATCAGAATACCAAACACTCAAAAGACCACCAAGAACTGGAATATTCTCTTCGAGTGGAGTATTCTTGAAATGCATATCCATAGCATGAGCTCCAGATAACAATTCATGGAAATTCTTGAATCCCAATGTGAATAGCAACACTCAAACCAATTGCACTTCTAAACACTGTATCTACCTCTAACCCAACCTTCGAAACCGAACATGTCCTAGCATCAATACCAAACTTGGTAACTTCAGCTTCATTGGTAGAAAGAGCAACAAAGTGTTTAGCGATATCACCCTTTCCCATCAGTCTTCTTCAAAAACCATTCTTTTGCAGAGTTGGCATTGAGTAACAGTTTCTGCAGTGGTGAAAGTCTTAGAAGCAACCAAGAAGAGAGTAGTTTCTGGATCAGAATCTCTCAAAGCCTCAGCCATATGTGTACCATCGATATTAGAAACGAAGTGAAGGGTTTGTTCTCTAGCACCATAATACTTGAGAGCTTCAGTAACCATAACTGGACCACTATAACCAATTAGCTATCATTCTCGTTGTTGTATCTCAAAACTTACAGATCAGAACCACCAATACCGATGTTGACAATGTTAGTCAATGGCTTTCCAGTGTAACCCTTCCACTCTCCACTTCTAATCTGTTCGGAAAATTCCTCCATGTGCTTCAACTCCTTATTAACACCTGGCATAACATCTTGTCCATCGACATTAATAGGATCACTTGTAGCATTTCTCAAGGCAACATGAAGAACAGCACGATCTTCGGTAAAGTTGATCTTTTCACCCGCAAACATCTCATCGCGCAATTTCTCCAAACCAGCTTCTTTCGCAACTGCCACCAAGGCCTTGATTGTATCTTCATTAATCAAATTCTTGGAGAAATCGAAAAGGATCTCCGAGTTATCGGCAGTGTTCTTGAAAGTTTTGGATAACTTTTCGAATCTTTGAGGATCCTTTTTGAATTCATCCTTGAGGACAAAGTTTCGTCCGACGGTATCATGATGAGATTGGAGAGCACTCCATGATTTGAGTTCGGTAGCTTGAGGCATTTTGTAGGGTATTGTTGAAGTGGTTGGGTATGAGATTAAGAGGGAACTGTTTGATGATAATGTTAGAAACAAGACAAGATATCAAATGGTAGGAGAATGAATAATCGTATGTGAATAGTGAATCCTTCAATCGTTCCCAATAGTTCTTGAAGTAGATTTCCGTGCGGACAGATAGATATGTCACAAAATCTCAGCTCTCATAGGAAAAGAGTAAACATACCTTTATATTGCTCCTCCACAAGTAGAAGATCGAGATTGAGTTCTCCGAAAGGTAAACTTAATCTTCCAAGTATTTCTGAGAGTTTGAAAGAATTTGATCTGCGAATAAAGTATATTGTCAGTTGACAAGAATCATAAGCAGGAATGAAATATTTATTGACCAAATATTGATGGGAAGTCTCTCTGGAAACTTCGGTGTATAGGTGGGGTAGGTAGACTCAAAGCTGTGACAACATTTCATCCAGGTAAGGTCCCTCTTATTAATATATTCCTTTTATATGTAACAAGACTAACATACCTCAGTCAACAATATTTCAATAAAGATCAAAACTCGAATATGGACTATGTATTAATTGTAGCTTTTGATAAATATAAATATGAATATCAGAATGAGTATGAGTGAGTATCCTGAAAGAAGAAAACAATGAGGGGTTAAACAGTTGATGATTTATTTGCAGCCAGCATCACCACCAATGCATTATGCATCCCTCCATCGCTTATGACGTCCATTTCATCCATTTAATCCATTTCATCCACTCAACCCAACCAACAACATGCGAGCTTACAAAGTTCGACAGAGTACGTACGAACGAATTGAAAGACAGCCAAGCCCACTAATAGTAATACAAAAAAGACCTGAGTACATAGATACAAAGGTATGTACTCCAAATTCAACTTCCCTCTCAATTCAATTCAATTCATCCATAACGCGTAATCCACCCAAAAACCATTTCAACCGAACCTTCCTTACGAATGGCCAAACCATTACTCAACCTTACTAATAATCAATCAATCAATTAAATTCCCCATCCATCCCATCCCATCTCATCCCATCAAGTAACCATACCTTTACCAACCTTTACCAACCATGACCAACCCTTACTAATTAATCCATCACCCAATCCAATGCCCTCCCCCAATCCAGACTCACCGAGAAAGTCAAAAAAAGAAAAAGAGAAGTCTGGAATCAAATCGTTCAGTTCATATCATATCAATCATACTCTCGATATATCATTCAAATGATATTTACTAATATTTTCTCTTTAAGAATCTCATTGATTAATTTTTAAACCGTTAAAAATAAATAATTTTTTATTTATTTATTTTATTTATTTTATAATTTTTATAATTTTCATAATTTTTATGAAAATTATGATTTTTAAATTCTTTTCATTAATTATAAAAAAGTTTAATAATATATAATATAAAAAATACTAAATATTGTTACGACGGGCTACACAACTACCAAGACACGTGATCACAAATGATCAGTAGTGATCATTAAGGATCACTAAGGATCACGATATAGGTGATCACTGGTGATCATGAAGGATCACCAGTGATCATAGAAGCATGAAGGACTATATAATCAAGATGGATTTCCTTTGTATAGAGCTTCGTGCTCAAGATCAATCATTTAGTATACTCTACTATTAGTTACGAATAGCATATTATTATTGTCATTACTTTAAGTCCCTGCTTGACGCCTAGTTATAAACCACCTCGAGAGCCTAGAGCACTTTCACGTGATCGAGACGGCAAACCTCGTAACAAATATAAATTAAAATTTTATATTATTTATAAAATTTATATATTTTGATATTTTATTATAAAATTCTAAATACTTTTAAATAATAATTATTTTTATTTCTTTATTTTTTAATCAATTTTTTTATATTTTAAAATATTAAAAACAAAAAATAATGTGACCAAAAGGGTGTTTATAGACCAGCAATTGTATTTAACTTAGAATCTACAGGTGAAGAGCACCTGTAGATGGGGATAGCTACTCTATATATACACAAATGAATGGCCTAGCCGCAATAGCTAGGCAAAAAGAAGTCATATTTATTCCTCCAATGATCTTACTTTACCGATAACCATTGATACCTAGTACTTGTCCGGATCTGATCCTCAGGTCACCTAAATCGCATACTAATCTCGAGTAATCGTATCATGTGTGGACATGGTTAATGTACCTGAGGTTTCTTATATAATAAGGGTGGGAGGAAAGCAGGGATTTCCGTCACAAATAAACATCTTCATCACACCTTTAAATATCCTTTTCTGAATATAAATTAAAAAAATATTTTCGTTTCTTATACAATACGATGGAATGCAATACCGAGGGGCAATCCAATACGATACAGAGGGGCGATTCAATATATAAGGCTTCAGTTTTTAATTTTAGTGTCGAAGAGGAGGCAGAACAGCAACAAGGATATGAACAAGAACAATGATATCCATTTCCATTTCCATTTTCATATAACTCATCTCATTCCATTGCATCCCATCTCACCTCCTCCCCTCTCATCTAATACCCCATAAATTTAGCAAAGAGAGAGAAGAAACCCCTCAAACTGTATCCGAAATGCTATATTGAGAGAAAGAAAGACGCCGAGCTAAGTTTACGTCATATCATCATACCACAGGTCATTTCCAGAATACCAGATCCCTTTTTGCCGTGACCTTAATCTATCTGTCCTGTACACTCCCTACGAAACTTGGATCTTTAATACTTCCACCACCATCACCTAATCCTGCAACTGGTCTATTATAAGACCATCCGGTAAATTGTTCTTGCATGGTTGATGATAGTTGTCCACCGTCAACCAATGAATCAGCTGGTGCTTGAGATGTAAATTCTACATCAAAGTTGGTAGTATCAAGAGCATCCGTCTATTATTTATTAGTATGTTGTTTGTTAAGTTAATATATCAAAAAAGAAATACATACCACATTAGGCTTGAAAGTAGGCTCATACTTTCTTTGAAGTAATTTACGCCAATCAATGCTGTGAAAGAAGGGATGTGCCTTAATTTCTGATGCATCATTTGCACCCAATCTTTGATCTGGTTTTCTGTTAAGAAGTTTTTGCAAAAGATCCTTAGCAGCAGGTGGAACAATTTCAGGACCTGGAAAGTTCAATGGCTCGCTCAAAATCTTTCGATACATCTCATTAGTGTTTTCATCGTAGAAAGGAGGTAAACCAGTCAACATCTCATAGAGCAAAACACCAAGAGTCCACCAATCAACCGTCTTAGTGTAACCTTGACCCAACAACAATTCCGGTGCCAAGTATTCGGGAGTTCCACAGAAGGTGTTGGTACGATCCTCATCCTTCATATCAAGTTTACACAAACCGAAATCACAGAGTGCAATGTGACCCGAGTAATCCAATAGAATGTTCTCTGGTTTCAAGTCACGATAAATGACGTTAAATCCATGTAAACATTCTAAAGCACAAAGTAGCTCGGCCGTATAAAATCTTGAACGATTGATATCGAAGCGAGACTCCTTTTGAAGATGATGGAAAAGTTCACCACCATTGACAAATGCCAAGACGAAATATAACTTGTCTGGTGATTGAAATGTAAACTTGAGAGGTACGATGAAGGGATTGTTGATTTGAGAGAGGACGGATCGTTCTGCCAATGTATGTGCAACTTCTGATCGTGAAATGATGTGAGCCTTTCGAATGGTCTTGAGGGGCGTAAATTCGTTGGGTATCTTTTTTCTTGACCTGCATAACCTTTCCAAAACTTCCTTTTCCAACCACTTTCAATAAGTCGAAATCATCAATCTTCAACGCTCTTGTTCTATTCTCAACGTATTCAACACCAATTCGAATCTTTCCTGTACCGTATTGAACATCTAACCATTCTGGTCCAACTTGTCCCAATGTACTCTCCCTTCTTTGGAATTCTGCCGCAGCTTTTTCCTTGTCTTTCTTTCCCAATTTAGGATCTTCGACATATTTATGCTTCTCTTCGAATCGTGGGTTGATGCGCGTAACACCAAGGAAAATATCTTGACTTCGACCAGATCCTGGAGGCGCATTCGGGTTTCGAAGATATAAATGAACTGCTAATTCAGTAACTCTTGAAACATCAAACTTATATTGAGTGTTATCTCCAGCCCATAGAGGGTTTTCAGGAGAACCTGCAACTGCATTGACGAAAACCTGCATCTTATCAAAATCTAACAAGGCATACGGAAGGTATTTGGAGGAAATTCGACCGTGGTTTGTAGGAACTTGAATACCACCTCCTGATGTTTGTGGTCTCATACTTGAGTAAGATCCAGCTACTTGGGTTGAAGATCCAGAACGAACTGAACCAGCGACTCCAAAGCCATTTCCCGCAGATAATGAATTCTGAGTATGATTGCTGAAGACTTGTTTATATTGATCTGGAAGGGAGAATCCATTTCCTTCGTGAAGAGTAACGATAAGAATACCTGGTCGAGGAGCAGATTGTGGTTGGGTGGCCATGGCTTCAGAGGCAGCTTTGAAGGTCAGTATCTTTTCCATGATTCAAATCATCATTTGCGCATACCTATACCATTATCGTTGGCCGATGGTGACGGTGGTATACTTGATTTCTCATCTTTGGAAGATTCTCTGAGGGTTTGTGAAGAGGGGGTGCGAGAAAAGGTAGATGTGAGAGGACCAAGATGCGTCTCTTTCAGCTCTAAAATGGATGAACAATTAGTGATGATTCCGTTTGATATGGTCGCTTTCCAGCTCAATCAATTTCTTGGTATAAATGTTGGGTTGATAAGAGGCGGTAGGATTGATCGTGAGGCCGTCGATTGGACCGTCGTCCAAGATTGAATGTTATGAATTTCACTTACTCTTGGTGATATTCCAAGATGACATCTTGGGGATGGGGAACAAAATTGTATCGGTAGGAGGGGGGGAAAGAGGGGAGAAGGAGAAGGTTGTAGGATGTAGGGTGTAGGGTGTAGGATTGTAGGTAGATGTTGAAGTTGTAATTGATGTTGTATTCGGGTGGTTGTATTGAATGAGGAGTAAAAGTATCGGTATTTCCTCGAGGGAATAGGAAGATCGCTCAGTGCGTTGCGGTCAGGATTTAGCTCCAGACAACTTTCTCACAGGCGATTGCCCCGCCAAAATAGCTTATTAACCACAACGGATTGATAGAGTAATGGAATCGATCGGTAATAAAATGAGTGAAAATGAGCGAGTGAGTGAAGGTTGTAGTATTATAAGTGGTGAGAGTGTGAGATGTGAGAGTGTGAGTGAGTATGAGTACGAGTGTGAGAGTGAAAGAGTGAAAATGATGAAAAAAGAAGTAGAATTAATCAAATAATAAATTCGATTTTCTGTAACAATCAATATTTCGATTTTTCCCTATATCTTGTCTCACTATATTCTTTTCGATAAAGTTCCAAGATAAAAAAAATAAAAAGGTTATCCCGATAATCATGATAAATGACTAGGGAGTGCAGAGTGCAGTGTTTGTAAGGAGGCAATTTTTCAATGTAACACTGTACTGTCTGTATCTCCAGAGGGGGGCTTGGATCACGATGAGCACGTACTCGTACATTCACATGTTTGGGAGACCCGTGGATTAAAGTGAGTGGCTTAGCAAAGACGAAAATAGAGATATCTGAATCTTCTTTGGGATATGAATAACTGACACTATTTCCAAATTGAGTGAAGTTTGATGTGAATATAGAATCATTCTAGAGAATATAGGGTTGGGGTTAGCATTAAAGGGGATATCAAATTACTCGGTAGATGGTTTGTTGTAAGTCTTAGTTCGTCTCAAAAGGAGTTTA